AATTTTTGTGCAGAAGCATGGCTCTCTCTCTCTCATGTTTGTATAAAGGTTTTATTAGGTTCTCGTGTACATTAGTAAATTAAGTTAGAATCATTTATTTCTTTGTGTATTGTCATACGTTATAAAGGCCTCATCATCCCTCTGCCCTTTACGAAATTTTATTTGGTGCATGTGCAATGCAACATAACATAACATTGCATTAGGTTCTAAGATAGATGGTTTTTAAGTAAAGTATATAAGAAAAAAAAGTTTATAAGATCATTCAATCTAACTTTTACAGTACAAGCTCTGCTTAGTTTCTAACTAGATATACACAGGATAAGTCCATAGTGCGGCAGTTGTCGTTAAAAATTTTATGTACTAAGTACAGACATCTGTGCCCCTCTTCTTTTCCAAAAGCTAATTATGATAAAATATCACAAAATATATGTTACAATTTCACAATATCTTAAGGAACCCTAAAACTGAGAAATGATTTGAAGTTACAAAAATGAGTTAAAACTCACAAAGAGGATACTCGCCTTGCTGGAACTTTTTGTGCCGACGACGTAGCGGGTTCGATTACCGGACGAAGTAAGTAATAAAATATGTCGCGGCGATTATATTAATTATCGTATACCGTGTTTGTAAATAATTTTAGCGAGAAAAGCTGTTTGGTTGGATAATATATTGTTATAGTCTTGTAATTAGGTTAGAATATTAACATTTGTATGAGGAAGTCTGGCGGCTGGGATACCTGTTATTTGTAGACAAATTCCTGCGTACGCACAATGCATTATAAATATCCACCTAAAATAGCATAGATTTATTACACTACATATACCTATAATTTTAAATAATATACATTTATACACTTCAGAGCTCCATAGTATATGCATACTGTTAATTACGAGTGGTCTGTTGCCCCAGTGGTAAGTGGCCCTTACTGCTAAGCCGGAGGTGGTGGGTTCGATTCCCACCTTGGACCAATAGTTGTATGTTGAGTGTTTTATTTGTTCTCTGTCTGGGTGTAACTTGTCTATAATCTGTTTATCAGCAGTCTGGTTACCTGTAGTTATAATATACCTCACACATCTCAAATACGGCAGTCTGATCCCAAACTAGGCAGAGTCTATGCTATGGTAACCGGACTGCTGATAAACATACATTACAGCCAGATACAGAACAAATGAATGTGCCCATCGCACAATAATTGTCCTGGGTGGAAATCGAACCCACGACCTCCGGCTTAGCAGTCAGTGTCGCTAACCACTAGACCAACAGGCCAGTCATTATCACTGTTATTATTTCATGTATAGAAGACTATATATATATATATATATCTATTAACTGCCTAATGTTTCCACCGAGTTCCACTGGCCGTAGCTACATGTTTACAATTATTACTTTTTATTAATAATTATTACTTTTTATTAATAATTTCATTTTGCAAAGTGGCAAGGGCAAGTGCGATGTGATGAAGTTTTTGCGGGTTCGAACCCCACCCAGTGCAATACCGATGTGAATCCACTTCTAACACAAATAATTAGGTTAGCCGAAGAGGTTAAAACAATACTAATCAATCTCACCCACGTTGTTTTTTTGTTTTATTTTGTGGTGTATGGGGAAAAACGAGCAGACAGGTCACCTGATCGCCCTTTGAGTTCCTCCCCTAGTACAAGGGGAAAGGGATCGGACCTCCAGTGACCACACTCATTCGGTGAAAAACAAACAATTGCTTAACATCTGTTTTCTGTGAGACCGTGGTATCACTCCTGTCGAGTCAGCCCATTTGTTCAGAAAAAGTACTATTGTTACAGAAATAACAACAATTGACTGCACGGATGGCGTAGTGGTTTAAACGGTCGAGACGTCGCTTCCTACTGCACTGTGTGTTGTTGGTTCGATCCCCACATGGGACACTACACTTTGTGTGATCCACAAATTGTTGTTTTGGGTCTAGTTGTTCTTTGTGTCCGTTTCATCTATGTTTGTTAAGAACCCAGCGACACAGGATTCCTAATGCGGCGGTTCTGTTTAAAAAAATATTGTGTACTTACATTTAGCACTTTTGGTTTAAGGTAACAATGAAAGTGACGACACCGCTCTATGCATTGTGTGACGTAAAGCGTAAGGCATGCCTTAGTCACTCTATTACATGTCACGACTACGAATATATTCTATGGTCTTTGACGTACTGTTTGACGTCATCAAAAACAATCGAAATTCTGGGCTGGAATTTTCGGTATCAGGTACGATTCCTGGTTGGACCTCTGTCAAGCTATTAATGCTATTGTAAGTATTATTTTATTAGCTTCACTATGTAAAATTCAAATTCTTAACCAGCTTCTTATTCGATCAAAAGAAAAGTTTGTATTATGCTATGTATGATAATAATTTAATGGAGAATCTTGCAGTGGAACTATTTAACAGCTAACAGTAAACACCTCTAGATTTAGATGATAGCTAAATTAACAGTATTTTGTAAGTAGTGCCAGCCATTATCTAAACTCATATTACAAAACTGAACCCCTTGGAAACGGGCGGTTGTAGATCGGCACAGGCATATCGGATTTTTGTATGGGTTTGATTTTTGTTAAATTTATTTTGCTTACTATTTGACAAAACAGAGATTGTTGCTTTTGTGTGTGTTGATCTATGACTTTAGAGTCTACATAAAAGACGATTTCAAACAATGTTGAAAATTTTATGAAATAAACAGAGTTTGAGTTTGAAGAGTCTGTTTGTTTGGTTGAACCCGCTAATGTCTGGAACTACTGGTGGTTTTTTTCTTAGTAAGGCTATAGGCTATATAACATCACGCTTCGACCAATAGAAGCCGAACATCAATTAAAAGTTTCAAAAACAGGGCAAAATTTCTTACTTTTGAGAGATGCAGAAAAAATTTCGCGAGTTGGTAAGTTTAAGATAAAACAAAACACTTCAGTATTTTTTTTGGTAGTCGATGCAAATTTGAAAAATTTTCCCTTCCTTCGAATGAGTTTTTTTAATCAAAGTATAGAATAACAGTTAAATTACCAATGGTCTGACACCTAAGAAGTTCTACTTTGTTTTAGTTCAGTCACGACACACCCTCTCTTCAAATATATCAATTACGTTTACTCCAAACTGTTGTGTACTCGATGTTTCCCCACACATACTCGTATTTCTATACATGACGCGTCTAACCACAAAAATACAATAACGAAGTGATTTCAAGACAAACGCCGCAACCCAAACTCATTTATAATAAAAACTGAACAAAGAAAAAAACGAAAAAGATCGTAGCCTTTTCGAAAATAAAAGTTTTGTTCGAAAACGAACGATCCTGTGATAAATATTGAAATATGGAATGGAGATATGATACTTTTTGTTCTCGCTGCGTCCGCCATGTTTTTTTCTCTTTTTTATTTTATAATTCTCGTTTCCTAATGGCGTTGAACACGGGTTAATGGTTGAATCCTGCGGAGAACGCTACCGTTTTATCGACTATTAATATTAGTGGCGATGGCGCCCAACTATTAAAAAGATAAGTCATATTAGGCTCATTATTTACATGACGATTAGTATTTATTAGAAATAATGTCGATAAACGACAGCTTTTTTAATTGGGGTAATTAGTATGGCATGAGTGTTGTGAATCGATAAACTTATGCTAAAGTAGATGTGAAGAAATTGTAAATCTTTTGTACCGTTAACAGTAAATACTGCGTTCTAGCGTATTAATATTATTACTCATTATATTCTTAAGAAGACACCTAGATATCACTTATCATGATCACAATGGTCCCGTAAAAATAGTTTTAATAAGTAGTTTAAAATTGTTTTTTTTTAAACACGGAGTGAAACGATCAATGAATTTCTATTTAAATCAATCAATTGCATAATATTCTTATTATAAAATAGTAAAATTTTAACCAACGTTCATGATAAAAAACTGTTTTAGTAAAAATCGACATAAAAATACCTATCAGTCACAACCGTTTACGATGTACACAAATTAAGACATACTCCATGTAAATATGTATACGAGTATATTGGACATGCTTGAAATATCGCTGGGAGCAAACATTTCGTCACATACTCTTTGCCTAGTGTGGCTTTACTCTTCTGTTTTCTGATCTGACACGTTTTTAATCGTCAAGTGGAAACCATCGTGACCAAAGTTAATTACTTCTGGAGATTTGTAACAATATTTTGATGCATTTTATATATTCTTTATTAGTAAACAATTTGATTGCTACCACCTAAATATTGAAACAGTTTTGAAGATATTTTGCAATAATAGTTTATTATAATCGATAAATCTTTAGTCGATTTCAATGACTCTATCAGAAATACAGTATAGTGTTTTACATAAGTTTTATACACCGTTAAAGGCATCCACACGACACATTACTGCAAGACAATCTGACATAAGTCGTAGAAGTCAATCAAACGTGCGAAGAGGGACGACGAGTTTGTTTTTTGTGTGAAACCAAACGGTAAAATACGATGACAGTATCACGTTTGTGCAATACAGAACCATCCAACATTCTCCCGAGGACATAGCGCGAACATCATCATAAACATAGAGTGGGTAGAACACAAAAGATTATCGCAGATAGTTTCATATTCAGCTCAATGAAATTTATTTATGATCATTATAATTCATTAGATAACGTTATTAGTTATTTTAGGATGTCGGCTATACGCCAACTTGTAATTTTATTCTGATATTTATTATGTATTATTTCCTTTAGCCAAGTGTCATAAGGTATCTAGCTATGTTATGGTACCTTACCGAAATAATGCCGATCTGGTGACTATTAGTAGAATAATCTATTTTTTTGGATTATCAAAATATATTTGTAGAAGGAACTTCTACAATACGACACAGAATAGAAATCAAAGAACTGCCATTCCCACGATTTAGACATTTTTCTGTTCTATTTTCTGTTGGGGTGGAGGATCAACGGGTCGAAGGTCATGGCTGTTTTCCGCTCTTGTAGATGGCAAAGTAGTATGTTATCTGCTACCTTCTAAGAACCCCTCTTTCTGTTCCTGATACAGGGCAGCCACCACAAGGGTGGCACCGTCGCCTCCATTTCTAGCCAATCCGACACATGTAGGTGCGTGCAAAGAGTTCGTTTCCGAGAAGTAAGCAGGCTACGATGATTGATTTTCGCAGAATCGCAATATCCTGGACTGTTAAAGTTCCCGCCCATACCAGTGCCCCGTAGAGCATCACAGTAGATATGAACGATCTTCGTAGACATTGTGTACAGTATGTGTTGGGCATCACTACTAGCAAGAGCTGCTACCCGCGGTGCGACCCTATGGGCAAAACTTCTATCGCCTATCGAGGCCGAGTCTCAGATATTTCATCGTACGCTCGATGCTGATGTGGACGACTGCCACCACAATTTAGGACCTCGAAGGTAACATATTATTTGGAAAATACTAATTGCAATGCAAACAACCGCTGGATTCTATCAACGACGTATGTATTTCCAGCCACAATCAAAGGTCTGCCTGCCAGTCTTTATAGGATTGCTATGCATTATTGTCTAGTTACAAACGTTTTGTGGACATAACAAGTCGGACCAAACGCTTGACTTCGCTGACTATAATCAATGTTTGCAATTGCATTATTTAAAAAAGTGAACTATTTTTACATTTATAATAATAACCGAATAACTTAGGCCTAACGATACGGCTTCGAATGGAATTTCTGCCCGTGAAAACTAATTTTCGTGTGGTTTAAAAGTCAGAGTGCGGTCTGGTTTTAAGCAAGCCTCCGTGAAGTAATACTGCCGCGTCATTCTGTCCGATCTAATTCCAAATAAAATAAAAACGAACTCATAACTCGTTCTTTGGGAATTCATATTTTAACGAAACATTTTGTTTTGAATACGAGTTCTGTTGAGTCACGTTCATCTGTTATGTGATTGGTAATACTATTTTTATCCTCTGTTGTAATCTTTACGGTGTATTCAAATGTTTTTTGATTTGGCTGTTGAGTAGCTTGCATTTGAATGTATAACTGGAAAGCGAACTTTCGGGCAGGTTCAAACTTGTCAGTTACACTTCATTAGATCAAGAAATCATTTTTTTTATGCAAAAGCCTGTCGGTACAATGGTCGTGTCACTTATGTATTAACTGTATATTCTCCTAAAGAGATCGCAGAACATGCAACAGATCTAAGATTATTTTTTTGTTTATTGTCTAGTATGTAATACTTTTGTGGTCTGTCGGCTCCTTATTCGAGCAGAAATCTTTTGCTCTTCAGCTTGTTTAATTCAATGTGGCCGAACTCGGAAACCTCCTCGATTATACAGAATAGCAATTTTAACCGTAAGAGAACCCTACTTCGGCACAAAAGCAGCGTGATAACACGGGCTCACAGAAAACTGGTGTGCAGCAATTCTTTAGCTGCTCTTCACCGAGTGAGTGAAGTTACCAGAGACCCATATTGCGGCGAGGATACTCATAAGTTGCAGATGTCTATGAGAGAGGGTGGTCACTTACCATTGGTTGACCAGAGCTAGTACTACCCAGGTGGTAGTGGTAGATAGTACTTAGACTTCGTTCAGAAGACTATTAGAAAACACGCGGGTGGCTATTTTACCCGTCTGCTGTTTAACATTCTTGGTTTTAAGAGACGTGTTCTACTGTTCGCTTCGCTTGTTCGTACCTGATGAAGCTTCTAACAATGAAAAAACCGTTTAATTGACAAATCGGTTTAACAGTAACTACTAATAAATAAAACACAATTTTTATTTTTAGGTATACATATTTATTTATAAATTACGCGGTCACATGATATAAATTAAATTATGTACAATTAAATAATACAGTTAAATTTATATAAAAATAATGACTCAGATTCGATCCGGCGAGGCATGGCAGTCGCGCCGTGGTGGCGACGGCACGGCTCACAAACCTGACACACGATCGCCAACGTAATATAATAAATCAAGCTTTTTTTAAAGAAGCATCTGTTAGGTGAGGACGATAAATAAACAAAAATAACAACGGATAATAGTCGACGAATAAATAAATAACATTTAATAGTTAACAGTGACTAGAGAGCGAGGATTTCCTCCAGGCGTCATCGTAGGCATTCGACAGGGTGTAACACTTAACTTAACCTGTTTAATTAATAAATAATTTATTATATAAAAACTGCTTTACACACTTAGACTCCGAATTGTATAAAAAATCGTTACTCATACGCAATATATCGTTAAACTTCCAGTTAGTGAGAATTTTTGTGAGGTGTCCCTCAGGGTTCAATCCTGAGTCCCCATTAGTCAGTCCATTTTTTTGTTTTAGTTATCCACGACGTTAAGGTAGAAGGCGGCAAGGGAGTCTCCCTTGGAGCCCACGGCCCTCGCCTGATATTGTCCTGCGTCTTCTGTCGTACACTTGACGATCTCGAGACGGTATCGTGATGTGCCTTCCATCATGAACTTGTATCGCGCTAGTGTCTCATCGATTGGCTTGCCGTCCTTCAACCACTGAAGCTGGAGTGGTGGCTGTTGACAGAAATATTTTGTAAGTATATCTGACATTATAAGGACATTTTTTAGATCCCTCTAAATCAACTAGTACTAGTTGGTTTTATACTGAGTTTCCTCAACGCCTCTTTACACAGGCTGTCCTACAGTTAAATTCATTTGATCGTAATTTATCTAGTGAACAATTTATTAAATTAGCTTCTATATTATGAATCGTCATTTACCTTATCAAGCTCCGTGGTGAACACGACAGGCTCGCCGATAATAGCTGTAGCTGATCCAGGGAAGGCGGTGTACTGCGGTGTCGTTGGGACCTCGCCCGGTACGCGCACGACCAGCGAGCATGATGAGAACGATTCACCAGCATCGTTGAATGCCTCACACGTGTAGACACCTATGATTAAGGGAATCGGCATAAGTAAAAAGTTTAATAGAATGTCTGTGTTTCAATCTGTTTCTCAACTTGTCGGTCACATAGGCGTTATATTTATTTGTAATACCGAAAAAATCTGTTGAGTTAGTATTTCTGGTTAAACCTCTAACTGCTTAAAGAAGTTTGTTATTATAAACTTTAGGCAGAACCTTGTAGCAGATTGGGAAATAAATAAATAGGAGTAATGTGTCATAAAAAGAACAGACAACTTATTTTTCGCCTAAGCCATAGTTAATATTTAAGCAACAACACTGCTTGATAAAGATCTAATAAAACTAGACTTAAGCTACTTTTTCAAACTCCAAACATTCTTAAAGCTGAGAGACTTCATACAATGAAGTCTTAAAACGACATCTACACATCCACTACGTAATTACTTTCATGTAATTAATAACAGCGCCACCTATTATTTATCGTGTAAACCACTATGTAGCACGATATCTATCTGTCAAGACTGGTAGTGACTTAGTCCACTCACCGGCGTCCTCAGGGAATATTTCTGCGATATGTAATTTGTGAATGTTAGCTTCGCTCGAGTACTGGAAGTCCTTCGATGGCTTAATTTCCATGTTATTGTGGAGCCAAACCACGTCGAAACGCTCAGCACCCGTAATCCTGTATAGATAAGATGATAAATATACTATGCTCCGACTGCATTGAAGTCCAAAGGAGTGTGTTAAGTTTGGCTCTCCATTTGTTCCTTTAGTGGTGGAGTCAATTCATACATTAAAAAAATATTAAACTTTCTTTTCGGCGTCCAAATGTATCGCTTGGTCTTCCAATCTTATGCATGGGATGTTTTCAAAAGTTATCGAGGGGGGTACGAGATTATGGGTTATTATAAAAGTATATACAACTATATGTTTATCTATTGGTATTTATACCGAAATTTAGCTTCTAAACATTAAATTTACTTTTGAACAATAAATAGTGTCTGTGAATGTAAATTTTATTTTACATTCTGTAGCGACATCTATTATCTGAAGAGGTAACTATTATATAAAATATAAAGCTTTGCACCGGCACCGGGCCATGCCTTACTTTTTTTTGCTTAGTATATTGTGTAAATCGTTTTTGTATATCTCGTCGGTGAGGTTGTTAGAAAGAAAAAAATATATTAACCTGCAGGATAGCGCGACCGCATCTCCATCGTTGACAGTCTGTGATTGCGCGTGGTCCACTATTCTGGGAGGCTTGTCTCCGATTTTGGCGACTGCAGCATTAGTCTCCATAGCTAAAATTTATATAAATGAGAATTGTTAGAAAAAGTAGTTATGTTTAACCTCGACGCAAAAAGAACATACAATTTTATGTGTATTTATGTATTTTTTTTGTATCTCTACACCGTATAGCTGCTAAATGAATGGGCTGATTTTGATGTAGTTTTTCTCATACGTTTGTTTTTGATCGTTCTTAAAACGACAACTTTCGCATTAAGAATCTATCTAATCAACACAGGAATGTGTCACGGGGATTTTACAAACATCCATAAAACGGAAACAAAGAACATCTAGACTCGGAACAACAATTTAGGGATCACACAGTATTGTTCCAACCCACAACACATAGCGCAGTAGGAAGCGGTGAGGTGACTGCTTAAACCACTACGCCATCCGTGTAGTCGAATTGTTGAATTGTTGAATGAAAGTTGATCGGGATTCAGTCGAATGTCTGGAAATTCAATAAAATTATTTTTAATCGTCAGTGTATTTATTCAAGTCTGTTTTACTAACCTTTGACGGAAACTTTGCATTTGGTTTCGATCTCGCCTTGGCTGTTGATAGCCTTCAGCGAGTAAACGCCCTCATCTTCGGGGAAGACTTCGTTGATCGCCAGCGATGCAACTCCGTTCTTGTATTTTAGGTCCACAACCTGGTTACAAATATTTTTATCAGTATTGTAATCATATTACTATTATAATATTTAATTAAAGAAGTTTTAGAAAAAGGAATATTGGGAGATTTCAGTATATACGTATAGAGCGTAGAGAGGAAATAAGTAAGAAGGGACTCGGGATGCATCCAATAGGCTAAGCAAGTTAAGGTGCATAATAGTAACGGAAGGCTCGAGCAGGGGTCGGGCAGGTGGTACCTCGGAGGAGTGCAGCGGCTGGCCGTCCTTGTACCACTGCACGCGCGGGTCGGGGTCCCCGCGCACGGCGGCCGACAGCAGCAGCGGCGCGCCGTCGCGGGCGGCCAGCGCGTCGGGCAGCGCGCGCGCCAGCGACGGCCGGCACATGCTCGAGTCCGACGCGGGCACTGCGGGACCGTACAGAGCTGTCTTACACTCGTGACCGGCTTTATCGACTATACTTTAATTATCTATTTACTAGGACTCCCTGACTTAAGTAACCCCTAAATACAACTCTTATCTAATTTCGTTTTCACCATGCTAAGTGACACCTAAGGATCTCCTATTTTATAAGGGTTTCAAAAACCGTAAATTTTCACAAATGTTTTCTGATTGTGTTTTTTGTGCTATATAAAATTATTAAAAGTTTATTAGCGAAAAAATACTGTAAATTCACTGTACTATGGGAACACTTTCTATTGGACAATTTGTTCCAACATATTAAAGTGTATCTACATTTAATAAATCGATCAGTTTTCTTTGCGAATTTAGGTTCTTTATACTTAAAGGTATTATATATATACATGCAATATTTGACATACATACAGTAAATTAAGATTAACTGTAAAGAGGAACCTTGTAGGAATAGTATCATGTAAGTCCTTATTACTACATTCAGTTTTGTAGTCAGTAAAAAAAAAAGTTTCAGACAAATACAGCATTCTTTCATAATTTTAATCATATTTTCATAATGCATCCTTCACACAATATACTTAATTTAATTATTTACTAATACACTAACTTTTACATAATCTCTTAGTTAAAAGTGACTAAATAAAATACAAACGAAACCAAATATGTCCTGCTCTTCAAATTTTTCTTTATTAAAGAACTCCCGCACTAAGAATATATCCTGTGTCACGGGGGAATTCACAAACATATATATGAAATTATGACCATGATTATAAAATACTTACGTATAAGTTCTTTAGTAGCACTTCTAGATCTCGACGATGTTTCCGAGTCTAATCTAGCGCCATATTTCTTCTTGCTCGCCTCTACGGAACTCTGCGGTGAATATTTCGGCCTAATTGACGATTTCGCTGGAGGGTCGATTGTAACCTGTTAACAAATATAATTATTGAGCATTGAGTAAATTACTAATAGTAAAACCTAAGTTTTTAAACAAGAATTATTTATTTACCGACTAAATCACAGGTTTTCATAGAGATGAAATTCATGGTCACTATCAGCTAAGAGTTGCCAGAACTATTTAGCATTAAGCTTATGTTTATGTAAAGTTCGTCAATTAATGTTAAAGTGGTGACTTGGAGATCCCTAGTTAACAGCTTAGAATAATACCGTCAAGATTTTTCAAGGTAGGTTGTCACCACCAAGCTATTAGAAATATACTCCTTTACTATTAACAACAGCTTATGGGGGGACAGCGCGTACGCAGTCCCCACTACCAAAAATTACGCATCCGAGTTATCCACATTAGGGATAATCGCAGGGGTCAACCCAACCGCAGTGCAATGGAGGGATCTCGCCCTGGGGGAACCGCCTTCATGATCACGGTATCCCCTATGCCAGGTAAGTATGATTTCACCAACGCCTTACGGGGTAGTCATTCACTCGCGGAGACTCTTAACACCGACTTCTACTTTGTACTGGCATGCCACCTTTGTAGTAAATGGGTTTACTTTTTGTGACGTCCCTTTTTAAAGTAGCGACATCGAGCGTGAAGTACAGGAGTTTGGCAAAGTGCTGAGAAGCAAAGGCTTTAAAGTTTAAAACATTTAAGGAAACTCCTAACAGATGGTGCTTTAATCAAAATTCTAAGAAGTATTGTGTCAATAATAAAAATGTCCAGCAAAACAATCTGGATATAAATAACTAGACCGGTTTTGGCATTAGATTGGGTGAGAAGAATTAATACTATTTAGATCTGGAGGTTATTAAATGGTCTTAAACGTTTTTGAGATGGCACTGTTTTTACAGAATTCTTCTAACATAATAATTTTATAACACTGTTCCGCTTTAACTTCATGCTACCAAATTTATCACAACCGTAGGCTTTTTATCTTATGTTTTGAAATAGGTTACGAACTAGTGAAAAATATGGGCAAATGGAATTTATTTAACTTATTAATGGTGTGATAAGTTTAATCACATTTAATTTAGCGCTTATATGTAGTGGTTCTAACCACTTGGCAAGGAGAGTTGTAATTTATTAGAATAAATTTGCGGTGTAGGACTACTGTAGTGGTACTAATATGTTTATTTATTGGCAGACCAAAAGCGGTAACAGTAGTAGGTGTATGACATCAAAATATGCAACATTTAGCCAATGCAATTCTTACTATTAATTACAAATTACAGCAATAAGGTTAGCAAGTGTATGAAAACATTTTTAAATTCATAATCAATGAAATCAAAATCATAATTAAAATCAAAATAAGACTAAAATTAAATTTACATGGTTCTCATGGTAATTCGCACATCAAACAAACTGTTAATCTTCATACAGTTTCATTATGATATGAGTTTACAGTAGTCAGTAATACACTAATTAATAGGGGGGGGGACAGCGCGTACGCAGTCCCCACTACCAAAAATTACGCATCCGAGTTATCCACATTAGGGATAATCGCAGGGGTCAACCCAACCGCAGTGCAATGGAAAGGTCTCGCCCTGGGGGAACCGCCTTCATGATCACGGTATCCCCTATGCCAGGTAAGTATGATTTCACCAACGCCTTACGGGGTAGTCATTCACTCGCGGAGACTCTTAACACCGACTTGTACTTTTGTAGTGCCGCCATCTAAATATCACGGGATACATAAACGTGTGACGCCAGTTACGCCATCTATCCTGACATATTTGCATCACGTAATGATACCAAAGTACACTGCAGGCAATAATGAAGTCATAATAAGGCCATATTGATATGACTAAGCCAAATTTGTGGTGGACCTGAATTCTATCTTTACATAACATTTAAGTTATAAAGAAATTAATATTCAACAAAATAGAATAAAAGCAATAGCTCTCTTTTTTTCACTCTAACTTTTAACTACATAATATGTATTTTTTGTTCGCTAATTTATTATTCTGATTATTTTGCGTTGTTATAATTTCTTTAATGATGTTTTATTTATTTTCTTTATAGATTTAATGATTTTTTATTTTAAAAGACTGACTTAAAATAATTTATCAATTATTTTAGTCAATAAATTATTATTATTTTCCATTTAAAATGATTAAGTCTGCAATGTAACCTAATTTTTAGTAATCTCGTATGAGAACTATGACCAGAAGACTGAAATAAAATGATTATTATTATTAAACTGCTTTGTTACTGTGTTATAAAAGGTCACCATAAACACGTAATTTTACAAACTCTTCTAGAGTTAACATTAAGTTCACTGTGTGTTTAGATCACCATTACTAGAGTATTGTTTATGAAGTTTAAAATGAACTATTTACATATACGTATGAAAATGGTAAGTTGGGTTGTGGTACGCTTGTAAATCTCGAAAGTTGTCTAGATGAATGTGGTGATGACAAACCGTATCCGTAATCCGTCACTACACCAACACGGAATCTTTTCATTAAACTGTCATAAAACAATTTTATATAATAATATCATACCTTGTAAATCCAGGGGGACAGCGCGTACGCAGTCCCCACTACCAAAAATTACGCATCCGAGTTATCCACATTAGGGACAATCGCAGGGGTCAACCCAACCGCAGTGCAATGGAGAGGTCTCGCCCTGGGGGAACCGCCATCATGATCACGGTATCCCCTATGCCAGGTAAGTATGATTTCACCAACGCCTCACGTGGTAGTCATTCACGCGCGGAGACTCTTAACACCGACTTCTGCTTTGTACTGGCATGCCACCTTTGTAGTAAATGTGAATACTACTCGTTACATCACTTCTTGTGGTAACGACTTCTACCGGCACATACAAGAACTTGGCACAGTGTACAGAACTAAGTACAGTAAGCACTGAGAAGCAAGGCCCATAACGGTCCGGTGCGTTTTTTATGGTAAAGCATAAACCATGTTTCCGTACCGGTCCGCATTTCAAAGAAGAGCGGTTCGTTTGTGTTGAGGAAATAATCAACAGATGGCGTTTTCTTAATTTAAAGTAACAACAGTAACATATCACTTCTAAAATAGAATTCATGTAATTAACGTGAGATTTGTTTTACCTTAGTCTTGGTGATAATCGGTGGGGGTGCAGGCTTGAGAGGTTTCTCGATGTATCGCCTGTCGCCTGAATGCAGGAAGTTGTGGATCATCTGCGCTTGTTCTGGTGATGTTACTTCGCCTGTAATACATAACTTTAATGTAGTTTCTAAATGTTGATATTTTATTTAAATAGTAAAGAAAATACGTCAATTTACATTTTTAGCTCATTAAGTTTAGCGTAAGCATTAAACATATGAATAGAAGATTATTGTTAAGATCCGTACCTTCAACAATGACGACAGCGGAAGTCTCATCAGTGCCGTGTATATTCGTGGCGACGCAAGTGTACTTTCCGCTGTCCTCCGGCCGACAATCGATAATTTCAAGGGTGACCACGCCATCTGATTGTGTCATCGCGTAGTCATACTTGGATAGCTCTCGCTTGTCCTTGTACCTAAACACAAATAGGGTTACAATATTTGCCTATTGGACGTGACATTTTGGTGATGTGGGTGAGGTGTACGTACCACTTGACTGTGGGAGTAGGCTTGCCACTCAGACAGCAAAGCAGCTTGCAGGTGTCGCGAGCCTGCATGACGCGAGGCCGCAGCTGGAAGGTGAAGGAAGGCGCCGTTTCGCTGGATTCCTGCCAGAATGTGTAAGGTAGGGCCTCGCGCCGGCGTGGGGCCTCGACCAGGTGTGTGCGTTGGACCTTCGGGATCGCTAAACAAACAATTGTAGGTACTCGGTTAACACACTTCAGAGTTCTTTTCAACGGTTGTAAATGGGTTGTGTGGGGTCCCTAAACATTGTTTACCAACACTGAGTATTTAATAATATTACGTAGTTTGGTCAATAGGCGCCATTTATATTTAGACATGTGCAGTACTAACAAACAGTTAGTTGCACAATACAGTCGCGCTTGAAGATACGAAGAGTTGTAAGAGCAACTTTACTCAACTCATTAACCAAGAGCACGCCTAATAGCCCAACATGTGACAGTGCATTACTGTATTGGTTTTCCATCAATACGAATTATATTATTTTGAGAGCGAGGTAGGTACTCAATACCACATTTTTAATAGTTTCATCACTTAATACATCTAGTATTACTAACAAGTCTATAAGGGGGACAGCGCGTACGCAGTCCCCACTACCAAAAATTACGCATCCGAGTTATCCACATTAGGGATAATCGCAGGGGTCAACCCAACCGCAGTGCAATGGAGGGATCTCGCCCTGGGGGAACCGCCTTCATGATCACGGTTTCCCCTATGCCAGGTAAGTATGATTTCACCAACGCGTAACGTGGTAGTCATTCACGCGCGGAGACTCTTAACACCGACTTGCATTTTTTCCTATGGCGACATCTACAATAATCTCATGGGAAACAAAATGTGACGTCATAACAAGGATGTGCCTTGTTGCTTCGTCTGAAGTATTTTAACATCCCATTATATTATTTTCTGAGTAATATCTTCAGTTTAGAAATCATTAGGCGAAGATTTTATTTTGGGCTAAATATCAAGCTTGTAAGAAAAGTACTATTAAAATTCTAATCACAATCTTGAAGTTTTTTGTTTGAATGATGATTAGTAATAATAACTTTACATGTGATAATACTTATGGAATGTAAATAATACTTTATCAACTAAAGTTCGGTTACATTTTTGCACTACAAAGTTTGGTTTGCAATTTAGAAAAGTTCAGTTGATTCAATAGTATACTATTTAAAAAGATTAAGTACTTACTAACAAACGATGGTTTCAATCCAAAAGCTATTTTAGTAAAATCACTGCTATTAAATACGAACTACAAAATATAGTTACCGGTATCTAACACAATCAGAATGTATTGAGCTTTTAGATCAGATAGTTGCACTCCGTTACATATCAGTGCAGTGTCTAATTAAAGCCGAGGTGTGACTACTTTACCGGGTGGTTTAATTTTAGCCCGCAATAATGGCACACAATGGCAGGCGAATAAAACAATGTAATACTTGCTGTTTAATTAATCTGGGATTTTTATATTGGTAAGACATGCTCGATTTATATTGTTAACCTAGTTGCACTATAGCTAATATGGTGTGTACTATTATTTAGAAAACTATTTGTAAGGCTGGTTCCATTTGTTTTAAAATTTGGTAACTGTTTTATTTCTGAAAAGATATCTGTTATATTATTCTAAAGGGGTCATAGGGGTGTCATAGGGGTCGTGATCCCGTAAATGAAAATCTACAAGAAAAACGAAGAAGGATATACAGCGGCTTCAAGTTAGGCCGAATATCTTGTATCTGCTGTTAGTTTTATCTATAAATGTGACTCTACTGTTAATGAATCTTTGACTGTGAGAAGATACTCTTGACTAAAACAAAGTGATAAGTTTATTCTATTATTTTTCGGGATAATTCAATTTTTTTTTATAAATAAATATACTAAAACTTTGTGTCCGTTTATTTCTGTAGCGCAGCCATAAATACAAACAAAAAAATATACGAGTTGACTTGACCGCACCCGTTTTTTCTTCGGATCAAAATCGGTACCTACAAAAGATCGAGTCTTTCAACCGTTTTATTTTTATTATATCTAAACTAATTAATTAAAAAAAAAATTTTAAGGAATGAATAGTGATTCAGTCATTCAAATAACTTTAGACCATAATGTGTTATGGTCAATTCCTAATCATATCTGGCCATGACATATATATTTATATTCAGTACTCACGCTGTACGTTCAGGAAGACGACCTCTTCTCTGAACCCGTAGTGGTTTTCAGCCCTGATGATGTACTCGCCGCGGTCCTCTAGTTTCACGCGATTGATTATGAAGTAGTAGTCATCGCCCGCGTACCTACACACAGATAAGTGAATATTGTAATAGCAGTAGATACTAATATACATCTATTTAATATTACGTTAAAATATTTTTAGTAACTACACTTCTTGTAATCAAATTTCGCGCACTTGGGAATAGAAATTTTGAATACCTAACATCTGAAAAACCAAAACAAAAAATGTGTTGTAAGTTGTTTTTTTTTTTATGTAACAGGGGTCCAACGAGCTGACAGATCACCTGAGGCCCAAGTGTGAGTTTATTTCATTTCTGGTCGGTGATTGGTCCTCACTGAAATCTTTACCGATCGCAACGCCAAACGCGCTCGCCATCGAGAGCGAGTCGACGTGAAATAAACTTACACTAGGCCCTCTGACGTAAAGTGACTACCACCGTCCATTACCTCCTACAACTCAGGAGTAACAAGCGCGTTGCTGGCCATTCTTCTTTCTCTCCTTGAAGATTGTATGGTAAAAGTTTCAGAAGGAGTGCCAAAATGGTACGGCAACAAAAAGCATGACAAACAGGGGTCCAGTATACATTTTTAACTGTTACAGAACAATTTATAGCACAGAAACTTATGAGTAGGAAGCAGTTTCACGTGATTCACGGCAGTGAATAACGTACCTCTTCATGAACTTGACAGACTGTCTGAGCTCGTGGTTGTTCCTGGACCAGGATACCGTGGGCGTGGCACAAGCGATGATGCGGCAGTACAGCTTCACCGACTGGCCCTCGTAGCAGAATGCTGATTGTGGTTTGATCACGAATCTTGGTGCGGCTTGGCGGCGGTCTTTCACATGGACATATTAATCATATTAAAGCTGAGTTTTTGACAACTTTTACTATTGACTTAATATTACTAGTCACTTGTGGAATGCATTCCATAAGTCACTAATATTGTTAAGGTGGATAAGTATTACGTTTGAATTTGCAAGATTGTTAAACAGTAGGTACTCACCGAACTGTCCATCGTAGATCTTCCATTTCTCAATGAGTAGTTTACGCAGCGAACTGTATTCGCTTAGCCTGCCGATCGGCAGTCTGAATGATGACCAGTTCTGTCGTACAAAAACTTGTGTTAGCGTTGCCTGTTGAACAGTTTTCTTAATATATCGGTGGGCACCATATGTGATTATTCCATTTATATACTTAGATAGATGGTCGACAATGTCGAGGGCGCATGGTGACCGAAATGCTGATGATGAGGCGCCTGTATTTTATTCGTCGTTTATGAACAATGTTGCTTACTGTCGTTCTAAATCTTTAATAATCATTATGTGTTTAGTAATAGTATTTATTTTAACTATATAAAAGGCTGAGCGAGTTAGAAGGGATTAAAGAACATTTAATTAAATCAGTTTTTTTTTAAACCGGTATTTAGATTTACTGAATCCACGGTTTTTTTTGGTCACTAGACATATCAGGCTATTACAAATTGAGTTTAAGAGTAGAGACAATATGACATAGTTGTTTGAATGATGAGCGGTGGCAGTGCCGGTAGGGGGTGGGGTGTTTACCTCGTATCTGGAGCGGAGGCGGTCGCGCATGGCCTCGTAGCGTCGCGCCTCGATGGTGGCGGTGCGCGCGGCGGCCGCGTCGCCCGCCAGCCACGGGTGCACCAGGCACTCGTGGGCCGTCAGGCGCTTCCTGGTACATACATCACTTCTATTACAAATTTGGAAGTAAAAACTACTCGACTCATAATTTAAGGCTTTTTATTCATTCATCAAATAATCCATCAAAATATTATTACGCTTTTGACGTTTACTCCTACTTTGTTAAACGCGTTTTTCGACTATCGGCCAGACATAAAATTCTTATAAAAAAAAAAAAAAAACTAAAAACTCTCGTAATTATTAATTGACTTAGTCTGGCTTCATTTCTTAATACGTGTTTAAAAAACAATATGCTCACTCTTTGCTCTTAACCAGTAGCCTCCTGATGAAGTCTTTGGCGTCATCGGACACGTGCTGGAATGCTTCCTCGTCGAACTCCCAGTCGCAAGCCTTCACGTTCTTCAGGGTTTCGATGTCATTGTTACCAGCGAACGGTGATAGACCCGATAATCTAGGAGGATGACAATTTTATTAAAGATACCTTAGTCTAGCAAAAAAAAAACTTAAAATAGTTTTAATAAGCTAAAAGTAATAAAATATTAAAATTTATTTCTTTCAATCTTCTTTGAAATCTTTAAAAATAAATTCTTTTAAATAATAACTTCTACATTTTATCGCTTGGAACGCTTAAAACTGCCTGCCAATCGAGACATTGAAAATAGAATGCTATTATGGAAGTTACAGCCTAACAAAATATTACTGTTTTGCAAACACTTTTTTCGATTCTTGAAGTCTCCTTATACTATGCTCGTGGGACTTCTGAAGGAGAGTTGTTCCCAGCAGTGGAATACTTACAGCACGTAACCGAGTACACCCACGGCCCACATGTCTGTGTAGAAGCCAACAGGCTCACGCTCCACGATCTCCGGAGCTGCGAACTCAGCGGTGCCGGTCGATATCTTCACCACTTCGTTGGGGTCCAACCTCGTGGCTAGACCAAAGTCGATGATCTGTTGAAATAAGTTGTTTTTATTGTTATGTAAGATGTGAAAACATATTCTTTGTTAAAGCTAAGGGCCATTATGTTCCCCAACGATATTAACCATTGAATTATTGCATCACTTCAGTAATTAGCTATCCATTATTATTTTTCTATAAACTTATTCTTCATGAAATTGAAATAGCTTAAAGATTACCGAAAGTTTAAGATGCTATACACAAAAAAAAATGTTTATTCATAATATTAAATTAAAAAAAAAATTAATAATATTTATATTATTTTTAATAGCAGATATTCTCTGGAACTACTAAAATAATTCTAAAAGTACTTTCGTTTTTACAAAGCTACATTTTTCTAATTAATATTACAAATACGAAAAATGTGAATACCCTAAAACAAGGCGAACAATTGCTAGCACAAACAAGTAGTGAAGATAACAATTACATAAAGAGAGGAGTTGACACAGAGACAGAAATATGAAAGACATAGAATTTGGCCTAGATAATTATTGGGGTATATAAAAAGGGAGAGATGTAGTAATGTTAGCAGAGCGAAGATACCGACCTTGACGTCAGTGCCGCTCCTGGTCTGGCACATGACGTTCTCGGGCTTGAGATCAAGGTGGATGATGTTCTGCTCGTGCATGTGACGCACGCCCTCGCAGATCTGGCGCATGTAGTGCGCCGCCTCCGCCTCGCTCATGTTGTAGCCGGGCTCCGTGATGCGCTCGAACAGCTCGCCGCCAGACAAGCTGGGGGAGTTTTATTTATTTTTATTATTTATTCATTGCTGTTGATTAAAGAAAAATAATTCTGTTTTGGAAACTGGTTTCCAATCATTAGTTTCCAATATGGCCGAAGGGTTTTTAAGTCATCGACCATGTCTGATTAAATTTAGACGATATTTACAGGACGTTAACTTTTACAAAATTAACTTTATATATTATATAATTGTTTTTTTTTTTCTTTAGGATACTCACAACTCAAATATCAGAACCATCTCATCATCATCCTCGAAAGCGTCATGCAAATTGATGAGCTTCCTATGATGGAGCTGGTTCATGATATCGATCTCCTTCTTAATGAGCTCCTTCTCCATGGCTCCCACTACGGGTATGAACTTGGCTGCGAAGTAGTTGCCTGTGGCCCGCTCGCGACAGCGGTGGACCACGCCGAATGCGCCTGTACCTACAACAGTGATACGCACCTCATGCCTCTGTTGTTTTTGGGTTAAATAGTTCAGAAGTTAATCCAAGAGCCGTGTTAAGGTTTTAACTGATTAGTCCACTGATATTTGATAATATATTTTGGATTCAAATCCAATAAAGTTTACCTCGTAACACGATGCTACAAAAGTAATTGAATATTCTTAACACGACTCGACTATAAATTTTATTAGGTTTTGAGTGTAAATGATATTTGACTGTAAGATATTATCCGTAAGCAGTAAAATATTCTCATTTATGTAAATAGGAGACTTGAATCTTACGCATTCTACCAGGATTTTAATTTTGATAATAGTACCAATTTCTGGAATACAGATATGTCTTAAAAATACATAGATATGTTTCTATGTATTTTTTTTTAAATTGAATTAATGTAATAATTTATTGGTAAAGTGTTATTAATTGTTTTTATAGCGTGATCGGTCAAATATCATAGACATTAGCTTGTGATTTAATTTTTAACTACATTGTGTGTCAATATTATACGCAATTTCTACAAATTATGTTCTCGCGTGTTTACTTTTAATAATAAATAAACTAATACAATAAATATTTTAATATCTTAATAAGCGAAAACCGTGCATTCATCTACAGTAGTAGATTATAAGAAATATATAATATATGTCAATAGAAATTGTAGTTAAATTATAAATTAAATAATTTAATTAATTAAAAAGTGTTACTCAGAATATACTTTCTAAAATTTCTTTCAATTTAAAAATCTTTTAGCATTCCAATTTATCCTAATGATGTGTAGAAAATCTTTAATCATGCCATTTTCTCCTAAGGAAAAAAAATAAAAAGGTATATAAAATATTAAGTATGCATGTGAGCGAGACAGATGCAGAGAAAGAGATGCACTACATCGATCGATTCACACACAGACCTCGGCCTCGACGTCTAGACGGGGCGCTCACGAAGTCACCTGTGAATCATTGTCACCATGTACTCGCCAATTCGAATCGAGGAAAAATGGACATTAAGTTGTTAAAGAAACTTATGTAGGGTCAGAATTTAAAAAAAGACATCTAGCCTAATCTCAGTTTCTCATTACTGGCAACAAAGTACACAACAAACCTTGTCATACTAACTCATAAAATGGTATATTTTAAGTTTCATAGAGGGTGACTTTTAAATAGTTACAAATTAAACCATGTTAGACACCGGTTATCTTTATATCTTTTCAATAAAAATAATTATTAAAATATATAAATTAAGTGTTGTAATAAATTAATATATTAAAAAAATAAGAATCAATAATAGATTACATGATATAAGGCAATTTAAGGAATTTAAACTACCTTATCCACAAATTTAACCCCTATGTATATCATCTGTGATACAAATGATATTAAAATATCAATAACGAGGAAAATTCTAAAGGATATAAATAGAAAGGAAGGTTTATAGGGTTACTATTTTTTTTATGTTCAAAGTATAAGGTAAGGTAGGTTTGTCCAATTAAATATTTTGTTAGTATTACTATGTTAACGATAACTACAAAACCCTTAAGACGTGATCCCACAAACAACTTCGTGAGTGCTTTTTAGTTTTTATTTTGTTTATTACCATGCTGCTTTTATAGAATAAAAGTTCGTATCTGACATTGTACCTTTTAAAACATAAGCATTTTTCTAACCTAAAGTTTGCTCGTGATTTCTCATTTTAATTTAAAAATTTTAATAAAACTTTAATATTGTCACCGTAGAGCATCAACTAAGTTTAAAATTATTAGTAATAGGACATAGCTCTCTCAATTCTTTTTTTAAATCTACTAGAAGTTAATGAGTACATTCTTAAATATCCTATAATAGATATTGATAATCATATTTTATAACACCAATCGCCAAAATATCATAAAAGCATTAATGGAGAAATACAGCATAAAATGTATTAAACTATACGCTATGTAAAGCTATAGTTTCATGAGTAATTGAATTATATATGAAGAGAGTATATAGAACTAAAATCAAAAATAGATTGCAAATATTCTGGTTTCTACTAATATTAAAAAATAACCATAATTAATACATTAAAGATAAGTATATTTTTTTTCTTACCAAAAATGGCCGCAATAATAATATACTCAGATATACATTAATTAACTATGTTTATATCGAATTCCTAATTAAAATATCCTTTTTTTTTATTTACTACCTTTCTTATATAAGCGAGTGTTGCATGCAAAAAAGGTTAACACTATAATTCATTGTTTGCGGAATAAGCAAACAATTATTTATAGGGTAAACAATTAATACACTTGTCGCCCAATATTTATGAAAAAAACAAAACGATAAAGAATAAACATTAGAACCTAACGCCTACTATTAAATGTATGTGCCCACCTTTGCGACATTCAAACAAATATAAATAAACTGCACAAAATCAATCTTCTAGTCAAGATTTATAAAGGATGTCCTTGGCGGCAGTATAGAAATAAAACGAGAATGTACCGGTAACTTTAGTAGCTAGATATTTTGGTGGTAACACGCTACTCTACAATAAAACAGTCTCTAAGACAAGCTGGTAACTACAGTAGCCAACCATAGTCAACTTACCAATCTCTTCGAGTATATCATACTTGTCGTACACAGAGCATGTGTTGATGTCCACTGGCTGTGGAACGTATTTACTGTATATGTCGAACACATAGCTGTCGTAGTCTTTGATCGGACCGTGGTCAGCGTTCGTGCGGATACGTTTGCCGGTTTCGTCCACTGAAAAAAAAACGATAACTTATTATTTTTAATTTATAACAGACGCCCAAGATATGTTTATAAGGAAATACGTGAATAAGATGAATAGTGTATACGTATATACGTGTGGTGACGGATTAAGAACACGCAGTGTCACCACCTCTTTTCATCTCGTGTGTGTCGTAAGAGCCGACTAAAGGAGTAAACTATGCCGGAAAACAGTACTGCAAAGAGAAGGAAAACTTGACATAAACCCTATACCAACCCAGCCAGCGTGGTATAGTAGGGCAAAACCTCATTTCTAAGTAGAGGCCAAACTGTTGATGTGAAGTGATGATGTGAAGATAAATAGAATAATATTTCTATTTACGAATTTCTTTTTCGCATTGTATCTCTGGGTATTACAACAAATTGGTTTCAAAGAGTTGGTATTAACAAAAAAATCAAATTGTTATTTACCTGGGTATTCCTTCTTCTTGAACTCCTTTTTAATGATAGACTTGGTTTGCACCAAATTCGTAGGTTCGCTAGGCTCTGATCGTCCATAGATATTTTCTGCGTATACCCTAAATTCATACTGTTTACCAGGCACTAAGCCGGTAATAGCCATTGTTGTGAATCTGAGAAGAACAACATAAGATAAATTAATAAAGGAATTATTTACACAAGCATTACATGTGCATTGATATGATGGTACTTCTAAACTATTCGTTTCTGATATTAATAACATAACTTGAGACTGTTTTGTTTTTATGATAGAATAAACAGAAAATTATAAAGTACTAATTTTATATTACATACTTAATTAATTCGTATAGGTCAGGGATTCCACAAACTCTTTACGGCAAGAGACCCCTTTTCTAAAATGAACTGAAACCTCAGACCCCCATAGCCACACTCTACGCTTATCGACTTGTTGAGTTTACTTAAAGTACAACAATGATACTTCTTACTAAAATATTAGTCATTCTTATAACAAGTTGGTACACGTAATACAACTCTATCTTGAAATGAAACTTTCAGAACTTGTGTTAATTAATAGGGGCCGATTTTTAGACCTCGTCGACCTTCAAAATTTGTTTTCATTTATATCGACCCCTGGGAAACCAACTTCGAACCCAAGGGGTCGAACGACTACTTTGGGAAACCCTAGTATAGGTCTTGGTGTAAGATTATTTAAATTGCAGGCATTTGAAATGATTTGTATTAATACCAAACAGACCCAACACTAAAGTATTTACATGTATGAATGGTGGTTTTACTTTTTCGATAGCATAGTCAATCAGCCTTTAATTAACTCTTTATATCCTAGTATGTATTTTGTTAATCAAAAGTATTAAAAGTATGTCAGTATTCCACGTGTTCCAGAGAGACTAGAAAAGTTACAGTGTTAGCAACTCTGTTGATTTATACCTGGTGTTGCCAACTCTTATCCAGCTGGACATAGGGTGTTCCCTCTTCTCCACCAGATAGTTTGTAATGTCTGAACCTCCGTCCCAGACTGGTGCTTTCCAGCTGAGCGCGAGAGAGTCCACGCCGATGTTGTCTACCGCTGGGAACCGAGGCGGGTCTGGACGATCTGTTGAATATTAAGTTTGTTTAGTATGTGCATTTTTATAAATACCTACTACAATAACAATTACAATAACAAAACAAAATACAACAATAACAAAAATTGGAATGGATAGAACTTTTATATTAGTACCGCACTGATTTCTCATAAATTTTATGTGATTTTGATGGCATTTTTATTTAATTTTATTATTTATTTAATATTATTTAATATTATTATTTTTATTTAATTTGATGGCATTTTTATTTAATATTTTGATGACCAGTGCAAATCTTAACATGTCAATATATTACACCTTTGGTAAAACAAAGGAATAAAACACAAATATTAAAAACTCAGTGATTAAAAACCTAATGGATTAAAAATTAGCCCCTTATGTAGAGAAACAAACACGTCTATTAAGTTTAACTTAATATTATAGAAGGCAATATTGTTAGGGTTTATAAGCATTATTATAAGATATCATGTAAAAAATAATTACAATGACTGCAATAAATTACAAAGAGTGCAATTTCAACTTCTAAACCAAGGTGCGAATATTTAACTAATAATAATAATTGGTAGCTTCATTCTAACTTTCAGATTTTGTATAAAATATTGTGTCTGGGCTTGGTAGGAAGCTTTTAATTAAAAAAACAACTTACCACTGATTTCAACGTTGATAATGGCGGAATCCTGTCCCAGTTCGTTCTCAGCTGTGATCCTGTACGGTCCGGAATCCAACTTGCTGGCGTCACGGATCGTCAGGATAGCGTGACGTTCTGATACAAGTTATATGCATGTATTAATTAATGCGTGAAGATAATTGTTCGGAAAAATACAAATAAAAGTATCTGACGCAGTACCGTCAAAATTTAACTAATCTAAGTTTAAAAACTGCTACATTAAGTATTCTTATACGTTACGGATATATTACAAGATCAGCTTAATCTATACTGACCAATGAAATATATAATGAACTTGATTGAAATTCGATTACTGGTTACGTTAAATTACTAAATTTGAATCTGTATTGCATAGAAAGTAGTATGGTAATTATACTATGAGTTGAGCCACTTGTTTGATGCTCTAGTTTGATGCTTTGCTTTAAATGTTATTTCAAAACTTCTTACTAGAATATTTTTTTCAGTATTATATTTAGCAAAGAATGCACAACACTAAAATATATAAGTGTATGTTTAATTTAATCATTGATCATCACTGTTTAGGTGATTGATAGTTTTGCGCTTAGCTGGCTATTTATGTTACCAGATTATAGTAAAAATTACCTTTTCTCTCAACATGATAATGCAGTCCAGACTCAATGGTCTCTCCCTCTCTGACCCAAGTAATCTTGGGTACAGGGTGGCCGGTAAACGGAATCTTGATGACCACGTTCTCGCCCTTGTCGAAGTACGCGGTGACACGGAAGCGAGGCGGCACGTTCAGTTTTGGTGCAGCTGTTGATATGAATGATAGACAGTAGTTTTAAATAATTAGTTTTACACAACACATTGATTCAATCGTTAGTCTATCATTGTATACAATATAATAAACCTTAGTAATGAAGCCATATAGTTTTTTATTAGAAAACAAATGCACCTTAAAAGTTATAGATTTAAAGAAATATTTCAAATGAAGGTGGAACAGGGAGACAAGAATTTCACAAATATTTTTTTGTAATAATGGTATATTAGATGTATAAGGAAAGTATATACATACGCCTGATATCCCATGAAGATTAATGATCGAACTCACAACGCGAGAGGCACTTATTTATAATGTAACTAATTCCTCTCACACTGTAGGATCAACAGCAGTTACCCACGAACACACCGAGTTATGACACTCGGGAAGTCCCAGGAAAAGTAATACTGTTTTGCCCCAACGAAATTAATCGAAATTAAATTGGAGGAGTTGGACAAGCTTTACACAACAACACTAGAGGCACTATTTTTATTTTTTATTTTATTGAGACTACCTACGAACATATTGCATAAGGCGGACTTAATGCCACAGGCGTTTTCTTCCAGTCAAACCTTTGGGTGTTGCAAAGCTGTGTGTGGCAGGTGTATATTTGGGACAGGTAAGAATGAGACTGAATTAAAGAATGATACAAAAGTTGAAAAAAAAAATCCTACTTATATATGGGTACCAGCTATACATACATATAAATTTCAAAATATAATAATTTATTGGTAAGGATGTGTCAGATACTCACTCATAATAAACAGTTCAGCCCTGGTGCTCTTGACTCCGGCGCGGTTGACCGCCCTGCACACGTACTCGTCAGCGTCCTCTCCGAACACATCGTTCACTGTCAGGAAGTGGTTGTCTCCTTCGCTCCAGATGTGGTGGCGTGGACCGTTTGTTATCTCGCGGGCACCTACCATAACATACATATATTTTTTGAATATTTAATGTTTTGCGCTAAAATACGAGGTCAATCTCCCTAGGATGAGGGATATTTCAATAGGCACGAGTGTATGACTAGAACTAACAGAGGGAAAAATTGCGGAAAAAGGTGAAACCTGGCCATTATTTCTTTTTTCTCATTTAAAAAGACAAATTACAAATTACTTGTTTGGTTCTCTTGGTCTCTCTCTCTTGCCTATTTTTCTTGTGACAATTTTATGTATACTTTAATTTTGTTGATAATTTATATATCTACTAATTAATTACTTTTTTTGCCTAATTATACAAATCTAGTAAATTTTCAGAATTGCATGAAAAAGTTATAGCATATAATATAGTTACTTTTTCCAATTAAATATAGAATCTTTTTTTGAAATAATAGGTTTTTATAGATTTACTCACCTTTGTACCACGTGATGGTAGGTTTCGGTGATCCAGTAATGGTACACTGGAACTTCGCGTTGTGGTTCTGGATGCAGTTTGCGGTCTTCAACGGTTTTACTATTTCTGGTGGCGTTGCCGCTACGATGATAAAACATAACACAATTAGAATAACGTATTTAAGTAACCATTCTAATATATTTACATATTTTGGACAGATTTATTAACCTATAGATTTAAACAGTCACCATCATAATATTAAATATTGACATCAATATTTTGTTACTTAATTTGAAAAAATAACAGTTTTCGTGTTGATTAAGTCAATTAAGTCAGTAAAATTCATTGGTTTTAAGTTTGATATTACTTTAATGATTAAACACAAAATTTAAAGTAAAGGATTTAACGATACCAATATATTTAACGTCACAACTTGTTATATCATACAAATAAAAATAAATTGATTCAAAAGAAGATAACTTTAAATACTTTACTCTTCTTAACCTGACTTCCGACTCTCTTGAGTTAAATACCGTTAAATGAATTCAATTATTATCATTGGGCAAGAATATTTTTCAGAATAATTTACGGTGCAGATAAAATAGACCCTTACCTTTAGGATCTTGAACCTTGACCTGCATCGAAGCAGTGCTAGGCGGCGAGAGACCAGCCTCGTTCTGTGCGGTCACACGGAACTCGTACTGGCGACCTTCGACCAGGTTGGAGCAGTTCAGCTGGTTGGGCAGGCACAGGCTCGCGTTCACGCGCTGCCATGTTGTTGCTCCTACTTCGCGCTTGTCTACCCAGTAACCTGATGGAAAATAATTATTTGATTAAATCTTTTTTGTCTTCTCATTAACTAAGAAATACTCTATAAATCCAGATCTAGCAAATTGTTACGCTGTTTTTATTTTTTATTTTAAAGTTATCTATGAAGCACTTTACCAGTTTCCCTAAATATCTATATAGGTAATAATATTTTTTTTTTATGATCTATATCTATGATGGTGGTGATATGATAGGGATGGTGACATTCCGTATTTTTAATTCATCACCGCACGGATATGCGGTGACGTATTAAATTTGACCCAGTTTCCAGATGCTTTAGGAACTATGAAATAATATGTATTGGACTATGTACCTTGTATTCTAGCGCCTCCATCGCTTGTAGGCTTCTCCCATTCCAAATGGACAAAGTCTCCTCCGACCTCCAGAATCTTGGGAATGCCAGGCGCTGATGGTGGATCGAACGGTGCCTTTGCCTGTATAAAGTAAAATAACGTTTAACAACAATTAAAATTTGTCTTTTATGTATATATCAGTAAAAGTTGAGCTGTATCTATGCCTTCTAATATCTATATATAAAAAAATAAGACTATGGCAAACAATGATCATAACCTAAGGACACTTGCAATAATAGACTTTACAAATATTTTTCCCATGCGTTTCTTTCGTTTTTAGTAAGTCCTAAACACTCACCTTAATCGGATTGGCTCCCTCAAGCGCAGGTCCAATACCATTCTCATTAGCGGCATGTATCCTAAAGTTGTATTCCTGTCCTTCTGTCAACCCTTGGACAGTAAACTTGGTATCCCTGACCGATGAAGCAATAGTGATCCAGGCTGTTCCAGAGATGTCGTTACGTTCGATGACGTAGTGTGTGACAGGCATGCCTCCGTCGTATGTAGGCGGTTTCCAGGCCAGCGTGCACGAGTGACGTGTTATGTCTGTCATCTCCAGCGGGCCTTGAGGAGGTCCAGGCAGGCCTGTGACCGTGATAGAGAAGGTGTCTGATGTTTCGCCTGAGTTGTTCTTGATTGTGATCTTGTATGTACCTGTAGGTAGGCAAATCGGGCGTAAATTATACTTTTACAGATTTTGAATTAATGATTAGTGTATACGCAAGTACAAAAGAAAAGATTTGAATAATCTTTCGTTTAAAGTTTAGAACTTTAGGTTAAATAATAGCTTAAAACTACATTTTATTTTTTAATCTTAAAACTGTTAACTTAAAAATGTTTATATGGAGGTACATCATTGTTTTTTTAAATGAAAAATCTAAAAAACGAACGAATATGCGAATAGCGGACAAATTCATCATTTGTGAACCGCTGGTTTATATAACAGCAATGATTACAAGACAAAATAACTAAAACTTCAGTCAGGTCAAAACTAAGAGCGTTCATAGGATGATTTTGTGATTTAATTTTGTATGATTTTAAATATTAAGTAGTATTTCTTTCAAGTATTAACTACGTTTATCAACTACGTTTATTAGTCAACTGCATATTAGATTCACATCACTAGATGTGAATCTAACATGCATTTCTTTCTATTAAGATGTCAATAGACAGCAATATATTGTAATATTTATTATAATCTATATATGTATGTGAGATTGTATAATGAAGCAAAAAACACTAAAAAAAAGGTTAACGTAAAATGTAATTGGCAGTGTATAACACTACTTACCCATATCATCTTTATTGATGTCCTTAATAAATATAAGTACATAATCATCGAACACGGTGCACTTGAAGTGCGGCGACTCAGCGAGCTTGTGCCCGTCCCTGGTGAGCGTGACGTCAGCGGGCTGGTCGCCCGTGTACAGGATCTTGATCTTCGTGTTGTCGTGCTCGGGGAGGTGCATGTCGCCTGGCATGCGGGTGATGCGGGGCGGGTCTGATACAAAAACATAGGACTATTAATCTTAAATCTTTTTTGGGAATTTTTTTGGACACAACGATTTGTTTTTAATCTAAGGATTTTTGTATAAAATTGAATCAAATCAATCAATCAATAAAGTACTGTTTTAAGAGATCGAAGCGGTGACGCTTGATTTACTTGCAGCTTAAAAATAAACCATCAAACCAATAAGTCAGTCAATTCAATCAGTCACTGAATAATTCATGATTCGTTTACATTTCATGCCCACTTTAGGTTTATCTACGTTTAATAATGATTTTACATCGCTAGTTAAGCTTTTACTTATACTTTTATGTTATATCAATAATATATTAACAATAAATTTAAAGTACTAGCGACGAGTACTCACTTCCGATCTTAAGATGTCCAGTACAATAGATGAAACCGATGTTATTAACAGCCTCGCACGTGTAGTCACCCTCATCTCCGTCGTGAGCTTCGATGATGTTCAAACGGAGAGTACCCTCGCGGGATTCGGCAATGAACCTGGTAACGAGTTTTATATTAAGAGTTGGAGAAGTTACTGAGTTATTTTAATAAGGAATGGTTATATTCAAGTTCGTTATATACAGCCAGTAAATATTTCAGTAACCGCAGTAAAGTTAGTAAGTAAAATGGGATTTGATTAATATACACAACAGATGTCAATTATTTTGGTAGAAATGATGAGGAAAAAGGAAAGCTTTATGCAAGAAAATAATAAATTTAGCCCGATTAAAAATATAATATTCAGATTTTATTAAAAAAACGTAGTGAAGCGTCGTATTTTCGCATAACATATACTATCATAAAGAGTGACAACGCATGTCGTTGCGTCTGGGCCACGACAATAGTTTTTTTTGTGAAACATTATATCAATACCAAATAAAAAGGACCGAGTGAGTCTTACAGTAGTCGCGTAAGATTTGTGACATTTGACACTTCACCTACCGGCTGACGGTCACGTCCATTATCATGCACACACTGATTAAATCAAATTCAGTGAGTTTCCCCCGCTTGTTGTTATACATTTTCTTCCCTTTCCAAGAAATCACGTCCACAAATAGCAGGAAAGCGATTAGAAAGACGTAATACATTTAGTGTGTGTAGGTACCTGGTGCCGAGCACGATCTCGCGGCCGTTCCTGAGCCAGCGGCCGGTGGGCACGGGGTTGCCGGTGGCCACGCACTCCAGCGTGACGGGGCGTCCCAGCGGCGCGCACACCGTGGCGGGCAGCTGCTTCACCCACTCCGGCTTCGTGCCGCCCAGCTCCTCGCCCGTGCGCACCGGCGTCGTGCAGCTCGACGGCTCCGATTTACCTACACACACCGTACTATTTCATTCCTGTTTCTAATTAGATATGGTGGCTATTTCGTGCATACTCTTATAGAAGTAATATTTTCATATTAAAATAATAACAATAAACTGTTTGCCCTTAACATTCATCTACCTATTCATTTTTAATTTGAAGTCATCAAAAAAACTCTAAGAGTGAGTGAAGTTCACCCTTCCTTTCTCCTAAATCTTTCGCTCAGAAGGCGACAATCTACTCGTGTCTCATAAACTATTGCAGGTAGGTAGGTAATCCCGTCTACTTCTTTTATTCATATACCATAAAAAATTTGACGATTACCAGCGGCATTGACAGCGATGATCCTGAATTCATAGTCGGCCTTCTCGTTGAGATTGAGCGCCGTGAAGGTGGTGTCCTGCACGTTGTAGTCGTTACACTTGATCCATACGGAGCTACCCACGTCGCGACGTTCGATGATGTAGCCGGTCACGCGAGTGCCTATACCATGAAAAAAATCGTATTTCATTACTCATATTTAAAACGTTTCTTAAAAACAAAAAAGATTCGGTCTCGCAGCATGGGAAAGTTATAGACGCTGAATTGAAAAGTGTCGCGGTATAAAGGAGGCGGTACCTCCGTCGCTGGCGGGCGGGTCCCAGGACAGGTCGACGTAGTTCCTGCCCACGCGCAGCACGCGCGGCGCGCGCGGCGGCGCGGGCGGGTGCGTGCGCGGGCGCACCTTGAAGTGCTGCGAGCTGCCCGAGTACTTGCTCCAGCCCGCCGCGTTCTTGGCGCGCACGCGGAACTCGTACTCGTGCCCCGCCACCAGGTTGTACGCCTGCCACACACACACGAACACATTCATATATATCTTATGCTTTACACGTATACTTTCGACATCTTTACGTAGAAATTGAACTTTGACGAAGCTATTATGAATCGATTTAATAGAGATAACAATAATGAAATGAAATTGTAAAATATGTCATGAGTAACCGGACAGCGAAATATTTATTTTTTAATATTATATTTTATTTCCGACCAGTGTAGCAGTAGCAGCAAATTGTATTATTTAATATGTCGATAATACAAATTAAAACAACCAATTACTAAGAAATGAATCCCTCACTAACATTCAATCATACTCAATTTTTTTTTGTAAAAGACTAATAATGACCAAATTACTCAACTATTATTTTATATTATTTAACAGACTTTATTGTAAAACATAAGCGGCAATCGAATCTTACCTGGTAAGTACACTCTTTGACGAGATAGTCGGCGCCGTTCCAAACACCGTCTTGTACATCTCTGAACTCGACCTTGTATCCTTGGATGCGAGCGCCGCCGTCCGACCTCGGCCTGTCCCACACGAGCGTGGCCGTGGAGCCGTCCCAGTCCGTCACGCGAGGCACGCCCGGCGGGTCCGGGATTGTGAAGGCGAACTGGGACAGTAAGTACGTGTATACATAAAAACAGTTTAATGTGGTAATGTTATAGGTATGGCAATTTTAAACTTGAATAGTGGTGTCCCTAAGTGTTAAAAAAATACCAAGATATCTGTTTAATCGATCTGCCTACTATTTTAACGGGTTGATGATAATCGGAACCGACGGCTTAACATGCTCTCCGAGGCAGGGAGGGGTCTCAATGTGAGAAGAATGTTCACCCAGCCATACTGACCTGGCTAGAATTCCTTAACATTGCAATGTGCAACCTACTCGGTTATCACAGTCACGAGACCATCATATATTCGTGATCGAAAAAGTGTCTAAAAAAGGACGTTTCGCGGTTAGCTTTATTATATGTTGATGACCACTAATATTGAATGCTACTTTAACATCGGTATTACGCTGAGTGGGTTATGAACCCGCAACCAATCGATAGCAAGGCGATGATTTAGCGTGTATGTGTACGTGAATGTTATATTAGTGACATACCTTAGCAGTAATAGAATCATCCATAGTCAAAGGCTCAGAAACTCCATATTGGTTCTCAGCGCGCACACGGAACGTGTACTTGCGGTTCGCTTCCAGACCCATAACGTTGTAGTGGCAGCTGCGTACGAATGACGAGATCTTGCTCCATACCTGAATATATAAAAAAAGGTTAGAATGTTATTGAAGTTTATGGTTATAAGCAGACCGATACCGATAGTTAGTCCAATCAAATTAGTCTAATGTATTTAACTATTATGACAAAAAACGAGCGTGCTTTACAGTAGTCGCATATAATGTGTAACCATCTGACATCTCACCAACACCGTGGGCGCTCAAAGATCTAATAATTCTAACCAAATAGCGCGCGCTTCCTTGCCTTCTTCCGTCCCTTTTCAAGAAATCACATTCAACTATAGCAAAAAAGTGAGAGAAAAGAAGTTACACATCAATAACAGCTTCTGAAGTCATATTTTGCTGGCGTCAATGCGCTATGACGATATGATTGAAAAATAATTAGAAATTTAAAAATAATTTCATTTTACAAAGTCTAATTATACCCTATTGTTTTCAAATTTTGTGTGTATTGTAAACATTGAACATACCATAGACTTGGAACAATAATTCTTCGAGCTCACTGACCACTTTCAAGTCCTTGCAATCATCGCATATAACCCATAATTGATCAAGTTATACTTACTCCACTGTTGTCCATCTTCTCCACAACATAGTTGGTGATGGGTGAGCCGCCATCGTCCAGTGGAGGTTTCCACGAGAGCGTGCACGTGTCTGGAGTAATGTCGTACGCGTCCAAAGGTCCCACTGGCGGTGATGGTCGGTCTACTACTAACACCTAAGACAGTTAAAATAAATTTAGTAACTGAGGAAAAAAACAGAGTTTTATGTTATAGATGTCATCATCATCATCATCAGCCTTTACTAGTCCACTGCTGGACATAGGCCTCTCCTTTGAAAGGAGGTTTTGGCCTACTATACCACGCTGGCCAGACGGGTTGGTATAGGGTTTGTTTCAAGTTTTCCTTCTCTCTGCAGTGCTGTTGTCCTGCGTAGTTTGCTTCCTTAGTCGCCTGTTACGACACCCAAGGGATGAATAGGGGTGGTGACACTCTGTATTCTTAATCCGTCACCACACGGACGTTATAGATGTATTATATTATTATTTAAACACCATAAGTACAGCTATTAATTGTTACTGTTGATAGTATCCCAAGTCGATTTTAGAGATACAAGTCAGGTTGTTTTAATGACTTTGATTTGCCGAACAAAACTTTATTTTGAGTTTTTATACATTTGCTGGGTACCTATTTAAGTTTAAGAGCAACCTATTGTAAAGATATATTATTATCGATAAATATGAATACAAATTTTGTCAACCCCGACTTTTAACAGGCTTCAAAAAGGAGAAGGTAGCGAATTTACATTTTTTTTATATTATTTGTGTTGTACTCAAGGTTTTGTAATTAAGTAAAATATGGTTAATAAAATGGGTAGCTCAAGGGATGAAGAACGAAATCTCATAATATTTATTCGCATATTACAATCTTTTATCATATTATAGGGGTGTTAAAGTCGGTTTACCTTTAATAACTTAATTATTCGACCCAAAGTCATGTGTACAACGATAATACGTTAGAAAAATCATAACATTGTCTCATAGATAATTGTTCAAACTTGACCAAGTTAGGAGGGGCCTTGGAATTTACTAAACAGATAAAATAGATATTTATTGGCTTACTCACCCTGCAAGTGGCACTATCTGATCCTTCGCTGTTAACCAGCTGAATAGTGTAAGAGCCAGTGTCTGACCGTTTAGCGGAAGTGTTGTGGAAGACTGTGTCCACGTCTGACGTCACGAAACGAATGCGGTTGTCTGGGAATACTTCATCGTTGTTTATTATCCACGAAACCTATGGCAGACAGAGAATTAAGAATTAATAAAAGGACTTATAAGTATCAGTATGTAAGAAATAAAAATGACCCTGATTTCATTTAATGACCATATAGCAGCAAGTTTCAGATGCCGAAGCAGAGAAAATAAATAGTTTATAATATATGTTACTTATAAATTTCACATATTTCAATAATTGTTAACTCACCTTCGGCCTCGGGTTTCCAGTGAAAGGTACAGTAATCTTAATCTCCTCTCCAGCAATAACAGTAATATCTCTAAGACTGAGGTCCGAAGTAATCTTCGGAGAGTTTGGAGGAGCACGAGCTCTGATAGCATCAGAGCTGGCCGAGTAACTTCCTTGTCCGGCAGCATTGATGGCAGCTACACGGAATTCGTAATCATGGTTCTCTATTAAACCAGTTACTTTAAATGTAGTGTCTGGAATGTGAGAATGAGATGCTTTGGTCCATTTGTCTTCAGTGATTAGTCGCTTTTCAACAACGTAACCAGTGATGGGTGAGCCACCATCGTGACGTGGTTTGGTCCAGGTAATTGTGATTGAAGATTCCGTAGTCTCCACTGACCTTGGCGCGCCAGGTGGACCTGGAGGATCGAATGGATGTCTGGCTTTGATTGGTTCCGTGGTCTGAACTGGGTCTGATTGACCGTACTGGTTCTCGGCCATTACCCTAAATTCATAATCCTTGCCTACTGTCAAGTTCTTTACGCGTAAGAACGGAGTCGTGACGTAGCCAGATACCTTGGTCCAGTTGCCTGTCCTGGATTCACGTTTCTCAACAACATAGTTCGTGATATCACCGCCACCGTTATCTTTAGGTGGGTTCCAGTATAATGTGAGAGCTTCACCTTCGAATTCATCAGCGCGAAGGTTCTCTGGTTTACCAGGTCTGTCGAGCACACGAACGTTAATTGTAGCTGTGTCGTATCCTGAAGGATTGCGTAGCTGTAGGCGGTACTGTCCTCCGTCTGATCTCTTGGCATTCTTAACAACAAGTGACGCCGACTCTGGTGTGATCTTCTGGAATATTCTAGAATCACCTTCAACATCAAGAAGGTTATCGTCCGCAAACCATGAAGCTGTCGGTTGCGGGAAGCCAGTGTATGGTACGTGAATGGAGAAGTCTTCTCCAGCACGTACAGTAATGTCTCTGACTCCTCCGAGATCCATGCAAGGTTTGTTTGGTTGCTCAGCAATAGTAATGTCACTGGTTGGTTTGCTAGGATCTGATCTACCAGCATCATTGACTGCGATGACCCTGAATTGGTAGTCATCACCTTCTTTGAGTTTCGGTACAGTATGTACCAAGCTTGGAATAGGTACATCATTGACATCCTTCCAGTCCTTATCACCCTTGCCTTTCTGTTGGATGATGTAGCCCTTGATTTTGGCTCCACCGTCGCTCTTAGGTGGCCTCCAAGACAATGTGACCGAGTCTTTTGTAACTCTGTCTGGTTTAGGCGCTTCTGGTGGGCTAGGCTTAAGTCTTTGTGTCTGGGCGGTAATTGGTTCAGTCGGTTTACTTGGTTTGCCGGGTCCAGCTTCATTGACAGCAATGACGCGGAATTCGTATTTGTTGCCCTCACGGAGGTCAGACACAGTGTAGCAGGTGTTTGGCGTAGGGTAGTTATTAACTTTGACCCAATCGCCTCCACGTTCCCTCTTTTCAACGATATATCCAGTAACAGGTTTGCCTCCACAGTTGGCTGGAGGTTCCCATTCAAGAGAACAGCTGTTGGAGCTGTAGCCAGTGATCTTAGGCGTTTCCGGCGCACCTGGTGGGTCGAATGGTGATTTAGCAATAGTGGGTTTGCTTTCCAATGGATCTGATACTCCATATAAGTTTTCAGCACGTACTCTAAAAACGTATTTCTTGCCTTCGGTAAGATTTTTGACAGTGAAAGAGCATTTTGGACAGAATCCAGCGACAGTCCTCCAATCGTTGACCCCGAATTCGGCTACTTCAACAACGTAACCAGTAATTTCTGAGCCACCGTCATCAGTAGGTGGCTGCCAGCTAAGGCTAATAGAATCATGAGTAACAGGTTGGCATATTAGAGGTCCTTTAGGCACTCCTGGTTTGTCAACAACAATGACTTCAATGTCCGCAGAATCTTTTCCGTGTTCATTGGTTGCTGTAATAGTGTACTTACCAGCATCTTCTCTAACTGACTTCTCGATGCTAAGTTTCGTTTCATCATTCTTAGTTTCCGTGGAAAGCCTGTGTGATGGTGCCAAACGTACGGTTCCCTTGGTCCAGGTAATAGTTGGAGTAGGTGCTCCAGCGATCGGAATGTTGATGTTGATTGGTTCTCCAGCGCGAACCTTGATTTTCCTGCCAATGAGGTGGTCTAAGCTAAGCTTAGGTTTCTCCTTCATTGGTTTAGCAATCAAAACGTTGGATGGATCAGAAGGTTGACCAGGTCCAGCAGCGTTGACTGCCGACACTCTGTATTCGTATTGATGACCTTCTTGTACTCTGTCGTCATTGTATTCGTTGAACTTAACTGGATCCTTGTTCAGTTTAATCCAGCGGCCAGTAGCCTTATCTCTTCTTTCAACGTCGTACCCAAGGATATTGGATCCTCCGTTGGAGATTGGTGATGACCATCTGACTTTAATATGATCCTTGTCTGCGGAAACAAGTTCTGGCTTTCCAGGTTTACCAGGAACAGTGTACTGGTTCTTGGCCACAATAGGCTTATCTGTAACCAAGGGCTCTGAACGTCCCTGAAGGTTTTCAGCGAAAACTCTAAACTCATACTTCGTACCTTCGGTTAATCTTGGTACAGTAGCATGGTTATACTTAGGATTTATGTATGTAACAGCGGGCACCCATCCACCTCCATGAGTCAGGTCTCTCTTTTCAATGACGTAAGCAGTCAATTCACTGCCACCGTTATCTTTAGGTGGTTTCCAAGACAACGTAACAGATTGTGCAGTTATCTCTTCGTACGTGAATGGAGGCTCAGGAGCTCCGGGTACGTCAAGAACTATCAGTTCGAAGCTGCCTTCATCAGTGCCAGAATCGTTTTTCAGCTTCAAGTTGTACTTGCCAGCGTCTGATCTCTTGCAGTTGACGGTGTGGACAATAGTATGATGACCAACAGATGTGACTGTGGTTCTTTCATTAGCAACCACTGGTTTTCCATCACAGGTCCACGTAACTTCAGGAATAGGTTCTCCAATAAAGTCTACATCTAAGTGGAAAATGAGACCAGCCTTGATGCGAATCTCTTTAAGAGGTGTGAGGATCTTCGGTGCCACAAAGCGGTCCTTAGCGGTTATGACGTCAGAAGGTTCACTAGGCTCTGATTGACCAGCTTGGTTAACGGCAATGACACGGAATTCATAATCTTGACCTTCAGTTAGATCAGGTACTGTAGCCTTATTTTTGCCAGGAGGCACGTGAGCAGCGTTGACCCAGTATGGGCTGCCTTTCTCTTTCTTTTGTACAATATAACCAGTGATAGGAGATCCACCATCTGATTTAGGTGGAGCCCATTCCAGATCAACATGGTTTTTACTCCAGTCTGTGGCTTTCGGTTTGCCAGGTGCTGATGGTTCATCAAACTCATTCTTGGCTACAATAGCACGGTCAAGTTCAAGAGGTTCTGATTGTCCAATAGCATTGACAGCACTGACCCTGAAGAGATATTCCTTCATATGAATCAGCCTTGTTACATTATGAGATAGGTAGGTACTCATGCCAGCGTCGGCCCAAGTACCTCGGGAAAGATCCATTTTCTCGATAACATAGTGGAGAATTGGTGACCCACCATCGTCCAAAGGTACCTTCCATGATAGAGAACATGATTCTTTAGTTACGTCAGAAACAACCAACGGTTTTTCCGGCCTTGAAGGTCTATCCAACACGGTGACTTGAGCAGATGCTGAGCATACTCCAAGGTCATTTTTCAGGGTTAGTTTATAAACGCCTCCATCAGCTCTGACGGAGAATGGAATGTCTAATATCACCCTGTTGTGAAGCAGTTGGATATCAATTCTGTCTGATGGTTGTACAACCTTTCCATTGATTTGCCATTCTACTGTAGGCTTAGGAGAAGCTTCAATTGGTATTTCGTATTGAATCCTCTGTCCTGCTTTCACAGTCTTGTCAGCCAAGAGCGTTTTGTCAAAGTGTGGTGCACAGAATCTAGCTTTGGCTACTTGAGGAGTGGAAGCGTCGCTGGGTTCTCCATTACCAGCCTTATTGACTGCAATGATTCTGAACTCGTATTCCTCGCCTTCGGTAAGGCCAGGTACAGTTGCGGTGGTCTGGTTACCAGGGACAGTTGCAGCAACTTCCCAAGGACCGTATTTCTTCTTCGCTTCTACAATGTATCCAGTTATTGGAGAACCACCATCCTTCTTCGGCGGCACCCATGCCAAGTCCATATGATCTTTGTCCCAGTCCTTGACAACAGGAGTTCCAGGTTTGTCTGGTGTACCATAAGGATCCTTGGCGGTAATTGGTTCGCGACCAGTCAGTGGTGTAGATTCACCAAGTTTATTCACAGCTTTTACTCGGAAGTTGTAATCATGACCTTCAATAAGATGATCAATTCTGACAAAGGTACCTTGGACCTCACCAGCAGGAATCCATCTCATATTTTCTTGGTCCATCTTTTCAACAACGTAGTGAGTGATTTCGCATCCACCATCATCTTTAGGTGGCCTCCAGCGAAGAGTACAGCCAGACCTGGTGATTTCATCAGCTTTAAGTGGTCCTTCAGGAGGTAGAGGCACATCCATGACTGTAATCTTGACTGTAGCCGAGTCGGTACCATTAACATTCCTAGCTTTAAGTGTGTATGTTCCTGAGTCAGCCCTCTTGGCATCAATAACGCGGATCTTGGTGCTATGATTGTCAGATACAACTTTGATTCTGTCATTGTTCATTACTAGATTATCACCAAGGAACCATTCCTTGGTGGGAGTAGGTTCACCGGCGACTGGTACATCCAAATCAAAGTTTTGTCCAACCTTAATTTTGATGTCAAACATGAAGTTTCTGTCGATCTTCGGGGGAAGATTTTTGGGTCTGGCCAGATGTGGCGCAGTGCCGTCACTCGGCTCACCCTTGCCAGCTTTGTTAACTGCACGGACACGGAACTCATAAGTGTTTCCTTCGATCAGATCAGGTACTTTGCCAGTAGTGACATCTCCCTCAACAGTGGCGCACTCTTCCCAGTCAGGTGCGAATCTATCCTTCTTTTCAATGACATAGCCGGTAATGGGAGCGCCACCATCGGTTTGTGGCCTAGACCATTCCAGCTCCACGAAATCTCGGTCGAAGTCCTTGACTTTCGGTGTTCCAGGTTTGCCAGCGACTTCGAACGGATTCTTGGCTTCAGTAGCATGTGGTGTGGTAAGGGGTTCAGATTTGCCTTGCCTGGAAAAGAAGACATTGAGGTTTTATTATATTGAGAGAGGTAATTTAATTATATTAAGTAATCTGTTCTCTTTGTCCTTACCTGTTAACAGCTCGGACTCTGAACTTATATTTGTGTCCGGGCTGGAGACCATCGACCGCGAGGCTGGTCTGTGGTCCGTCGGTCTCACCGGCATTGACCCATCGTCCAGTGGCCTCGTCCATGCGTTCCACGACGTACTTGTCTATGGGCTGACCGCCATCGTCGGCTGGTGGGTTCCAGGATAATTTGGCACCGTGGGCGTGGACATCGGAGACCTTAGAAGTGGATAATATTTAAAAAAATATACAGGACTACAAAATTTTAAATGATCACTTTGTTATTTATTTAAAGTAGGTAGTAAATTAAATTATTTTACCATTCAATTCACATTATTATGGCAAACGAATAAAATTGCTATATACTCGTATATATATGTTATATGCTTCTGAATTATATGTCACTAAGTGGCAAAATACTCATTATTTAACAACATATAAACTGTAGGTTTGTAATTCACTAATTAATAAATTCATATAGTTTGTTGTTAGTACCTTGAGTGGACCTCCAGGCGGACTAGGCACATCGAGAACGATGACCTCAACCTCTGCCACGTCCTTGCCGTTGACGTTCTCCGCTGTGATGGTGTATCTGCCGCTGTCTGCTCGCCTGGCTGTCTTGCAGTTCAGCTTCGTGTTGTAATCTGAATGCTGAACTTTCACATCGCCGCCGCTCTTCACTTCCTTCTTTGCCAGGAACCATTTCGTTTCTGGCATCGGTTCTCCGGTAACCTAATAGCATATTAAAGGTTTTATGTTTGGTTCCAAAGCGTATAATTATATTTTAGAGGGAACTTACCTAAGAGTATGATTACAATTGTATCTTTACAAGTAAGCGTAAAAAAAAACCAATACGTTTTTAATATGTTAAATACAGAAATTAACGTGTTCGTTTCGTAACGTGAAATTTCTTTAGTAAGACATACAGAATAAGGCTGACTAAGGTAACTAATCTTAAGCTTACAAAATCAGTTATTCGTTAGACAAATTCAGAAGACAGGTTGCCCTTTCTAACCGACTTCCAAATAAGGAGGAGTTTCTCAACTCGCTTGCCTACATTTAATAATAATAATATTGTACCACATTCACACAACGCCATCTAGTCCCAAACTAAGCAGAGCTTGTATTATGGGTACTAGACAACTGATATAAATACATATATACTTTTTTTTTTGTAATTACATACATATTATATATCGAAACACCCAGACCAAATCAAACATTAAATGTTCATGCACACAAATGTTTGACTTGAGCGGGAATCGAACCCGCGACCTTTGGAATAGCAGTCCGTTACACAAACCACTACGCCATTCGGTCGTCAATGTTTGTTTGTTACTCTGAACTCCGTCATTTATGAATTTAAGAAAAAAAAATTTTTATTTGAGAGAGTATACTTCCCGTATGGTTCCATAGAAATTTCTAGAAAAATACTACGCCTCTGCATGCAAAATCAAGGAATGTAAAATACATTTTATTACAATTTTTCATGGTGTAGAAGCATTGAAGTTGTTGATCATTTTTTAAAAGTGAATTATGTTACTAGCAATAAATACAATCCCTTCCATCCATATTAATATTATAAAAGCAAAAGTGTCTGTCTGTCTGTTACCTCTTCGCGCTTAAACCGCTGAATCGGTTTGACGAAATTTGGTATAGAGATAGTTAGACAGGGTCCCGGGAAAGGACATATGATAGTTGCTATCCCAAAAATCACCCCCCTGGCGGAAGTTTGTATGGGAAATCAAAACCGCTGAACCGATTCAGATGAAATTTGGCATGGAGATAGTTTGATTTTTGAGGGAGGACATAGGCTACTTTCTACTGCGCTGTCCGACACACCACGCGGGCGGAGCCGCCAGCAAAAGCTAGTAATATTATTAATGCGAAAGTAACTGGTTGTGTCTCTGATATACTTTTACGCCTAAAACCCCTGAACCGATTTTAATGGAATTCGATTATTTCGATTCTTGAATATATGCGATAATCGACATACACGCGGGCGGAGCCACGGGCAAACGCTTGTTTATTATAATTTGCAGCTCACCTTGACATCGAAGCCGAACTTCTGTCCAACCTTGATCTTGATATCGATCAAGTTAGTCCTGTCGATCTTAGGCGCCAAGTTCCTGGGCTTGGCAACAATTGGATGCGTGCTGTCGCTTGGTTCTCCTGGACCAGCTTTGTTAACAGCGCGGACCCTAGAAGGAAAACATAATTAGGTTTAGTAAACAATCTGTTATTTGAAGAGATAGTAATACAGAGACTACATATGGCTCTGACGAAAAATAATTCCGCGATGTAATTTACATGTGATCATCATAGAGCAGAAGACACTGTTGTTGCAAGTTTTTGTGTTGTTATTTAATGTTAATTGGTACATCGGTATTTTCTTATCATTACAGCCGACAAACCGTATGCATATTTGCTAATTTTATTAAAGGACAGATATAAATTTCGATCCATTTCGTAATAGGTCATGGAGACAGTGCCACACCCTCCCCCCCCCCCCCTTAATGTAGCATCTATACTATACTTATTTCTTGGTTACCTGAACTCATAAGTCTGACCCTCGATAAGATCAGGCACAGTGCAGTTGGTCTTATCTGCGGGTACTTCGAGCGCCTTCTCCCAGTTGCCGAACTTGTCCTTCTTCTCCACAATATATGCGTCGATGGGAGCGCCACCGTCGGTTTTCGGTGGGGTCCACTTGAGGTCCACATGGTCCTTGTCCCAGTCTGTTACACTTGGCGTGCCTGGTGCACCTGGGGAACAGACACAACGATAAGTTTTAATAAAAGATTATACAAGCAAAGAAAGAAATGAGCTTTCTTTTACTGCATGACGTGATTTCTTTAAATTGAGAAAAGACGGGACCTCATAAGAACTATGAATATCTATAGATCAAATTATTTATTAAAGTAAACAAATAAACTCTCAATAACAATCTGTGAATTAAAGAAATAGTGATTACATATTGTTATAAAGATCGAACTCGAAATATTTGAATCAGTAAAACTTAAGATCAATTCTGTTACTTCTGATGGGGAAATTTACAATAATTGTTTATTGTAAAATGCAACAACAACTAATACTAAATAATGAGGAATACATCAATTCAACATATGGGATATATAAAAATATCTCCATAGTAATCTTACCAGGCTCGTCGAACGGATTCTTGGCGACAATAGATTGTTCAGAAACAAGTGGTTCAGACTCGCCCTCAGAGTTGACAGCTGATACTCGGAACTTGTACTCTTTGCCGGGAGTCAAGCCGGTAACATCACACTCTGGAAAAGAAAATTAAATTAATAAATCAATCCCCAATTATAATTATCTTTTCATGCATTTGTAAATGGAAGACCATATTTAGTACTAAAAGAGTTTCAAAACAATGTTACATAATTATATTTATATAGATATATAATATTTCGGACATCTGACACACAATGCCATCTAGTTTCAAACTAAGTAGCGCGAGTAACTGATAGAATACTCGTGTACTTTTTTTTGTAAAAACATACATATTATACATAGGAAACACCCAAACTCCGAAACAAATATTTGTAGATTATACATACATTTGGTCCGACCAGGGGAATCGAACCCGAGACCTCATCACAGTAGCTGCATACGCTACCATTGCACAACCGAGGGAGTCTAATATATGATTAATATGATGGGCGTGTTGGTCTAGTGGTTAGTGATCTGATGAGTGACTGTCAGAGGTATCAAACTCACTAGGCTCATCAGATCTGGCACACGGCACCCAGCATCCGGTATCCGTGTCCAGCTTGTCGATCTGGTAGTACTCGATGGGAGCGCCGCCGTCGTCCTTGGGACGCTTCCATTTGAGGGTGGCACCTTCTTTGTGCACGTCTGAGATCTGGAGAGCAAAATACGTATTAAGACATGGGTGTGTATGCAACATAAACGTAATTAGGTACTCAACTTTGTTACAATTTATACACACTTAGAAAGAAACACCTTAGAAACTGGTTGAGAAAGATCTTTCATACATATCCAAGGTATCAGAGAGCAAAATAGTGGTACTATTATAATCCTTTTCATTGTTTATTATTTTACAGTACTGTGTTGCACTAAAATCTATGATATATTAGACAGAGTAATATATAATTAATGAAGTTAATTTTTAAATATTTTTTTTAAAGCGAGGACCTTTCATTTTTGAAAATAGCATAAGAATCTATAACCTGCACTCTGCAGACTATTAATAAATATTCTTTATTTACTTGTGATTGTAGAATAATAAACAGACCTGTAGTGGTCCTTCAGGCTTAAGAGGCTTGTCGGTAACCACAACATTGATGGTGACGGTGTCCTTGCCGCTGGAGTTGACGGCGGAGACGGTGTATTCACCCGAGTCGTCGCGTCTCACTGGACGGATCACCAGCTTGGTGAAGTACTCTGGGTTATCGATTGTCACCGCCTTCGAGGGTCGAAGAGGCATATTCTGGTATCTGAATGAAGAAATAGTGCTATATTTAGTAAAGTTCAAAACAGTATATATGACGAACGAGTAATAAAATGTTACTTATTACTATTTTTCGCAAAAATCCCCTCTTTAGATTTTTTTTCAAAAAGCCATTTAGGGGCACTAGGGTTTTTGAGACGGATAAAATAATACATTAACCAAAACTATACGAGGTAATAAAGAAATTTACAAACAAACATACAAGTTACGCGCGAAAAACAAAACCCTTCCTTGGCAGTCGGGTACAAAAACATCGGTTTAATTTATTTCTATTAATAGAAAGTTTGAGCAGTCTTTGACACAAAGTAAACCCAAGTTTGAAAATTGAAGCAACATACGTCACGTATACACACATACAACATGATACTAAAAGTTACGTTTACAGTATTTAACAAACTTGCAACTTATTCAATACATTCATAAAAGAGCAGAAACTTTTAATTAAAATAGCAATAAAGGTAAAATTACCTCCATTCTACAGCTGGGGCCGGTTCTCCAGTGATGGCCGCCTCCAGCTTCAGAGTGGATCCAGCAGAAATGGTCACATCTCTTAGATGTCTCCTGTCGATCTTGGGCGCTAAGAAGCGTGGCTTGGCCAGGAAGTTCTTGCTGGCTTCAGACGGTTTGCTCTGACCAGCCTTGTTGATCGCGATCACGCGGAACTGGTACTCGTTGCCTTCGATTAACCTGGACCGTAATAATATTGTATTAGTATTAAGAATGGAAGGGTGATACTAACTGAGCTTCGATACTGGATACTACTAATGTAATCTTAGGGCAAGGGTCCTGAGTAGACCCTTAAATCTATAGTAAGTTAAATCAAGCTGAAGATTTTTTTTGTTTACAAGTGCCAATCTCAGGAACTACTAGTTGGATTCGAAAATTCTCTTTTATTTGACAGCCAGATTCAGAAGGGTATAGGCTAGTAGACTACACCTTCCAGCTAGCTTAATATTTGAAAACCAATATTCAAGGTTTCCTAATGCTGTTAAATAAGTCGGAATAATAAGGGCTCCCGAACTGCTTCATGCGCGTGCGCTGCCATTTTTGTTAGTGATATCTAAATACATATTGGTCCTTAGTACGTTTATACCGCAAGTTAAAGATAACTGTCACATATATTACGGAATTAATGGAGAAGCTACGTACCCATTGACCGTTGCAGTCGGTGTAGGAGTGTGTGTCTCCACGGCCTTTTCCCATAGTGGGCTGTACTTGTCTTTCTTCTCGATGATGTAACCAATGATGGGTGATCCACCGTCTGATAGCGGAGGCTCCCATTTGAGGTCCACGTGACTGGCTGACCAGTCGTCTGGGACTGGGGTGCCAGGTGCATCTGGTATAGCTGTAAATAAAGTTAATTTTAGTACAGACTAAGATTAATACCAGCAAATTTTATTTTAGATGACAAGTACTGGCAAAGTAAATTTATATATATATATAGTATTTGAGTGTACTTTTTGAAAGTAATTAGTATGTTTTTAAATTCTCTATTAAATGATTTTTAAAGAAATGTTTGCATTAAAATAATGGGTCCTTCACACTAATTAAAACAGTGATAGAGATACTATCAGTGCTAACAACCCACTATTATTATGAAAACATTTATTAAGAAATCAGGCCATAGAGAAATAAAAACCATAGTACGCTGAATATAAGCAAAAGGAACACTTTCATTTAACTTACTGAATGGATCTTTGGCGATAATGGAGCCGAAAGTCTCCAACGGCTCAGATTCGCCTTCCTTGTTAATAGCCTTCACACGGAACTTATATTCGTGTCCGGGAATCAAACCATCCACCTGTCACAAACGATAGAACCTATCATACATTGTATAACAATATGTCAGTAGAATTTGCATAGAGTTCACGGGAAAAGATTACTCCCACTCACGTGCGACTCTTCCTACTCGTGTACACTATAATAGTGCATGAAACACAGTGAATCTCAGGGAAGTAAAATTGAAAAGAGAACAGAATTGTTTATAATAGGCATTAAAAATATAAAAACTACTTTATTCTACAGGGAATCAAAGAATAATAGCAAAAATGGGCGTAAAAACCCTTTAGAAAAAACCTCGGACTTATCACCATTTACAGGTGCTTATTGAGATTTGCTCAGTGAATAGATCATAACCCACCTCCATTTCCGGCACGTTGCCGAAGGTTTTGCCTACAGGTAACCACGTTCCATTCTCCGGATCGTACTTCTCTACGAGGTAAGCTTCGATGGGTTCACCTCCATCGTCCTTGGGCCGCTTCCAGTTCAGCTTGCAGCCATCCTTGTGAATGTCTGACACTTCCAATGGTCCTTCGGGCTTTTCGGGTTTCGCTACAAGTATTTATGATGAATTATTTATGTATATATGTTATTTGGAAAAAACTTGCAAGAAATTACTTTAATAATAAGATACTTGAATTTATATAAATAATTGCAGTAACAATGTTATTGCAGGTTCCTTTCTAGAAAACGTAAGTATTTTTTGTCTATATTAGGGTAACGTGATTTTTTTGATAAAGCTATGGTTGATTTGACTTCAGATTTGATATTGTACGTTGTTACTTGTTATTTTATGAGACATGATCTTTTGTCTGTAACTCTACTTATTACGTAAAAATATAAATAAAATAAGAGTAAAAGTTAACTCACAAGTTACAATGATTTCGAGTTCAGCGGTGTCTTGTCCATACTTGTTGACGGCCTGTATCTTGTACGTGCCGGAGTCCTTGCGGCGAGGGCTGGCGTGTTGGTACTTGCTTAGGTATGGTACATCTACCACTAGAACAAAAACAGAATTTTCTATCAAACAATTCAAGGTAAGCCGACTAAGAAAAGTTGGTTCTCTTTGTTAAAATAGACGATTGAAATATTTTCATTTCATTACAAATATAAACCTATAATATAATAATATGTTCGGATATCTGACACACAAAGCCATGTAATTTCAAACTAAGCAGAGCTTGTACTATGAAAGCTAGATTCGCTGATAGAATAGATAGTACAAATATTTGCGGATCATACAAACATTTATATACTTACGTTTAAGTCCGTTTCCACTTATAACGGACTTGCCGTTCAGCGTCCACGTGACCTCAGGAGCGGGTTCTCCCGACACCTTGACGTCGAGTGAGATGGGCTCTCCCTCGCGGACCTTGATCGGGCGGAGGTTGCGGCGGTCGATCTTGGGCGCCACTGTTATATAAACAATAAATTATAAAAATTCATAACATACATACATTTAAATCTTAGCTTAAAAAAATTGCTCCGAGAATATGAACTATTTAACTATCATTTTTAATGTTGAACATGCAGAGAACACGACTGAAATAAGTTCAGATAACATATGTCTCTGGTCTGAATGTGTAGCCCCACAATCAAATTTAATTTCATAGTTCAGATTGTCAGCGCCTATGTTAAATCTGATACCTATAAACGAGCAATTCTTGTATATATGTATATACTATCCCCGCAAATTGCTAATGCGCCTGGCCGCCATTTTGGTGACGTATTTTGTTGATATTGACATTAGACACTCTGTACCGTTAGCATTATTCTGGCTGAGCGAGGGACGAGTACCTACGCATTTTTGTTTATTAAATTATTAAATTTATATTAAATTGAATTGATTTTTATTAAATTGAATCAAAATCTAACCTAATTATATTATTAATATAGTTATATTACTAATAAATCTTTTCTAATAAACATTGAAAATCACACAAACATTTTTAATTTCTTAGATAGATACCTATTTCCAAGGTGTGAGATTAATTAAATGTCATCAAATATCAGTTTTTACGTAAAATGTAATCTTACAATAAATGTCATTTCAAATCTGTCAAACTTAATAATTAACCCATTAAATTTACAATTGCATTTCTTTTTTAGCAAGCTGTACTTTTCTATTTTGGATGACGTCACGTGGCTCTTAATGTGACTAAGTTCCTGCGCATTAGCAATTTGCGAGTATAATATAGATGTACATAATCTGAATCTCGGAAACGGCTCTGACGATTTTCATTAAATTTAGTATGCAGGGTTACGGGGGCGATTAATCAAAGCTCGGTCATCCAGGCACTTTTCATTATACGATTTATTATTATAAGTAATAATTCGATAAATCTATTTTTTATTACAACCACTTTAATTTTTGTTCAAAAAACACAGTATATTAGGAGGAATTATTATTAATAAAACCATAGTGTATATACACTAAGGTATTATTAGTTCTTTCTATTAGTAATGTACTGTATGCAAACTCCTTAAAGTTTTTATTGTATTAAGTTTATAATTATAATAAAATAATATTGAATTGAATTCAAATGCACATTGAACACAATCTAAATAAGGGTTTGTGATAGTCGATACTTACGTCTCCTTGGTTTGCAGATGACAGACTTGCTAGCGTCTGAAGGTTCACCAGGACCGGCTTCGTTGACGGCCTTTACGCGGAACTCGTACTCCGTACCCTCGTCTAAGTTTGGTACCGTAACCTTCTCATTGTCATTGGGACCGACCTGCAGAATACATTCATAATAAATAATAATAACATTTTTATTTATTTGGCCTAGTCACTGAAACCGCCAGAACGATTACCATGAGACGTTCACTGTCAACTAACGGATGTTATAAGGAGTAACTTGGTCCACTTATATCTTTGGAAAAAAATAAGGGTTCAGCGAAAAATAAGTAAGTAATCTGTAGCGGGCACTACTTACTGTTAATAAAAAAAACAAACTAAACAAAGATTACGTGCTACTTTTCTTATTATTTATTGAATATAAAAAATGTATTGCACACTTTGTTGGTTTATTTTTGGCATATTTATACAACTATTATTTTGTAAACTCATTTCATTATCCAAATATAACATGAGGTAAGGAATTCAGTTAACGGAGAGTAAGGGATCCCAGCTCACCTCACAAGCTTTCACCCACTTAGGTGATCCCTTCTCTCTCTTTTCGATGATGTAGCCAGTGATTGGAGCACCGCCGTCTTTGAGCGGCTTTTCCCATTTGAGGTCCACGTGGTCTTTGTCCCAATCCACAACCTCGGGTGTACCAGGCTTGCCGGGCTCGTCTGGAAGTGAGAAGACACATTACAATTGATTTTATAGGCAACAGTGTCTTTTAACCATTCCTTAAATTAAATTATTATTTTTTATATAGCCAGGATCACGCTATTCTGATAAGCTTTAAATCAATTAAATTGTTATATTTGTTTTTAATCTTAACAAATCCATAATTAATAGTACAGATTGGTCATATACCAAATACACTTTCAGACGCCATGGTATCAATAAATTCCTATAGTACTTTACAGGATCTAACTCATTTCACATTGTTTTGAATAGGAATATTAAACCGAGGACCCCACATTTGTCCTCCTAGGCTATCTGAGAAAAATAAATATTCAGAAGTTTGACACTTACCGAACGGATTCTTCGCAATGATAGAATGATCAGCCTCCAGCGGCTCCGACACACCCTCGTTGTTAACTGCGGACACTCTGAACTTGTATTCGTGTCCAGGCACTAGGTTTTCCACTTCTGCTTTCGGGTCCTTTGTCTTGAGGCACGGCATCCAGCGGCCAGTTTCCGTGTCTAGCTTTTCTACTAGGTAGTGGTCAAGCGGTGCACCTCCATCGTCTAGTGGCGGGTTCCACTTGAGAGTACAGCCTTCTTTGTGGACGTCTGAGATCTGCGAGTAAACGGTTAATTGTAATAAAAAATAACGAGCTCCGCCGCTGTAACTGAAAAAGGACCTGGAAAGTGTATCGACAAAATTTCCATCAGGCCATGCTTTGTATAGGATATTTATTTTAGAATTGAAATTGCCAGACAAGGCAATATCCACTTATTTTTTCTAAATGTGTGATCATATGTAAAAGATTTTCTTTTCTCTGCTAGTAAGTATAGCCAAAGATTTAGAAAAGAGTTATTACGGATGGCCATCCACAATGACATCTTGACTATGATTTCCATCATCCAGCTATGTGCTAGTCTGCCTTGCTCCTGTCTTCAAGTATGGAGGAAAAGGACTCAAGTAAGGACAATCAATTATTTTCATTAAATAACTACTGGAGACTACAAGAACTGTCACAAAACTAATGTGAATTTTAGTAAGTTCCTAAGTTAAACGATTAGTATGTGTAATATTTACATTAGTGTTAATTACCTTAAGCGGTCCCTCGGGTTTAGCGGGCACGTCGAGCACAGTGATCTGTATGGTGGCCTCGTCCCGGCCGCTGCTGTTCTCGGCCTTGAGCACGTAGGTGCCGCTGTGCTTGCGCGACACGATGACCACGGACAGCTTGGTCCTGTAGTCCTCCACGTCCACCGACAGGTCGTCGCGCGTAGACAGGCGCTCCTTGTTCTGGAACCTGCACAGAACCGTAGTGTTTTTTGGATTATGTCTCAGAGGGATGAACATGTTCGAGATACGAATAGGTCAAAAATTATGATGGTATTTTTTTTCTAGTCCCATTCAGACTTAAAATGAATCTGCTAGACTAATCAACACAGTTTCAGCATTAGAGCTTCTTTGCTTGTTCACGCCTTTTGTGTAAAATGTGTGTAAAGTGACGTTTCATCAAGAAAGAAACACTGCTATCCCTGATTGACAAAATGTAATTTGTGCAAATCATAACATTTAACACATAGATGTCTTTCCTAATGTTATATTTACAATCAGGAGATCAATATGAATGCGTGTAAATATTAGAACACATTTTTAAAATTGTTTGATCATATGTAACACATTACACTGTTGCATCGAAATTAGATATAGAAAGAGGAGATTCTCTTTTATCGTCATTTAAGGTTTATAAAGTAAAAGGAATTTTTGTTCAACGAAAATATACATGTTGTAAGGGACATTACCGAATACTGAAATGGTATATTCAGACCAGGATTCCGAGGCGAAAATCATTGAAATTTTCTGCCGGAAAATTCATATTTTTTTTAACTTTCCATTTTTCTGACTAATAATGTCACAATGAGTAGACAGAAAATTTTACCGAAAACAATTTAAGAAATACAAAAAAACTGCAATGTAATTAATCAAACCGCCGAAGCGCGCGGGGCCTCCGCTCCGGACGCCATTTTGTGTTAGTGTGCGTTTGCACGGAATACACATGTAGTTTTTACTTTTGTGCGATACCTACGAGGAATGACCTTAACCTTTAAGAATAATAGTCTGAATACACTATTTCAGTATTCGTTACGACGTCTTTTACACCGTGTATATTTAAAGCTCAATTGAGAGTCTTACAGCAACTAAACTCTATAGCATACCTTGCTTAGTAATTACTCACAAATATAATGACATATAATGTATAATGACAAACATACTAACAAAAAAACAGTATACTAACCAGGTCTTAGTCGGTGGCGGTTCGCCGCTAACCTTGATGTCCAAGCGAATGTTCTGTCCAGCCTTTAGAGTTAGGTCGCGCATGTTGGTGCGGTCGATCTTAGGTGGAGCTGAAAAAAAATTTATGTCTCTTATCGCAAAGTCATGGTGAAATTCAGTTTTATGGTACAATAGTTATGTAGGTGAACATCTATTATTACCTTTGTGAGAAACTAATGCCTGAAAACCTGTTTTACAGAACCTTAAGAAAACAAGCAATAATTTAAATATGTAGGTAGTTAGATAATAACGATTTATATTTAAATATTCCTTTGTGATGTAAACAAAATAAAATACATCTTCGACAGATATGATGACTAGATTTTTATAAAAACCTATAAATATGTCGTATAGTGTTTGTATTTTTCTAGTATATTACTAGTATTATAAATGTGATGTGATGTGATGTACTTACCAAACCTGTCCTTAGCCAGTAAGTTCTCAGACGGCGTGGAAGGTTTGCCAGGGCCCGCCTTGTTGACGGCCTTCACCCTGAACTGGTACGTCTTGCCCTCGATGAGGTCAGGCACGCGGGCCTCGGTCTTGTTGCCGGGTACCTGAAAACCAAACGATAACAATATATTTTGGTGTTTATTTAATTATGCGTTACGTGATACGTTATTTATATTATATATTAGAGGAGATAAATGGAGAAACCATTATTTAGATTCTGGTAATTTTGAGTCTTCTACAGTATGAGATAAACAGTAGCAGACGCTTTGCAATTTAACTTAATTACAGAACACTTTCAAAACTTAAATTCACATTAAAGAAACAGAACATGAAACATACTCGTAACAAGGTATTATTCTTAAGGAGAGAGGGGTTCTTGCATTGGTATAATTTTTAGGAATACTATTATATTACATTTTCAACAAGATTGTAAATGCATTAGTTAAACTTTTTTTTTTTTAAACTCTATAACATACCTACTTGCAATAAATAAAAGGCTTTTTATTATTATTAAGTGTGTCTTCAAATAATATATTTCTATAAACATGATATATGTATGTGTATTCTCATTAAAAGAAAAATAAGTTGAGTTGAAGTTCAGGTCCTTACCTCTGCCGCCTTGACCCACTTGCCCGTGTCCCTGTCTTTCTTCTCGACGATATATCCCGTGATTGGAGCCCCACCATCGTTCTTTGGCGCCTCCCACTTGAGGTCGACGTGGTCCTTGCTCCAGTCTTTGAATTCCGGCTTTCCAGGGGCGTCGGGTTCACCTGTAACACAAATAAGATAGTTCATATTCTAACAAATGTGATCTGAAATCGTAGCTAGACCTATTCTAAAAAGCATAATAAAAGAATAAATAATAAGATTTCTTCTCGGATATGGTTTATAAGGAAAATCGATATGTAGCAGAATATATGAGATGACTATGGCGATTGTATTCAGGTAACTCTCTATTATCTCGGTATTTGTCCGTGTAGTGACGGATTAAGAATACGGAATGTCACCACCCCAATTCATCCCGTGGGTGTCGTAATAACCGACTAAGGGCGCAAAACAACGCAGGACACCAGCACTGCAAAAAGAAGTAAAACTTGACACAAACCTTATACCAACCCGTCTGGCCAGCAGTGGACTATTAAAGGCTGTTGATGTGTGTGATGTGAACTCTCTACTATAATTTAAAATAAATAACAAAAAATAGAAGTGACAATTTAACAATCACAATTCTTAAAAAGTACATTATTCGCTACACTGATGTGAAACCCAAATAGTTGCCACCAGATTTTTTAAAATAACTAGTTTATAAAACTAACCGTAAGGATTCTTCGCTGTAGTAGCGGTGTCGGTCACCAAAGCCTCACTTTCACCCTCAGGATTAACAGCCTTCACCCTGAACAAGTAGTCCTTGCCCTCGTTCAGGCCGGTGACGTCAGCCTCTGGCGTCTTGGTTGTGCAGACGGGTACCCATCTGCCTGATTCAGTATCCATACGTTCCACGACGTAATTTTCGATGGGTTCGCCGCCATCGTCTTCTGGAGGTTCCCATTTGAGTTTGCAGCCATCGGCTTTAACGTCCGAAACCTAAAGTGGTAAGTATTGATAATTTTGTGTTCTATTTAATTAGGTATAATACATATTTTCACAGCATTTGAAAAATAATTCCAGATAACGTGTAAAAAGTTTCAAATGTTCTGGTTTTCTCATCGGTTCTTTATTTATCGAAAGATTTCCTTTTACATTTATTAACTGGCAATACATGTCAACAGTGGCAAAAATACGTAGAAAAAGCAGAAATATTACATTACACAGCATTGGTTTGCCCCGACATTTTGTAGATTAGTCCTATAGACTTACTTCAATTAATTTATTTAAAATAAGATTTTTTACAATTTACTTCAGAATTCTCTTTACAAGTAATTTCTGCACAAAAATAAGACTAACCTTTAATGGTCCTTTAGGTTTAGATGGTTTACTGACGACATCAACTTCGATCTCTACGGTATCAGTACCGGAATCGTTCTTAGCCGTCACAATGTATTTGCCAGAGTCAGCCCTGGTCATCTTCTCCCTCAGGAATGAAGTGTGATAATCCTTGTTTTCAATCTTTAACCTCTCCTGGGCCTATAAAAAAAACAAGAATTACCAACAAAATTTTTTTCGTATTCGAATCTGTTCAGTGGTTCTCAATATTAGCTCGATTAAATAAAGTTTTTCTGAGAGTCCTCGTAGACGCTCTCCGTGACTGTGCCTTTGCACTTAGTAAGAATTCACAGAACCAATATCTTCTCGCTTACCTTAAGGACTTCACCGCCGAAGGTCCAGGTGATAACAGGTTCTGGTTCACCAATGACATCAGCCTCCATCTTGAGCGGAGAACCAACCTTGATCTTCTTCTTTTGCAAGTTCTTTCGGTCGATCTTTGGTGCCACTGTGAAGTCAGAAACAAATCAATTATAATTAATTTGTTATTATTATTATTGACACTCATGACTGCTGCTGCTGCTTTAATTAAGTACCTAATTTGCTGAAGAAATGTCAGATTAAAGTATCTGAAACCGACAGGCCAATAAAAGGCTTATGACAGTTTTGTTAGCTCGATAGGTATGTAACAGGTCGAAAGGTTTAAGTTTATGTATACATTAGATGCTTACAGAATCTTGGTTTAGTGATGACACTCTTGCTCGGTTCGGAGGGTTCTCCAGGGCCAGCCTTGTTGACGGCCATCACACGGAACTCGTACTCCCGCCCCGGCTCTACGTCTGTCACGCGGCCGGTAGGGCGATCGCCTGTAGTCTTGAGGCACTCTTGCCATGACCTGTCACATATAAAAACATTGTATGTAAAGGTGGTCTAATTGAAAAATAGTACAATAGAAAAATGAAAAATACAAATGTTCGTTACATTTGTATTGTTCATTTGATTTACTTGATAATATTGAAATCATCATCACTTTCCAGCCAGTTTTCTCAAATGTTTCATTTTGCAAAGGGTTCCCCCCTCTACGGGAATGTAATCGACAAAGTAAAAAAGGTACAATAAAAAAAGAAATAGGACAGAGAGCTAGGGTGAAGAATACCACAAATCTCGGATAGGATTGTTTGGGAGACTGTAGGAATCGAAGGGCTCAGCCCCTTCGATTCCTACAGTCTCCCAAACAATCCGAGTCATTTATCTGTACGATTGTGCTGCTATAGGAGTAGGCTCTAGGACAGGAACATAAATTGGAGAGCGCAGAAATATACCTACAACAATAATAAAGATATTTAGTTTATAACACCCACCTTCCACCCTTTTCTCTCTTCTGGATGATGTATCCAGTGATAGGTGCTCCTCCATCGTTCTTGGGCGGAGTCCATTCAAGCTCCACAAAGTCTTTGTCCCAGTTACGTGGTTCGGGACGTCCGGGTTTACCAGGCTCGTCTGCGGAAGAAGAAAGTAATTTGAATATGGTACATAAACAAAATTAAATGAGAATATATTGTCCTAACAATTCTAGATTGGACGTTGTTTAAAATAAATATTAACGCCTGGGAATAAATCGTATATTAGAATGTAATAATAATAATATAATATTCTACCACATTCACACAACGCCATCTAGTCCCAAACTAAGTAGAGCTTGCACTATGGGTAGCCACTAGACAACTGATATAAATACAAAAATACCTTTTTTTTGTAAATACATACAAATTATACATAGAAACACCCGGACTAAATCAAACATTAAATTTTCATGCACACGAATGTTTGACTTTAGCGGCGTTACACAAACCACTACTCCATCCGGTCGTCATATATTAGAATGGTTTCTAAAATTTACGTCCAAAAAATGCGTGTGTACGTTATATCCAGTATATAGTACACTAACGGATTGAACATGAATGAATATAGTATGTAGTATAACATAACTAACACAAAAATAAAATTTAGTAAAATTATTAACTCACCGAAGGGATTCTTAGCAATGATCGGCTTCTCAGTCTCGAGTTCCTCAGACTCGCCTTCCTTGTTGACGGCCTTGACCCTGAACTTGTAGGGCTTGCCCTCCGACAGGCCGGTGATGTTAGCCTTGCAATCCTTAGCGGTACCGCAAGGGATCCATTGTCCTGCAGAAAGGCAAAAAAAACATGAATATTGGTAAACACCTTCTACAATTTCTATCTTTTTGATATCTTTGATAAAAAAATATTGGGCAAGTCGAATGACTTAGTTTCCATTTTTAAAGTTAAGTATGGTTATCGCTATTTTGCTTAATATACAATTTTAAATCCCATAGGTTTTATTTTTTTTTTAAATTGGTCCTCAAATGTCGAAGAAATCGTGTACCAAACAGAAAAAAAAAGATTCAGTAAAATTTAGAACCTTTTCTTTTTGAACTTGGTTAAAACATGGACTTGAAAATCTACTTACCAGTGAGTGGGTCCAGTTTCTCAATTTCGTAGTACTCGATGGGCGAGCCACCGTCATCGTCTGGTTTCTTCCATGTCAGAGTACAGCCGTTCTTGGTCACATCAGATACATCCAAAGGACCGTTGGGCTTGGATGGTTTGCCTATTAATATAAAAATAAAATATCAGATAAGTGGTTATTCATTTCTCTTTGTATGAAATGTTAGGCAAGTTGTAATAAGTACAGATTGAGAAAAAATTATCATGCATGTTAACTGGACTAAAACTCGTTGGCACAGGCCTTTGCAGAAACTTATTTATAATAATTAAAAAAGTGTCATAGAAATAAGTATAACTGTGTGTTTAAAGTTATAAATATACAGACAATGTGTATGTCAAAACTTACTGACAGTAATTATAATTACTAATGAAATCTACCCTGTAAGTGCACTAGTTGTCCCTGTGACACTTTCCTAAACCTTCAAGGATTAAGAAAGTGTGACCACCTCTATTCATCACGTGGATGCCGTAAGAGCCGACTAAGGGAGCAAATTACGCAGGACAAGAAGCAGCAAAGAGCAAAAGCCACTTGAAATCAACCCTCTACCAAACCGTCTCGCTAGCGTGGTATAGTAGGCCAAAACCTCCTTTCTAAGGAGAGGCTAAGGTCCAGCAGTGGACAGTTATAGGCAGTTGATGATGATGAAGTTCATGAGTAATCAGTGGTGCATAAACAATAAGAAAGACATGAAGATAGTGTATCAAGGTTACAAATGAAACAGAAAAACTTGTTCTCACCAATTATGGTAATTTCGACTTCAGCCTCATCCTCTCCAACTTCGTTCTTGGCTTTGATCACATACTTGCCACTGTGGGCTCTCTTACTCTTGGTCATCAAGAACTTAGTGTTATAATCTACATTGATGATATCAAGGTTCTCCCGGTTCTGTAACTCTTCGCCCTTGAAGTGCCAGGTGACCTTTGCTGGTGGCTCTCCGAAGACTTTGACGTCCAGGGAGACTGGTAGACCAGCTTTGACGGTGATCGGGTTGAGGTTTGTGCGGTCGATTCTTGGTTTCACTGTGTACAAGTTCAAACATTATGATTACTTACTGACTTTAAGTTGTAACTAACTTAAGGTACGTTGTACAGCTGCTTGAAGAACAACCACATCCAATGATCTAGTTCCATTAACATTTAAATCAATCTAAAACTTATTAAGCAGAGTTTATATTGCAATTTCTCCTTTTAAGTTAACTATTGCAGTCTTGTTCAGACCACTTACTCTTATTCTACGTTATTAAACTCAAGTTAGGTACGAAATATGGATTCTTTTTTTATAAAAAATCTGGAGAATAGTAATAATTTTGCATCTCTAACTTGATTTTATGCAATAAGACTCAAGTTTGAGAATATCGGGAAAACTATTCATCACAACCTGTTTAATATACTTAAATCTAACCTTAGGATTATTCTACTATATATGTTTTTCATAACATTTTAAACAATTCATATTGTGATGAATTGTGACCCGGGCAATGCTTCCAGTCAGAAGTTGTAAAACATTTTCTAAAAAATAAGTAGTAACTTACAGAAACGCGGCTTAGCAGTATGCCAGTTAGTGTTCTCCGAAGGTTCGGATTGTCCAGCCTTGTTCAGGGCGCGGACACGGAACTGGTACTGATTGCCTTCCTCCAGCTTCGGGACTGTACCTTGGCAGATGTTGCCCTGGATCTCTACGGCCTGGTGATGAAAGGAATTTGGTGATTACATTGATGTTTTGTAGAGTATATTCCATTCGTATAACGTACGAAATGATAATTTCTTGAAATCTGATTGGTTAAAGTACGACAATTTTATTTGACGCGATTGGACTATATTTATATAAACGATTTCATAATAATAAAACTTACTGAGATTACGCTAGCAATTATGATCAGTGTAAGCATAATTATTATTACCATTATTTAAATAATTTTAAAATAAAAAAATGTATTAAATGTACCTAAAACTCTAAAACAGGATTTATCAAAAAACTAATGCTTACTATACTTGTTTCCTTTTAATAAATCATTATTAGAAGCATAAAAGATGCACCATTTAGGCATCATATTTTTGAGACGTAAAATTATACAAACCTTAACAAAATCGCCTCTGTCTCTATCCATAACTTCGATAACATATCCAGTGATAGGAGCCCCGTTGTCCCTGATCGGTGGCTCCCACTTAAGCTTGACGGACTTCTCGTCCCAGTCCACGATGTCGGGCAGGCCAGGTGGCGCTGGTACATCGTACGGGTTTTTGGCCAGTGTGCCGTGGTCTGTGTCTAGTGGTTCAGACTCTCCTTCCTCGTTTAAGGCCTTCACGCGGAACTGGTATGTGTGGCCGGGCTCGAGACCTGTTGAGTAGCATAAAGTAATGTAAATTTTAATAACTTAAAATGAAAAATATTAATAACTTAAAATGAAAAATAATAAGTACGAGTGCAATTTTAGATGTAATAGCAGCTAAGATAGAATAGGAACCGAATTTGCTATATGGCAAAATCAGCGGCTAAACGCTGGCAACACTAGGTGTGTTAGACCCAACGTATACCCTTCTGCAGGTAAATCTATAAAGGGCTCAAATCTATTTCATTTGTCGTTGCTTCTCATCGCTAATGTCAGCAATATCACTAGCACGTGATTAACTTTACAACATTGGTAAGACCTGTTTGGCACCTCGTTTTAGAGCAGAAAGATGCTATGCTCTACATTTTTTAATAAAATGTAAAATAACAAACTAATTTTCATAAAGCTTTTCCAGGCTAAATCCATCCTCCTTCATTTCTGAACAGAAACTTACCAGTAACTGTAGTCTCCAAGGTGTCCGGCTCCACAGTACCGGCAGGCACCCACTTGCCAGTGAGTGTGTCCATCTTCTCCACAACATAAGCGCTGAGAGGAAGACCCCCAGTGTGTTTGGGTTTGTTCCACTTGAGCTTGACATGGTCAGCATGAACGTCTGATACTTCCAATGGGCCTTCAGGCTTGCCTGGTTTATCTGGAATGATTTTTTTTTTATCAGGTAGCTGTACATCTATATCAATACTAGTGAGTCCCGAAGAGAACCCAAGCAGACGGTTATCCAGTTACAAATGATGACTGAACTAGTACATCCCGTTAATCTATATGGTTAGAGGCAAACTAGTACGGTAGCAGTAGGCCCGCTATTAACTGCCGCAAATACAATCCGGGAATTTAAACCAATATCACAGTAAAGCTATCTTATGCAGCACATAGTGCGGACCAGGAATTTATATCATCATCATCAACAGCCTTTACTAGTCCACTGCTGGACATAGGCCTCTCCTTAGAAAGGAGGTTTTGGCCTACTATACCTAATTTATATACCAAAAAAAATGTATAATGTTTTCCCTGTACTATCAGATTTTTATTGTTATCAAAAATGAGTAAGTGTCGAATTCCTGGGCGAATTCTAGTCAAAAACCTACCTAATACAGTGACTTCAACGGTAGCCTCATCGACACCGGAGTCGTTCTCAGCCTTGAGTGTGTACACGCCAGAGTTGTTCCAGGTCGAGTCGAAGATCTGCATCTTGGTGTTATAGTCTTCGTTCTCGATCTTGATGCCGGGGCCGGTTTCCAGCACCTGATTATTTTTTGTACAATTTAGAGCATACGTACACTTGGTATGTGAATATACGTAGTAAATATTTTACGTTTGAGATCTTTTTAATCTCGTGTTATTGTTATTAGCTGAATCCTTATCCTAAACACCTCGAGGTTGGACTTACATACATAATAAACTTTCATGCAAAAGTTTACAAGATAAAATAATGATGGTGATCAAAATACATATCTTATTGAATATTATTAATGCAGTAGTCACTTTGTTTTTACCGCTTCTACTCTTTAACTAATATATTCAACTAATTTATTATTATAAAAGTTTACATGCTCACTGTAAGTGCTACAGAAAAGGTAGTAAAAAGCATTCCCGAAGGATAGAAAAATTATATGTACTCGATGGAAGCAGTGAGTAGAAAATAGTTATTGTATATAACATACCTTCTTGGCGAACGTCCATGTCTTGGTCGGTGGAGGTTCACCCTTGATGTCGACATCCAATTTGATAGTAGTACCAGCGCGGACGCGAATGGCCGTCATCTTGTCGCGGTTGATGTGCGGTTTCACTGTAATCATTATTTTAAGTAAATATTATGTAATTCAAGCTCTAAGAAAGTTATATTCCCTATTAGTCATATAAATTGCCGTAGCCATTAGAGTATTCATTGTTATTAACCAAATATAAAGGTATTTGGTTATACACCCTAACGTCAACTATACATATATACATACTCTTTAAACCCCTAAAGGGTACACACAGGTATTATGTAGAGTTTGCTATACATTTGTGATTTAAATATGAATGAGATTTAGAATAGACACTTCTGGGTTTTTGTATTCTTCTGACTCGACTTTAGTTTTGACTGATTTCATAATAACATAAATTTACAATTTCAATAGTTGTAAACAGTTTAAGGAGTCTATGTATATGTGTGTATGTAATTTTTTATACTTTTTTTTTAGAGAAGAACGTCCGCACTAGGAATATGTGCTGTCTGTGTGTGGGACTTTACAAACACGTGAAACGAACAAAAATAACACAGAAGAACAATTTATGGATCACACAAAGTGTCGTCCCGTGCGGGGATCGAACCCACAACACTCAGCGTAGTAGGAACCGGCGTGGCGAACGCTTAAACCACTGATCCATCAGTGCATTTATATTCATTTTATACTCACAGAATCTAGCTTTAGCAGTATGCGGTTGTGTGGCATCTCCTGGTTCTCCAGGGCCAGCTTTGTTAACGGCGCGCACTCGGAACTGATATACGTTGCCTTCCTTCAGATCAGGCACACGAGCTTTGCATTCAGGCGTCTGAAAGGTGAACAATAATGTGTGTTTGACACCACCAGAACCATTTGTATTAAAAGCTAAGGGAAATTAATATCTATCTCTCTATGTATGTGTATCTACTTCATTTATCTACACTAACATTTTCTGAATAGTAAATTCACTACGGATATGAGTGTATAAGTGTATCTATATTATATGTACTATTGATAAACTAAAGTTGCATTCACTATTAAGTAAATGAAATGCAATGCATTTTAATCTTGAAAAAAATTGCCATGACACATTGTTATTTTAAAAAGCTATGATATTCTAAGACGTAAAGAAGCGAAGTTTTTTTTTACAAAAAATCATTTTATATTATTTTGATTTTTTAAAGCGAGTGTAATTTAATATCTTACAGTAGTGACAAGCGCCTCGGTCCACTGTCCATATTTCTCCTTCTTTTCGATGACGTAGCCCGTGATGGGAGCACCGCCATTGTTCTTGGGCGCCTCCCACTTGAGATCCACTCGGTCCACATCCCAATCCTCGATTGTGGGTACTGACGGTTTTCCAGGAATGTCTAAAAAGATAACAGGCTTATAAATTAAAATGAATGAAATTATAAAAAGATTATGTCCGTGTACCAGACAAGGCCCTCTCACAACAGATGTCTTATAATAAATAAATGAAAATTAATATAATTACAAAACGATTTAGTCGTGGTACCACGCAAGTCTGTAGACACCAAGGACATCCAAGGACTTGACTGTCTCAACAATCCTCAATCATTCCATTATTTCGTTTGTTTGATATCATTAACACTTTCAGTCTGTTTGAATCTATTTTTTCCTACTTTTGTTAGTCGGACTTTTAATAGATATGTCGGAGGTTCAAATCCTTCTCAGTACACTACTGACGAAATAAACATTTAAAGTTAACGACATACCCTAAAAAAACTTACCGTAAGGATTCTTGGCGATGATCGAGTGGTCAGTCTTCAGAGGTTCAGACTCTCCTTCCTCATTGACCGCCTTCACTCGGAATTCGTACTCCTCGCCTTCCTGTAAACCCTTGATTTCCATCTCTGTGTCATCAGTCTTGCCTACTGGCACCCAGCGTCCGGTGGCTTTGTTGAGCTTCTCAACTACGTAGCCAGTTACTGGTTTTCCTATGAAATAAAGGAACGATGTTAAGGTTAAATCTATAATTGACGATTATGAATAACTGGTCAATTAAAGAAGAAAGTAAAGAAGAGTAAAAGTACTAAAAACTTCATTTAGAAAATATTGATCCATTTTTGTTATAGATCTTTTGAACATCAATCCACAAAATTGTGCTATTAGTACTAGATTGACCGGTTTGACCTCATTTTCTAATTGAAACACATAATCATCATCACATCTACATTATTATAAACTCGAAGGATTAACAATTTAAAACATTCTACTGTACGAATGGGTATTTTAGCCTATTGGTGGTTCATTGCGTAACACACAATGTACCACCATTTTATAGTAATAGAATTATCAACTCACCACCATCGTCTTCTGGCTTCTTCCAGGCGAGCTTGCAGCCATTCTTGGTGACGTCAGTGACCTTGAGCGGTCCACCAGGCTTGCTGGGCGAGGACAGTACCGTGATCTCCACTTCGGCCTCGTCTTTGCCGTGCTCGTTGGTGGCGAGGATACGGTACGTGCCCGTCATCGCTCGCACGGACTCTTTGATGTCCAACTTGGTGTTGTAGTCAACGTTAATTACGTTACTCGTAACCTATTAGACGTAGGTTTAATATTAAAAATCTATGAAAATGAGGAAACATCACAAGGATTCAAAAAGATCATTATATAGGCCTTGCATCATTATAGTTTAAATTAAACTTGAAACACCACATCAAACTTTTAAGCATAAAAAAGGGTGAAGGCGGTAGATTGAATTAATTTTAAAAATTACTTACTATAACCTAGTTCTACCTCAGAAAATTAGATAGATAGGAAGGGTAGGACCGGGGAGTTATTGACCTTCATCTTTAGGCAAAAAATATTTTATGGTAGGATGTATGGATGGCGTTATTAACAGGGACTTAGGTCTAGTACCAGCAGCACCAGCTAATTTCGATATAATTGGTGGCATACCTCTTTCTCCTCGTTCTTCCACTTCTGGAACCACTGCACCTTTGGTGCAGGTTCACCCTTGACGTTTACGTCGAAGAAGATAGGTTTGCCAGCGCGCACAGCCAGCGCCTTGAGGTTAGTGCGGTCAATGCGTGGCTTCACTGTAATTAGTAAATTTCGCTTATGTTTATATTATAAATTTTCTCTTCATCTTTTCATATTGTTAACTACCACCAACTAAACCATGGCTAGTATTCACTAATGAAAACAAAGGCAAAATGTAGTATCATCATGTAGTAATATTAATAATGACCATATTTTTGCCTATCTTAAACACCAGCTTCTCACATTTAGAAAGCTTGCATAGTTTTGTGATATTTTGTATTTTAGTAAAGCGAACTAAAAAAATATATGTAAACTTAGATGTAATAATAATTAATATTAATAGTAACATCTTTACGCGAAACCTTTTTTTTTATGGAAGAGGAGGCAAACGGTAATGTACTGTAGCAATGATGATATCAAAGTTTAATTTCAAATACCTATTAAAGTGACCTAACACTCCTTCTTGAGGTTTTTATGTTTTTTGTGTCCAACTCATAAAGAAATCACACACTACCCATCCGTAACGACAACACACATGTAATAAAAAAAACACTAACGAGCTTTGTGTCTGATCGTAGTCATCTTGGTCGCGTCAGATGGATCTGAGGGTCCAGCCTTGTTGACAGCCACCACGCGGAACTGGAACTCGCTACCCTCAGGTAGACCGTCTACCTTGGCCGAGGTCTGGGTTCCAGGCACCTATACGAAAAGGAAGTTTTTTAAGCATTCGTTTTTTGCAATGGTGCCTATTTTCTAATATTTTCTTAGTACTGGTAATATGGAATTATTAAGTTGTCGTTTAAGTTGTCGCGGATTCGAACCTCTGATAATACACTGCTAATGCAACAGCTTAGCCTCTAACGACCTATGTGAGGCGCAGTGACAGAAGTCAGTGTTCAACTGCAACGTCAAGCGTCCGGAGTCCAGTCAAGCAATAACCGAATGAAAGCGATCAAATTCTCGGACAAATGTTTATTGTTAGGAGTACTAACCTCAGCAGCATTCTCCCAATCACCACCTTTAGGTTTCTTCTGTATGATGTATTTGAGGACTGGAGCACCACCATCGTTCTTGGGTGGGTCCCATTTGATCTCAGCGCTCTGGTTGTCGTGGTCTGCCACCTCGACGTTGCCAGGTTTGTCAGATACGTCTATAGGAAAAATTTGACAAAATAATAAATAAAAATTGTAATAAATAAAATAAATAAATAAAATAAATAAAATTAAAAAAAAGTTATTATATATTTTATATATAGGCCACAGGCCAGGTGGAGCGACGATCTGCGCAAGATCTGGATGTGAGCAGTCGAAAATCGATCTAAATGGCTTGCAATGGGAGAGACCTATGTCCAGCAGTGGACTGCGATAGGCTGATGATGTTTTTTTTTTCTATGAATGTCTCAAATTTATTATTTTGTTTAATATTAATAACTTGACTTTCCGTAAATTACAGGTCGACATACTGAGGTTTAAGCAATCGTTTCCTTATTATGTAAATATAAAAAGTGTCTGATTTACTTTTTATCAATATCAATAAACCTCTATAGCTACTAAACTAAAACAAAGACAATCAGGTTATAACTGTAGGAAAAAAACTGTTTCAAATTTATTGATTCACTTATTTATACACAGATAGTAATTAGTAGAACACAAATTCTTATAGCCTACGAAAAATACATACCGAATGGATTCTTAGCGAGGATGGCCTTCTCGGCTTCTAGAGGCTCTGAGTCACCTTCATCGTTAACGGCTGTCACTCTGAACTTGTACTGGTGCCCAGGTTCCAGACCAGTCACATCCATCTCCAAGGGTTTCTTGTCACCGGCAACTCTGGAAGTGAATATTTTATTTCGTTTATACACAAATATTTCTCGAAAAAAGATTAATTCAGTTCACTTACATCTAATACCTTTAAACGAGTCATTCTTGTATATATGTATAGATATATTATAATATATATAATCTGAATCTCGGAAACGGCTCGGCTCGGAAAATTTACTATGCACTGGGTTTCGGGGCGATTAATCGATCTAGCGAGGTTTCATTTTTAGAAAATTTACCAAAAAAAAAATAACGAGCAAAGCTCGGTAATAAAGTTTCTTATGATAAAATGTAATAACATATAATAAACTAATTATCTCTGTGATCACAGTACTTTAATTTAAAAATATAAAACTAAAGATATGAACACAATTTTATTGGTGTTTGTATTTTTCAAATTTCAATGTAATCTTAACTGTTTTTAAATTCATAAAAGCTTTCACGTTTGGTAATATCAGGTAAAAGACGCGATATAAGTAAGACTAAAGCCTGCACGCCGGTTTTATCAGCAAAGATAGTTCTAGAAATCTAGAATATTGGTATTATATTAATTTGACATATTATTTATTGCTTCATCTATTCAATAAACAAATTTGTGCCTCATTATCAAATAATAGAGCTCAATATAATAAAATAGTATCTTTTGTGTGTGTTATGTTATTAAATTTATCAACTCACCTGCCAACCCTAACCCATTTGCCAGTGGCCAAGTCCATTTTCTCAAGCTCGTACTCCTTAACTGGAGAACCACCGTCATCTTCCGGCTTCTCCCACTTCACCTTGCATCCTTTAGCGTGGATGTCTGTTACTTCCAATGGCCCTGAACAAGAAACAATTGGTTATACTTCATTGTATCCCAGCTCATTTTATTACACATCACTTATTAGAAGACTGCCCGAGGGAGTGATGCGTTTCGAGTATCGGCACTCTCAACTTTATAAGTAGTACATTATTTTAAATGCAATATAGTTGTTTGTTCGAAAGAGGTTTGGCTTAATATTTCTATTACAATTGGGGCCAGACGTTTAAAGATTAACTTTACTAGAACTTAGTGCTTTATAAGAAAAGTATAAGTAGAAAAATGTGCGGGTCGGGTAGACCGATTTCCACGGAACGTTTACTTGCAGATAGCTGATGTTCTAAGGTACTCCTTAGAACATCAGGCAAGGTAACCAAGTTACTACTTTGTTACATATTTTTTTTTACTAATTGTGGTTCCGCGTAAATAATATAAATATGTAGAGGCGAGTGAAGAGTGAACGCTTGTTGCTAATAAATGAAAAAAATGTTTTCAAGAAATATCGAACTGACCTTTGGGCGCGCTAGGTTTGCTCAATACAGTCAACTCAACTGTTTCCTCATCGAAGCCATTGCAGTTCTCAGCACGCAGCTTGTACTTTCCGGTGTCTCGTCTCACCGCGTTTATAATTGTAAAGTCGGTGTGGTACTCCTTGTTCTCAATCTTGATGCGCTCAGTATTCACCAGCTTGATGTCCTCACGCCATGACCTGAGGAAAAATTTACTTGTGAAAGAAAATATTTAACGCGGTGAAGTGCTACCTACATAAGAAGACTAATTATTATTAAGATAACTGCAAGAAGGAAAACTTGACACAAACCGTATACGAACGCGACTGGCCAGCGTGTTATAGTAGGCCAATACCTCCTTTCTAAGGAGAGGCGTCCAGAAGTAGACTGTTAAAGGCTGTTGATGATGTGATGTGATGATTTTAAATTAGAACATTATGCATTAATAAAACACCCAACTAATGGTGGGCATATAAGGGTAAAAAATGAAATTGTTTTTTACTTCAAGTATTCAAAGTTGCTAAACAAAAAGTTGTGAAATTGCGTTTGCAAGTTGTTTTGCGTAGGAAAGATTTCGTACAATGATCATGGTATCTATCATGTTGAACAAACTAATCTCCTTATTACAGTGTTATTTTAAAACTTCCTTTAGGTTTTCCCACGAAAATATCTTATCTGTTTTTTTTTTTTTAAATTACCTCCCTAGTAGTATTGGTATTCAAAACTCATTATTGATTTTGCGAAACATTTTATAACACGAATCATTTCTAAAATTGGATGCCATCTCCCTAACAAAATGAAATAATTGTTCGTTTTCCAATGGGAAAAAATGTTACAAAGGCTTTTTACTTTTGTATTTAATTTTTCTTTGTTTAAGAAAGTCTTTTGCCGAAGGTCACAGCGATTATGTTATATAATTCATTTTTACTTAGTCCAAGGTTTCAACTTAATGAATAATGACACAGGTGCTCCCATGATATGAATCCTTTCAGTCTTTAAATCAAGTTTATAGGGGGGGACAGCGCGTACGCAGTCCCCACTACCAAAAATTACGCATCCGAGTTATCCACATTAGGGATAATCGCAGGGGTCAACCCAACCGCAGTGCAATGGAGGGGTCTCGCCCTGGGGGAACCGCCTTCATGATCACGGTATCCCCTATGCCAGGTAAGTATGATTTCACCAACGCCTTACGGGGTAGTCATTCACTCGCGGAGACTCTTAACACCGACTTCTACTTTGTACTGGCATGCCACCTTTGTAGTAAATGTGAATACTACTCGTGACGTCATTTACTCTAGTAGCGACCTCTACCGCAAGCACACAACAACTTTGTATGTCGTAAACGAGTACAAGTAGGGACTTCCGTATTTAGCAGAATTACCATCAGATGGCGCATTAACTAAAATAATAGAATTGTGTGTAAATAAATTAATTCATCCACAAACGTAATTGAGGTATTATAATGTAAACATCCTGTCACAAAAAAAAGCTTAGTTTCGCTGGCACTATTATAGAATTCCACAGCATTAAATAGTCTTTAGTCTAAAAGGAAATTGCAATAACCAAATTGTATTATGCAATTGCATAACAAAAGGTCCAAAATAAAAATTTTGATTTTTCAAAATAAAGATGTTGAAATTATTATTGCAAATATGGCATTTCAAAAGAATATACATTAAAAGTAATTGTTAATTTTCTGGTAGGGATGGCATATAATCATAATAACATGTGATAAATCATATGACTTAAAATTCAATGATTTAATCAGGCCTGCGTCTGATTTACTAAACCGCTGCTACTTAATTATTATTATTATGCTAGCGTCAGACTCGCGAAAGGCTTATCTAAAAAAAAGTGTATCTTTGACAAAAAGAATTTTGGTTGATTTTAGTGCCACATCTTTGACCTTGACGTAATCACAATCGCTGTTACTGAAACTAATCATATCATCAAATAATGATTTATAATTAGCAATAATATTCATGTGTACATACTCGATTCCTTTAAATATGCAACTACATTTTCATAACCATCTAAGTAGTGCAGAGAGTTTTATTGCCTCATATTAAATGGGGGGACAGCGCGTACGCAGTCCCCACTACCAAAAATTACGCATCCGAGTTATCCACATTAGGGATAATCGCAGGGGTCAACCCAACCGCAGTGCAATGGAGGGGTCTCGCCCTGGGGGAACCGCCTTCATGATCACGGTATCCCCTATGCCAGGTAAGTATGAGTTCACCAACGCCTGACGGGATAGTCATTCCATCGCGGAGACTCTTAACACCGACTTTTAGTTTTTCCTGTAGTGACATCTATATACTTAAGAAGAATACAGAGATGTAAATAATATTTATAAATAACCAAAATTAATGGTATAGACAAAATTATAGTAATATGGCAATGAGTTATCATTGCATATGAACTAAAAATGTTGTGTAATACCAGAATATACATCATGGATATCTAATGCCAATCACTATTTTTAAAATAGGTACATGGATTTACTTCTACTTAAAAAAATGTGTCAGTTTACATTTTACCAAATAAATACTGGCTAGATACAGTCTTAATTTAAAAACTGGGTCTGAATAGATCTTAATGCTGATCTTATCTGAATGAGTACTTGAAAAGAAATAGCATCTTTACTGTGGTGGTCACAGTGGGATAGCATTGTTTAGGAACTTTGTTTTTCATATTTATACAAATCATGTAGGTATCAAGAGTAAGTCTAGTTCTACATAACTCCTTCAAACCCAAGTTTGTGAATATTCACCATTAAGCCATCATTACTGCTTTACAACAAGTGGGAATATAGTAATTTCAATTTAAACATGTGTGTTTCAGTATATATTTAAATGAAATTCAACTTTAGTTATTTTAACAAAACTCTCACAAATACCTACTAAACTATGTATGAACTCTTAAATATTTATGTAAGTATATCATATAAATTTACTAGTTTTTGCAAGTAACTTACGCTACTACCAAAAATAAATATAAATCATATAAATCACATAAATCATATAAAAAACCCAACCACCATTTTGCAAGCTTTGGGGTGGAATTTGTTGAAATCCTTTCTTTCTACTTATGCCACCTAAGAAACATTTGTGCAAATTTTATGCTTCTAGACCCAGTGGTTGCAGCTGTACCTAGATTGATCAGTCAGTGAATAATATTATATAATATATTCTACCACATACACACAACGCTATCTAGTCCTAAACTAAGCAGAGCTTGTACTATGGGTACTAGACAACTGATATAAATACATATATACTTTTTTTTTGTAAATACATACATATTATACATAGAAACACCCAGACCAAATCAAACATCAAATGTTCATGCACACAAATGTTTGTCTTGAGCGGGAATCGAACCCGCGACCTTTGGAATAGCAGTCCGTTACACAAACCACTATGCCATCCAGTCGTCAATTTCTTCTTTTATAGATATAGGTACATCAATATCTTTGTGTCATATATATTAAGTACACCAGAAATAAAATTAACTCACCATGTCATCTCTGGTGGAGGTTCACCAATGACATCAACAGACCACTTATGGGTGCGGCCAGCCTTGATGATCACTGATTTGAAGGTGCTGCGCTCAATACGTGGCTTCACTGTTGAATAAATGTGATAATAGTATCAGCACACAAAATGTATTTCAAAACTAATATATTTCCATATTGCTAGTGCGTTTGGTGACGGACTAAGAATAGTGTTACCAACTATTCATACAGTGGGTGTCGAGCCGATTAAGGGAACAAACTATGCAGGACAATATCACTGGAAAGAGAAAGAAAAATTGAAACAAACCCTATCCGTATATCAAACCCAGTCTGGCCAGTGTGATATAGTAGGTCAAGACCTCCTTTCTATGGATATGCCTATGTTGAGCAGTGGACTAGTAAAGGCTGTTGATGTATTTAATCACTAAATTATATAATAATTATCTGCCTTGTATGTCTTAATTTTATAGACATTTTTTCTTTTAAACAAATTTAAAACTTTAATTATAAGATATAGAAAAGTAAATATAATTTATACACTATGCTTTATAATTGTTTGATATTTTAAGGTTCTTTAATAGTCAAATGACTTACAGTTCTTGTGTTTGCAGAGATGGTTTTCGGTGGGCTCAGAAGCATCACCAACACCAGCCTTGTTGTAAGCCTTTACACGGAACTGGTAGATCATCTTCTCCTTCAGACCCTCAACCTTGTACTCTGTCTTTGTATCTTCTGTTTTGGTCACCTGCAGATCAATGCCAATTAATAAATAATATTTAAAAAGTAGTGTATTTAAAAATCTGAAATCAGCATCTCAGACTTTGAGCTTGGAACAGCATATACAACATTATAACATATTTATTGAGACTTTTTGTTGCTTATGCAAAAAGCATTTTTGCTTTTATTTATATATCAAGGATCAAACAAGAACCCAAACAAACCTAAATTGGTTTTTAATGAGTCCAATTTGTGTGTCCAACATAAACTCTTGAACTATGTTTTTTTTTTAGTATAGGAGGGGAGAGAGGGGAGGGACAAACGAGCTGCCGGGTCACCTGATGGTAAGTGACTACCGCCACCCATGGACACATAAATAACAAGCGCATTGTCGCCCTTTGTGTGCTCTCCATAATGAGGCGGGAGGAGAGGAATATGGTCTCAGTTACTCGGTGAAATGTAACAATAGAATTGCTTAATGAAGGTTTTCTGTGCGTGTGCGTCAATTATTTGTTTGTTAAGTACAAAGACAAGAATTATTTCCTATGGCGAGTGTGTCATACATCTCGGCTTACAACAAAGACCTATAAGAATGTTTCTTAAGTAATTACATTTATAATTAATCAGGTTAAATACGTAACACTGACCTCAATCCAGTCAGGAGAGAATTTGTCCTTCATCTCGACAACATATCCGAGCACTGGTCTTCCACCGTTGTCTGACGGGGGCTCCCATTGCAACGTCGCCGACTGATTATCGTAGTCGATAACTGTTGGCTTGCCTGGTGCCTTCGGTGGGTCTATGATCATATTATATCATTTTATTAACAATGAAAATCTTTCACAGTAACTTGTTTGATATAAGATAGGTAGTGTAAAAGGGGTTTAGGTCAAAAGCGAAGCAAATCTTTCTTAACATATTTAAGTTCCTAACGTGCATTATATTTGCAATCATTTTGGCTTTTTTGACAAAATAAACATTCTTGTCTAAATTTTGTAGGCATCTTAAAAATTCGAAAACAGCGCCCTGTCGGCGGGAAACGATAATGACAGCTACCAGCTACTACAGCTATTTAGAGATGTTATTTATTTGAAATAGCCATCTTTTGAATTATCTTCGATTTTTATCGTAATGTTGAATCTAATAACTACAGTAGGAATGAGTTAAACACGATTACTTTTAGGTATATTTAATCGAATCCTAACTTTAATATTATGAATGCAAAAGTAAGGTCGTTCATATGGTTCTTACAGATTTTTAAGAACTGAAGTTCTTAAAAAGTGAACCCGCCCAATTTCGACAGAATAGAACGAGAAATAGAAAAATAATTTTAAAAGCTAAAAATTAATAAGTATAACACTATTTATTACAACAAATGGTATAAAGCTCTTGTAGCTGATTGTTGCTTGTTGATTCTTCTGAAATCATGATTAATAAAAAACGGTCTCTAGTGTTACTACCTATTCATTTAATGTAGAACAATCCCTATTACTCATTCTTTACCCCGAGATTTAAGACCCACGAGTAGAACCTATTTTGCAGAGACTGTTTTAAAATATAATTAAAGTGGCAAAGAAGCAGACGACAATGTAAAAAAATTTACTCACCGTAAGGATTCTTGGCAACAATGAAACTGTCAGTCTCCAAGGGCTCTGACTCGCCTTCCTTATTGACGGCGCGTACTCTGAACTTGTATTTACGGTTTGGTGTGAGTCCTTTGACTGTGAACTCTGTAGGTTCGGGACCAGTTTCACCGCATGGTACCCAGTTGCCGGTATCCTAAAAGTAATTAAACAAAGGTTATAGGGTTATAAATTATTTTAGGGTTTGACAAAGTACCTTAGTATTTCATACCTAATAGTATTTAATTTTAATCGTTTTTACGTTTGAGGGTTACGTGTTACTTAGTATTCTTGTCTATTTGTGCATTGGTACATTATTCCTTTGTATCCTGATCATTTTACCGTAGTTCATAGTTAAGTGATCAGAATAGAACCCACTTAAAATACACATAGTTCCGTATGTCTATTGCATGCAAGAAACTTGAAAAAACCCTAGGAAGAAAGTCCTTGAGAACCCCGGTAGACCTTGACCGTGTTAGATAGCCATAGCATTGCGTGCTTTGTTCCCCCATTCTGGTTTGGAAAGTCGCCACCTCTTTAGAGAACATAATTAACATAATTACCTCACAATAATAAGTGTCGGAATGGGGCGCTGTCTCATTTTGAACCATGGAGAGAACCATGGCCTCTAACTAGAGTAGAGGCCGCCACATCATCCCCAAGTCAAAAGACATAATTACGTTTGAAAAGCTTCTTTTCTTCCATTACAATTATATTCAACACAGCTAAAATAAACTAACCATATCCATTTTTTCCAAAGTGTATCCAGTGATGTCGGATCCCTGCCAATCATCGGGCTTCTTCCATTTGACAGTCGCCTTTTCGGCTCGGATATCTGTGACTTCGATCGGACCATTTGGACGGTTAGGTTTGTCTGAAAAAATGTAGCAGTCCTTGTTGCATTATACTTTTTTATTTAAATTAGGATATTACCTTCTCTTAATATTGTGAGCCTCAATAATAGACGACAGGGAGCTTATTGAAAACTCGTAAACGAGAAATAATTATTGTTGAAAGCATTCATTTCTATCTTATCTGTTTAAAACTTCAGGGATATATCTTATATTTATATTATATACTTCGTTCGTCTTATTAGGTGTGCACTTTTAAAGATGCAATATAATTTTATGACGCCTTAAACAAATGACTAAGTGCCCCTTGAGTTAGGCACAGAATATGTTTTTTCAAACTTCTCTAGGTGTACCTACATGTTTAAATAAAATATCCTTTTGTAACACCATAACTAATACTTTCTGTGTTTTTGGGTATTAAAATATAATACAAAGCTTAATACTCCTTACCTAGTACAACAACATCGCCGATACTCTCGCAAGTACCAGACGAGTTGGTAAGCACTAGCTTGTACTTTCCGCTATCAATCCTGGTCGTTTTTCTCACGGTGATTACGGTGTTCCTCTCATACTTATCTATGGTGATGCGGTCACCATCATCGTGGATCTCCTGTAGTTGAAGTAGATTGTGAGAAAGGAGTATTAAGGAGATCGCGTCTGATCGTGCGTGGGTAATGTGAGAGCGTAGTAGCTATAAGTGAATGTAAATGTTCAGGGTAGGATAAATGAGAAAAAGGAAATTTTAATTTACGTAAGTTTTTAATTAACTGTTGTGTTTTTACATGGAAAATTGGGTGATTTATTATTATTATTGTGAGTGAAATCAGACGCAATCCCCAATATGAAAAAATCATAGTGTTAATAATAAATGTGCGATTCTCTCGAATATGTACCAAGTGGTACGTTTATTCCGTTGTTAGAATGTTATGTGTTGACAGCAATAATAAAATACCGCTGTCGAGTGTTACCACAATAAAAAAAGAAAAGGTGTAGAAAGTGTTTTCGTCCTTTTTATTAAATATTGCACCTGAATAATTATGGTGATTGTTCTATCAAAAAAGGAGCCAATAAAAAGAATCGTATGAATTTTGAGTTATTTTACGTTAAAATTAAGTTAAAACATCTAAAGCATTTTAAAGCATAATAATACCGTGTAATGTTTTAAAAACTTATAATAATGTGAATGCTTGCTTGTGCTGCTTAGTGAATCAAAATCGAATAGAATAAAAAATACAGCTTATAGCTAAAATATTCCAAATATGATTTTTCATTCAATTCGATACTACAAAAAAATTGTGTAGGTATATATATAGTTGTGTTAGCACATATATGTAGTATGAAAAATAGTAGCAAAATAGTGTAAAAGTGTATATGTTTAGAACATTTAAATGCAATACAACATTTATATCCAACCATCTGACCTTCTCAGTGTACGCCTTGCCGCGTTTCTTTTTTAGGAAAGAAAATAAAATACTAATTAAAATTTGTATACATTGTGAAATTTTGATAAAGAGTTCTAACAAAATCTTCCCATTAATTTTTATCCTTATCGTTGCCCATGGTATACTTACTGACATTCTCGTTCTGATGATTTGTGTTATTACCATTCGAATTTGGTACTTGAAAACTCCACCATTTGGTGAGTCTTCAGAAGTCGACATATAAACAAAACTACTTATGATAATATAATAAAAAGAAATAATAATTACCTCTTCACCCTTCATCCATTTAACTGTAGGTTCAGGTTCACCACCATACTTGATGTCGAAGGTGATAATCTGTCCCTTCTTGATGATCATGCTCTGGAGACCCTCTCCAATAATGTATGGCTTAACTGTAATGAGTTTTATAATCACTAACAATTCATTCCGAAGATGATTGCCTAAATGTTTAGGAGTGCATATTTATTCAAGTTTGTGTACTTTACTTTTATCAACAAGTCTGTTAATATGTTAAATTTTGGTTAGTTTGTCAAAAGTTTGCTTACCGAATCTGCACTTGGCAACAATTGGTTTAGTGCTGTCACTAGGTTCACCAGGGCCGGCCTTGTTAATAGCGCGAACTCTGAATTCATAAGTGCATCCTTCTTTCAAGCCATCCTGAGTACCCTTAAGACAATCTCCAGGTACCTCTTTTCCTGTAACCCAGTCCTTGCCGAACTTCTCCTGTGAATTTTCAGAAATTACAAATGTTGAGTATATAAGACAATTTTTGATAATGTTCATGTTTAAACGCTTTGCTTGATTCATTTAATACGAAATAAGGGTTTAACATAAAAAGTGTGTATGTAAGCTATTAAAGGTTTATCTTAACATATTTAAGATCTCTCTTAATGCTTTCAAGACATTTGAATAAATTCAATGTTTTGAGTAAAAGTTATGTCTTGGTAAAATTACGTCTCGGTACATTATATTATTAGTTACTATATCTACTATCTCATTAAATAAAGTTTTTTATACGTTACTTTGTATTCGATGACATATCCTGTAATTGGTGCGCCACCGTCGTTATCTGGTTTCTGCCACTTGAGATCAGCGTGGTCTTTGTCCCAGTCTGTAAGCTCGACTGCCTTTGGTTTCGAAGGTTCGTCTAAATTAATAAAAATAAGTTTAATTTCTATTTTGCACTACAATACACATTTAATGAAGTTATCGTAAACGGTTTTTACCCCATGGGTCCTTAGCCAGCACAGGCTTGGCAAAAAGACCAGGCTCACTAGACCCGATCTTATTAACGGCACGAATCCTAAACTTGTAAGTCTTCTTGGGTATCAGGTCTTCTACCTTATATTTCAATGGTTGACCATGTGGCACTTCGGCCACATTGTCCCATCCTGCTTTGAGAGACAAATCCTACAAAAAAAGATTAGTAGTGTAAATAGGGTAACATATTTACGTTACATTAAAGTTATTTCAGCTTATTTTTTTTTGTTTTTACCTGTCTTTCAATGACATATTTAACTATCGGTGCACCTCCATCATCTTGTGGGGTCTTCCATGTTACCGCACACGAAGTCTGGAAGATTTCTGAAACTTCGACATTTTGTGGTGGAGTCGGTACGCTCTGCATTGTAATAGTAACATCCTTGAAGTCCTCGCCTTGGGCATTTGACATCTTGATCTGGTATTTGCCGGATCCTTCCCTGCTTGGTTTCTTGATTTTGAATAATACCTTTTCTTGCTCGACCACAACTTCGACTTCCTTTGCAGGTAATGCCTTTCCGTCTTTAAATAGCTTGGCTTCAATCGGTGTTTGTCGGGTACCAGTAACTACAAGATTTGGAAGAAATGAGAAATCATAATCTAAATTGATGTGAATGAATTCATTTAACCTTTTTTTTGTTCTAGTTGACGTAAGATTTGTCCAAAAGGGAAAGTAGTTTGATGGTCTGATGGAGTGTGTTTTATTGCAAATAGTGCAATTCTAATAACGGAAGAATATTTAATAGTATGAAAATAGATTAAATTGATATACATACCTTTATAAGGCACCTCAATGACGAAGGGGCGGTCAGCTGGTCCATTAAATTCGTCCGGACATTCAATTGTCGGCTTGGACTCGCCCTTCTTGACGGTTAGCTTACAAGACGAGGTGAGTTTTCCGGATTCGCACAGAATCTCTCCTTCATCCTCCATCTCTAGTTTGTTAAAAATAAGTTGGTGCTTGCCACCACCCAAGTTCTTGATTTCAATTCTGATGGAAAAAGCATGTCATTATAATAAACAAAAATTCAAAAAGTTATTAGAAACTAAACACTATAATGACGTAGGCCTTACCTTTCATTGGGTACAATAGGTTGTCCGTTGAAAGACCAAACAGCTTCAGCTGTTTGATCCTGCAATTCTACTTCCAAGACAACCTTGTCTCTCTCAATAGCTTCAGTATCTTTCAATTTCTTGTTGAAACGGTTACAGTCTGGAAGGCAAAATAGGAGCTTAGAATATGCACAATATCTGTTCATATTAAATTACATGTCTATTTCGATTCATTCCTATTTTGAGAATGAAAGATTAGACGATTTCGAGCTTAGACTCAGTTTAGGTCTATTTAATCCGGACAATAGTACATAAAACGAGCCTGTCTATACTCTAGTTAAGAATTGATGTTCATTCGGTCATGACTAATGTCCCATTAAAGTTATTAATTGGTCAATATTGCTTTGTACTGGCTGTGATATAATATTTAGTAAACGTATTAACAGGATAGCAGGGCAACGGGATAAACTGAAGAATTAATAAAACTGAAAAAAAAAGATAACCATTTTACCTTACTAACTTTTAAACTTTCGCGTTCCATGATATTTAATATTATTTTAACGGGAATTAACGCGATCTCTTATTTAGGATAGCCTGTTGTCAGCCTGTGACCACGGCCGGTGCAACCTGGTCGAAACGTCAGGCAAACCAGAGGTATGTAATACCCTAAATAAGAGATCGCGTTAATTCCCGTTAAAATAATATTAATTATCATTTTACCTTAATTGTACTCTAAGGTGAAAATGTTGTCAAATGTTAATGGCGGCATCTTATGACTCTTATGTACCAAGATACATAATATGTAGTTTAGGTTAAGGCTCACCTGCGGCTCAGTCATATTATTTATAGATATGTTTATTTATGTTTAAAAAAAAAAACGAAGAACTTACAATTGACAATCAGTTCGCACGCTGTCTCATCAGCGTTGGAGGTACATTTAAAGTTACCAGCATCTGTGACTTTGGCGTCTCTAATTACCACCTTTCGTTTACGACCTTCCTTTGCTATTGTGATGCGCTTATCTGGTTTCAGAGGTTCATTGTTCTTAAACCTGTACAAGTGAATGCGTAATTTAAACATGTACAATGTATAAATCTAAGGTATATTAGAGCTAAACTTCAGAAAATTGGGTAATATACTAAAATAAGTTTTCTCAAGCTAGTTAGAGAATAGCTAAATATACAAAGTAAAATACTTATTGTACGGTAGTATATTTCCTATTGTATTTTTAATTTATTTTTATTATAAGACTAAGTGAACGTATAACATTCGATGATGACATGTAGGTTGGAAAATGATTTCTAATTATTCTATTGTGACCAAGAGGCAGTAGCCAGATATTTTTGAACTTACCATTTAACATCACCACCTGCATCGTCGAGCTCACACAATAGTGTGATTGTGTCTTTCTCAATGGCTTGTTGCGATTTGAGCACTTTGGTGAACTTGTATGGGTATTCTAAAAATGACATTTACACATCAGTAACAATTGTTCAGCGAAATTATAAACTTGATTATAGTTATATCAAAATTTGTAAATGTGTGAAGACTTACCAACAATCTTAATATCACTCTCAGTCTTATCAGGTTGTTTCTCAATCCTACAAGTATATTTGCCAGCATCTTCAAACTTACAGCTTTTGATGACAAGCTTACATATACCTGACAGATCCTTGGAGATCTGATATTCATCGTTATCTTCTAACTTTTTATCTTCCTTCCACCAGGACACAATAGCAAGGCTATTTGAAACAGTACATTCCAAGACGCACTCATGTTTTGTGTAACCACTAATGTTCTTCTTCAAGGGCTTTATGAAGCTATACGTGGGATCAGGTTCATCGACTTGCAAGAAGGCAGTACAAGTGGTGCCGCCGATTTCAATGGTAATTTTGCCCGTATCCTCAACTTTCGGGTTCATGATGATCAGCTTGTAAGAGTCTTGTTCGTTTGTCATCTTATACTTAGAGCCGGGGAACAGTTCCTGTCAAAAAAAGTGTAGACTTTTATAGCTGTACCGCGGTGGAAAAGAAAAGTTAGTTAAAAAAAAAATACTTACATCTTTGCGGAAATACCATTTTGGCTTCGCATTTGGCTTAGTAAAGATGGCTTCGAAAGTGACCTTCTTATCTTTGCCTTCTTTCGCGAATTGATCTACGAGGGGCTTCAAGAACGATTCTTGTTTCTGTGAACATAATCCAGTGGGTATAAATATATAATGTATGCATATGCGTATGTCAGCATAAGTCGAGAAAGTGCAGAACAAAACATGTGCTCTTCATACAAAAGCTTTTAGTGGTGACTATTAAGAAACCTGCTTCACTGCTCACCGCTGTCAACGTCACGAGCGAGGGGTAACAAGTGCATAAAAATTATCAGTGAAATAATTGAAACTCGTAGTCCCAGGCGTTAGAAACGTCAGCCATTATTTTATCGGTGCCACCCCCACACAATTGTCAACTCCATGCTAATGTACAGAAATTGGAATTTCTTTATTCTTTGAATGGGTGCATAAGTGGGCGTGTTTTTAATATACCGTTTCACTTATTTATAATACAATAGGTTGAACAAAAATGATGAATTTTTGCTTATACCGTAGATTAAACTTAGTAAATAAGATATGGAAAAATGACATCCATCATTTTTGGTGGGATTTTTATTATTTCCTACAACATTTAAATCATTGTGCATTAAATATTGAACCTGTGCGCAGTGCTGCTAGTAAAATATCGACGAAGATGTGCACAGAAGGATTGCTTAAGAAGAAATAGAAGAACAATACAAAGATGTGCTGGACTGACTAGTCGGTGACCACGCAGCTGCTGATCAAATAATCTGAAAAAATCAGCCAAATATTCTTGCATAACTATCTGCCGAGGATATTCCTAACACTAAAAACATATACGTCAGCGGATTATTGTTATGAGTTTTTGATTGAAGACCTACGTAATAATGTGCAGTGATTTTTTTGCAAGTACTTATTTTCTAATCTGTTCTGTCAGCACTGTAAGTCACTCATATCTAAGTTTTAAGTATTTGCTAAGATAATTTAATTTAATTTATTGGCAGATATTAGTGCAAGATATTCAATATCAATTAATTCAGATTATAAGATCAGGTTTCGTGGGGGTTCATTTGTGTGCGACAAATAATTTGCATTTTGTGATTTACACTTCAAGATGCATTGTGCCTATTGACGTTGCAGTCAAACCTCGTCTCTTTTGAACGAGTGTAGCACCGGCCAATCCGGGATCAGTTCAGCCAGTGACGGTCTTCTAATTTGGGATCTCTATAAAATATCCATTGATTCTTAATTATTTCTTTTTTATTAAATTACATCGCGACAGAAGTCAATTTTTGTGTGTTCAACAATTTCGGACTAAGTTATTAGTTGTAATAGCAATTTTGATTTATACACACATTGAGCAATTGTAGTGATGATTATAAAAATGGTACTTTTATGTAATTATCTAAATGTATACAGGAGAACCCGGGATGTTTGAACACCGAAAGAAAAATAATTCAAAAAGTGCGTGACTGCAGAAAAGATAATAAAAATAAATATATCGGTTTGTTTCGGATCAATCTCCGAAAATGCTACTTTCATTGTTCAAGCAAAATATAGCTTGTGTTTTCGTTAAATCAAGAAAATTTTTTAAAGTTATTGACATTTAAAAATATTTGCAAGTTACTTCATAATTGATCAGAATTATCTAGCATATTATAATTTGATTTTTAAGCGGTTCATGATATCACTTCGTTACTCGCGGTTACGTCGTGGGGGCTGCATATTAGTTTAATAAAATTATTTAATTTTGGACTTTGAATATAATTATCAAAGTAGATAAAAAATTCCAACATCTGCGTAACACCGGATGCATGAGCTGAAATTAATGAAGTAAATATGAGATTTATATATTTTTTTAATTATAATGACGTGATAGAAGCGCTTCAATCCGTCGTCAAAAGAAATCCTGTAATTTAATAGTATGGACACCAATTCAAATAGTCATATTTGAATTGTAATTGTGGGATAGTCAATAGAATTCATTCCACTTACATTCCCTGGAAGGCATGTTTAAGTTTTAGACACATGAAGTGGTGATACAAAAACTTTCAGTTAATTTAAAAATTCATTTAATGCATTTCTTTATTTAAATCGCTCGTAAACTAACGTCTACAACTTAGAACGCACATCTATAATTGTTGTTGTTGATATCATTGATTTAAGTGTATGCGTTATGCAATCTCATCTCTGTATTTACAGTTTGTTGTAGGCAATAGCTTTAGAGGATTCCATTTTAGTTTAGTTATTTTATCATTCATGATTTTAAGTCATTATTTATTTCAAAAGTTTGTTTCTATTCATTTAAAATGTTTTAAGTACCGAGTAGCAAATGGCATGCTACCTGGTCTCGTGTCTGATTAATAAGTTCAAATATCAAAATCGTATTTTTAATGAACAGAAACTCACTTTTATTTTTAACTTTTTATTTATCTTTTTATTTTATCGAACCTTTATTTTGACAGCCTCCATCAATTCGGGCCAATCAGGTATTATTTCAGGGAGAGACATACGTCTCCTTATTTGATAGATACCCTAGAATTTTAATTGCTATGTTATTGATAGAATAAATTATTTATTATCCAAAAAATTGTGATTTCAAGCTAACGTATTACGAAGCGTGATGGAGTGTGGCAGAAATTAGGGTTAAGTAGTTGTAATGTTTGTTTAAGGTAAAATATCTATTGATTTTGGGTTTGTTTACATAAATACTTTTATACTAACATGAAACCAAGCGAATAACTTGCCAAAATAAGCAGCCATTTCTATATAATTACGTACTCTAATCTATTTAAATATCTTGACGATAATAGATACTGTTTTTAATAGATCAGTAACATTTATGTAAACAAATCAATTATTGATATTGACGTTGTTATGACATAATTTACTTTTTTTTGTGAAAAAGTTTTGTTTAATAATAAGGTATGTTTAGGTACATGCCGAATGGAAATTTTAAAATGATTTTTAAAGAAAAAATATTTTATCTGTACATTTGACGAGCTAGTTAAAGTTTATTTGCCCGTGTTTTAGGAAATTCGTCATTTAATTTTTTTCATTAAATAGTTAGGACACTAAATTAAAGTTATTTCGTTGCTACAGTGAGTCTGTGGATTCAGGAAATGTAAGATGGAATGAACAATGATGCTATATTTTAAAATATTTATGACCTTGACCCACGACCAATTCAAGGAGTGCCTTCTTTCAGCCGGGTATCTACCCATCTCGAAACCTTCAGAAACGACCACAATGAAGCCATCCTCTTCGAAATATCCAGTTTCTAAGCCCTAAGAATCAAATGGCGTGTTGCATAGTAAAATTAAATTAAAAAGTGTTAAGAAATTGTTAGATATATTTTATCAAAGTAGTTAAATTTATTACAGCCATTTAAATAAGAACAAAGTAAACTGCGATAAGTTTTCGAACGTTTGACCTTAATCGAAATAGTATTGATTATAATGCTGCAGAACAAGAATTTTGCCACTATAAAAAATAGGATATTTGTCGGAAGCGATGGTGGAAGAACTAAGTATGGCGAAATAGCAATAAAATATTCTTTGAAAGATGAATGCTTGATGACACTACCTACGGTCCCTTTACGTTCAAAGCTTAATCAGTTACAAGCCTTTAACCAAAAAAAAAACTTCCAAAGAGGTAAGAGTTTCGACTGCAAATAATTTTAAATAAAATTATATTAAAAGAAGACTTATCCTTTGTTAAGAAGCTTCATATTTGAATGTTGATTTAGCCCGATGGAGCTGTCAATTTATTTATATCAACAAGACAATATAGATAAGAACACATCTTATTATGTTTTGACCGTGCACTGTTACTCACTTTTATCATTTATATTTAGAATCAGGATAAGTATCAAGTTCCAAATCGAGATCTAAATTGTCTTGCATCGTTATTTACGAGTATATACGGAGATTTATCATAGTAAGTTTAAAGTATGTAAGTTTAAAGTATGTATTTATATATATAGTATTTATATCACCATCTTCGTTGCCCCATCATGTCATTTTTTTTTGCTACTATCATGATCACACTTAAACAGAAGATAAACCTTACCTTCTCCACTTTCTTGAGTGGTGGAATGGGTTTTTCGACCTCTTTTAGATCTACGTTAATCTCTTCTTTCTTCTCTGCCCATTTGGCGTACTTCCTCTTCTTGAGCATGGCACGGAAGTCCATGCCACTGGCATCTAAATAAATATGTTTTAGTTTGTTTACAAAAAAATATGTGTTTTTTAAATTGTATTCTCTTAATTAGGAATCCTAACTGATATCAACGCCAATGTGAGTATGTTTACTTATTATCTTCATCTACTTTAACTATTTAACAGATTATCATGCAATTTTGAATGCACCATGCAGGAGGCACAGAAAAAATTACGATAACTTTCAATTGTGAACGTCATTATTTTTCGAGTTTATTTCATAAAAAAAAAAATTGGATGTAAGGTTGCCGACATTGTCCTTACTACTACTACTTTATTGTCTTTAAAACATCAAACTTACCGGATACATAAAGCTGCATTTCAGCTGAATCTTCACCGTGGATGTTGCTGACCACAATCTTGTATTTGCCTTCATCATTAGGTTTAACCTTTCTCATGCAGAGGGTGATGTAACCAGTTTCGCCATCTGTGACGAACTTGAAACGGCCCCCTTCAATAATCTCTCCGACACCTTTGTAGAACTTAAATGTAGGAGCCGGGTTGCCCTCCACTTGTACGGTGAGGTAGCCAGTTTGATCTGTTTATACAATTCATTTCATTTATACGTTCATTGACTTTAAGATTTAACTAATAAATCTTTTTCGAAACACTTCATAGCAATAAATTAAAATCAATATCTTGCCTTCAACAGCGGAATAGCTCTCTTGTACGTCGACAATGACTGGCGGTCCTCCATCTCCAATGGGTTTGAGAGGAACTGACGGTTTGTTGATAAGATCCTCAAGATCTTGCAGCGACGGTCTCCTCATATCGCCGGATTTTCGTCGCTACATCATAACAATTATGTAAGTCTACATAGTCTTTAATACTCAAATAGAAAAAGGTACGTTAATCACGTTTAAATCGTCAAGTGATATGTAAAGTGAATGGACTTCAAACTGATTTATAAAATACTAGTCCATTTACTATACAGACAAATAAACTTTTTTTTTTAAGTAGTTAGACATAAAAGAAATTATTTAACATAAACATATTTTTTATGAAACCGAAAGAAATAGAACATGGAAAGATTCATTACCTGCTCGACTATACATTTTTATTTTTTTAAGTTAATGTACACAAGAATAAAGAAAAAGGTATCTCATTCACAGTAGAGCAGAAAATAAATCAAAATTTCTTTATCAAAGGCCATCAAAATGTACGTGTTTCGAAGCTAAATATAGATTGAATAAGACATTCAAATCGGTCTATATTCGACCGCCAGGTGATATCTAGTAAATCATATTTAGGTTAGGTTATCAATCATCTTCTGATCCATGTAACAACTGAATTTAGAGATATATTGTCGCAGTGAATGACAAACAACTCAAATAAAACTCTTTAAAAAAAGTTGAACCCACTTCAAACAATACTAACAAAGAGCACTAAAAACCTAGCAGCAATAGCGTTTGATTGGCTGTCAGTTCCCGTTGTCTGTCTCCGAAACTCGTCATCAGATCTATATGAAATCCAAAAGGGACCATTTCAGAATAAACCCCTTTCAAACAAAAAAGAATTTTGAAAATACTTGTATTTATGACGGAGCTATGTCCGAAAACAAATATATGTAAACATCTGAATTGATAACCTCCGCCTTTTTGAAGTCAGTTAAAAATGGTTCAGTTTATAAAGTGAGATAACACATTAGTATATTATGACAGTTGTTTTACATTATGAGTGTTCGCCAAATGGTTTGACAAAACTGGACTTTCTGACGTGTGTAACGCATGTGCAAATGTATGTTTATGTTCCCGTCTCGTAGTGTGACAATTTTGGTACCGTCATTATTTTCTACTGTTATTATAAGGAAGTATCAAAAAACACGATACCTTACAGCTTGTTGGTTTCATTTTAGTTGGGTACTTTGCCAACTGTATTACCCACATTGACAGATGTTATAAAAAGACACAAATAACTAAAAAGTTAAATATCAAAGTGGTTTACTAATAAATTAAATATTATCAGTGCGACTATTTCTGCACTTTTATTGTAATATTTACGACTGGAATTTCTTGAAAGATCTAAAGTGAGAACTACATATAAATATCCAGACTAGATCGATTGCATTTCTTCAAGCGGGGGAAATATATTTTCTTTTAGTTAAATAGTTTTTGATTTAGTGGAGAACTAGCCGTAAAGATCAAAAGTAAGTAAAAGATAAATTGTGGGAGCAAATTGACGTTAATAGGTAAAATGAAATATTGGACGCGTTTGTCAAAATCAATGATAAATCGAGGAGTTGCGAGGATTTACTAAAGCCGTTTACTGACGCTTTAAGAGTGTCCTAGAGTTAGGTCTATTATATAAAAGGGCAGCTTTAGTCAATAATGCAATAAACGAAAATGTTGAAAGCAATAGAAATGAGAAACAAAAAAGACACAGAATTTACTCTTGCGAAAATACGATCTCCAAATGATGGAAAAGTCATCAAGTCCTCAACGACGATAAAAATACTTGAAGAGGTAAAAAAACCTTTTTGTACCTTTACACATCCAAATTTATATACTTATAAAAAATTAACATAATTTTAATGACCTTTGACAATATTGGACTATCATTACATTATAGTCAGTTTTATACTTACCGTGTCAATCTTTGGTTGGGGTTTAGCTAAAGCGGCAATAGGTTTTTGAATAACCGCTGCCATAATGATTGTTTATCACATATAACAAGATGCCACAAAACAATTATGTTCGCTTGAAGATTAATTTAAAATTTACATTAAACTATATCACAGTTCCATTATAAATTTACACACATACTTTTGTTCTTTTAATCATCACTAAATATAAAAATAGTTTTACACAAATCGTTTTATCACGCATATCATACATTTTAATTTCCAAAAAAGCCTAATATTAAATGCTATGCAATTATTTTGTATTTATTCAGCGTTACACCTGTGTTCTAACTAGTTTTCCTTGTTTTATTTTGGAGTCGTAGAGTGATTTTCGATATAGGGCAGTTCGTTAGTCGTTCCATGTAAAAATGGGCGCGAATGTCAAAAGACTGAAGAAGGGGTCGCGTGGGCATGATTGCTTTGCTATAGAAGGGCGCGGGGAGCGTGGACATCTATTTATGCACTGCACAAATCAGCAGACCAATACAATTAATTACCAGATTAAAGTGAGCCATTCGTGCAAGATGTTCTTGAACATTGCTGTTAATATAAATATATACATGTATGGTCAAGAGCTCTCAATTTCAATTAAAAGGCATATCATTTACTAAATCAGCACTCCTAATATACAGAGAATGCTTTGATATCTATCTTGCTTATAATTGTTTAAAAATTTAAGGTTAAAATTTAAGAGAATTGACAGTTATAAAGTGCATGAATTGAAACAGATAAAAATTGAAAGCAATCAATTTTGCATTAAGGCCAACTTATCGACGTTAGACAAAGTGTTGTCTAGATTAATAAATAAAGATAGATTGCACAAGAAGATTGAAAGATTGATTGGCAACCGGGTATTAATGCATTCTACTCAGATGATTGCCATCGTTGGCACAAACGCTTGCATCGCCAGTCGGAATCGCTGTCAAGCCGACAAATTTTATGTTTGCGCCTGATGTCTATTCATGATAACGTTTTTACTAATCCCAGACTATCGAATGCCTTTTGACAGTAAAAAAACTAAAATTTCCGATTGGTCGAAATTAATTAATTAAGCTTACTCTTCGATTGGAAATAAAGACAGTTATAGCTGTCTACACCAAATAAATCTAAGCAACTCTGCCAAATTTAAAAATATCGTGACCCTTGCCAAAAAAAAACGATCCGATGCTGTGATATCCAAATTCACCTCTTAGCACCCACGCGCCTTTTAGGTATTTCTACCTTCTCAGTTGACCATTATGTCAATCAAAGTTCCCTTACAATGTGTTTGCAGACCGTCGCTGTTCTTATTAATAGCACTGTTAAATTTATATCTGATGCCATATACTATTCTTTGACACGTATCTCTATAAATTATTCATTATCTATTAGCTTCAATGTGAACGCCAAGTGTAGCTTTTTGTTTAGATATTTATAAGACTAGTAGTCTGACACAATAGTCTCTTCACTTGCGCTGAGGGTATTCGTTCTATGTTTTTTGAAGTGAAAACTTCTTTGAGCGATTTTTGGTAGGGAAAAAAATTACGGGTTATTCCGCCAGACTAGCGATGCGTAGTTTTATTGTTTTGAGTTTTTACTTCTGTTGGCAGACCTTATGACTGTCTTTGTTTTTTTTTCAACTGTAAGTACCTTGTCAACGAATAGATATGGATTGATTTTCGTTTCGTTCGTCGTCGTTTCGTTCGGTAATAGGGGGTAAATGATCAGACGGGTCACCTGGGTACTCAAGAGACTCAAGTGCGGTTACCGTCCTTAGAGTTTTTCCCCCCTCCCAGAATAAAAGAATGGAGAGGTAGTTTGCCTTTAGTAAGCTAGCTCTCGGTAAAACATTGAAAAAATTGCTTAACACTGGTTTTCTGCGAGGCCATGGAACGAATACACACGTCCTTATGTTCAAATATAAACTCTTATATTTCTATTTCAGGTGACAAAACATCAAATTGTTCGAAACATTCAGATGTATATCAGCAATATGCGACAGATATAACTCAGCGAGCTGGCAACTTGAAGCCGTTAAGGGTGAGAACGTTTCAAGATCTTGGTCTTGGCCTGATTACTCTACTCATATTTATAAGACTAATAATCAATCATAAAGATTGTCATCAATGTTCTCCTGGCGCAAGCAGTATTACGACTTCTTTGCTTCATTAAAAGTGTCTACGTCATTATCGTATTCCCTATCGTTTCTAACAGGTGTGTTATGTAGCTTTTGTTATGGTTGATCAACAATTTACTTTATCCAGTTTTATTTTTCATTTTTTTCTGTTGCTACTGATTATATTGATTCAAACTTCTTCATTCATTTAAATAATAAAATCATCTTCCAATGTTCGCTAATAATTCAACCAGTTGACACACTGTTCTACTTGCGTCATAGATACAGAAATATTAGTTACTATATTATTAATCATATTCAGTTACTTTGTTTTGCTTCCGCTTATCATAACTTCTCCACGTTTGATTTAAATTATTGGATGTAATTATTATAATTTAGCCTGTGACATGTTACAATTGAATTAATGATCTCGGTGTATTCTGTGGCATCTTTACGATTATACTCGTAGTTGAAGAAACATCTATGATCTATGAAGTGAATTTAACTTTAAGTAGTTTCGTTTTGCACAATTCTGTTTAATATTGTTTATCGGCATCATAGATATCACTTTTAAATTGTGATTTTTAAACAATTATCAGTAGGTTTTGAAGCAATAAATTAAATGCTCCAAAGCGTGCACGATTAAAGCAATAATTTGTGTCGTCTCATGTCGTCACACAATTATAATGGACACGTATTATTGCTTAATTTTTAACAAGCTTTTTATATTATTAACCTCGTGTTTAGCAGTTAGCTTTCATAAACAGATTTTCAAAATGGATAAATACATTTAAAAATAGTAAATTATTAAAATTATTTTTCCATTTCAATAAAGCTGTTTTTATTATTTAAATTTGGTTTTTAATAGGAGACATGCAAACATTTTAAGTGTAATCATTTACTGCTTATAATTCATATTATTATATTAATTGTTAAATTCTTTAGATGAGAAGGTGTTAGTAGCACTAACACTAATTTATTTACAGCACATATATAAATTGCCCGATTGGAAATTTTAACCAGAAAAGAATATTGAATTTTCTTACAATGCGACTGTTTTGAGTACGCATATAGATATTATTCACAAATGAACAAGTTATTCACTTTGAAAATTAATCTCATTGGAAATATCTATGTTAGCCACGTTTCTATATTTTCTAGAACATGTATAATCTAAACATATATTTTTCACACATTGTATATACCTCGTCGGCGAGTTCACCCGGCCTGGTCCGTTTCTTATTTGGAAAAAAATATAAGTTTTAGTAAAACATTCTCTGTTAAAATTGTGCTTAAAAGATATATATGAATATCTGTACAAATAAATATAAATTGTGTGCTTATAAGTTAATTAGTGTACATTGGGTGTATGTAAGTGTGGTAGTTTCAATTGTAAATCGTTTTAAGGTGCAGTGTGAGTGTGTTTGTGCATAATTAAAACATCACTTTTAATGGTGAATATAATTAGTTTTTCCCACGTAATTTGAGAAATACCATTTATAAGCATTTACATTATATAGAAGTTAAATATTTGTGAGTAAAGTAATACATAATACTTAACATAACACATTCTATAGTCTGTAAAAGTTGAGATAAAAATGTTTGGTGCATTTAGAAAAATTGTTAGTGGAAAACTAAAAAAAACTATAGTTAGGGAAATTGAAAGCCTTTCTAATAGTAATTCTACCAAGCTGAGTCAGTGAGAAAAATGAACTTTTTTTAAGGTTCCCACAATCATGCTATCTCCTTTTTTCTAAAAAAAGGAGAAAGCATGATTGGGGAACTTAATTACATGCTTAAAATGAAAATGACAATCGAATATTCTGTTTTCATATGTATTAAATTAGTTCGTTTTACTCAAAAACATTAAAAGGTCAAGCCCAGCGATGTTCTGTCACATCGTCCACCCGCTGGTCGGCAAAGCGGTAACTAAAACTAATTCTAAAGAGAACATCTAAATAGAAATAGATATGTAAAAGATAGTTTGGATATTGCATAGATTGCACTAAGAGAGGGGACAAGTTGATTTCTATTCAAATAAAGGAAACTAGCGGCAATGAATGAAAGATTTTATGTGTCAACATATCAGAATATCTTTTGGATTATGTCGTATATTCTGTATCTATAATTTAAATATGTTGTTGTATAATATTATGTGGTAAAAAACTAATTATTAAAATTTATGTATTTTGTAAGAAGCTTAAAACTAAGATAAACTACTTTAATAGTCGTCTATGTACTTCTGTGTGCAACAATAAAAGAAAAATAACAAATATAAAAGACAAAATGCTTTGCAAAGCGAGCAGCGTCCACCTAAAACTGACCAGATCCAATCGGTCTCACCTTTTTCTCGTCTAAAACTTCGCCCGGACGTAATTTCGTGACCTGTTGTTAAAAAACACTGATAATCCCATGTATAATAGAAACCCTATCTAAATCTCCGCTGCCGAACCTGGGCTACCTGACCTAACCTAACTTTAGTTCATTATTTGGTGCAATGTCCTAGCGAGCATGTGCATAAGTTATTACGTTACATATTGCGTCATCTTCGTGTTAATCATTTATGTTAGTCGTTGTTTCGGTATCGTGATTTGTAAGAAAAACCTCTTTAGCCATAGCATTTCTGTAAGAAAAAATCTCGTCTCGACACGTCCACCCTTCCACCTGATTATTTCGTGTGCGTAACGTGCTACAAGCTGTGCAATTTATCTGTGTGTGCGTACTCCACAAATTTGTGCAATATAGCTCGGTGCTTTTGACGACAAAACGGTTCTTAGACAGATATCAACTGGATAATTACATTTACCAATGTGTACTTTTATTAAAACCAAGTGTGTCAAAGGTTATGTAATTATCCAGTATTACGTGTTTTAAAACAGTGTTTTAAACCGCCTCGGATGCAAATGCATTAATAATACCGTATACAGATACAGTTAAAAAATTGTCACGGCAATAATAACATTCATTTAGAATTCTTAGCATTTTATGTTTTACCTTCTTCTCTTCGATCACCTCACCGGGTCTTAGTTTTCTATTCTCCTGTGGATTACGTTTTGCACGGTCTTAATACATCTAATGTTTTCAAAAGTATCTGCTGTGACATTGCTAAACTCTGTTCAGTTCAAACTAAAAGCAAGGAATTAAGGGTCCAAGCTAAACTCCACTATAAACCAACTCTCATCTGCTTTGCTAAAGCGGTCATGGTGATAATTCATAAGCATCATCCTTCTAGAGACGATTATGATTTTGTTTTTTAAGGATCTATGCATTCGTGTTATGGGTTCGGCTTGAGAGAATAGGGTCTATACTACTATAGGGCTAAAACTATGTGGGAAGACGCCAACATCTGTGTAAATCACTCGTTGAGATTTTCGCTAAAATTAGTCATTCATGCTTAAATTGAAACAGATGCGGAATGGTTATGAAAAAAAATCACAAACCGCCTGTCGTAAGTAAACTTGGTAATCTGGTTTTTGACTCATTCTGACACGTGACTGTATATTTTAAGTTCCTCAAGAAAACGAAAAATCTTTTCGTAACCAGAATACCAGAGTTTTTCTAAGAGTGCGTTTAATACCATCCTCTTGGTGTTCTAAAATAAATGCTGGAGTGCCTTCTGCTAAATAAGCTTGCGTTTTCAAAGAGTGATTCGATGCCAGCGCTTGTACATTGTAAAATTCTATTATTAGAACAGCACAATTATTGTATGTATATCTATAAAACTAGTCATACCTTTACTAAAACTGAAGTTGATATGCTTTCCAAGTACAATATAGGCTGCATATTTTATTTAAAATTATAAACGGTTTAACAAAATATAGAGAGGTACGTACTTCATCACTGATGATGAGGGAAGGACGTCTTCCCATCTCCTCCGGAGGAGGTATAAGAGAACCACGTCTTCCAACTGGAGCACCAGGTACAAGGGATGGTTTCCTTGGCAGTTCTGGTTTCGGAGACTTTTCACGAATTACTTCAATCTTCGGTGCAAGAGGCTTCTCCTCGGGCGCCTTAATTTCAGGCACTTTTGGTGTTGGCTAATTATAATTATAATGTTTAGCTTCTTTATGTAAGATGCAATAATATTTTATAGATATATATTTTAGTCCTACCTTGTCAGGCTTGTCTTTAGTTGTTTGTGTGAATGTTGGTTTTTCGAATTTTTCAAGTTCAGGTCTCTCGTAATCAGGGATCTCAGGCAGATCCTCGGCCTTCTTTTTGACTGTTGACACCTTTGCTTTCTTTGCTTCTTCTTGTACAACCTCTTCTTTGACCGCAACTTTCTGTAAGCCAAACCATTTTTAATATTCTTACATAAAATACAATTTTTTGGTGGAAATACCAACTGATGTTTTATTTAATATTTTAAAAATTTAAATTCAGAATTATATTTTTTGGGATTTCTTAATATTGTTAGTATCTGTAATGAAATAAAACAAGTTTTTTTTAATTCATATACTGAATAAAATACTAATTAAATTCAAGAGAGTACCTAGTAAAAGAAATCTCCTAAAAACCTTTTTTTTTAAATAATCAGATTTTCATTACTTACGATTCTACTTACCGTAGTACTGAAAAGTGTCATAATAAAATACACAATAATATAAATATATAAATTACGAACATTAGTTAAATAAGCAAAGCGGAAGCAGGAAATGTGTATAACTAAAATAAACATGCATATAGTGACAGATAGGCAAATTTAATTATGCATACATTGACAAAATGTGGTTAACACACAAAACTATCTGCTACGTCTATGTTTACAATCTATCTACAAAGAATTTGGCGTGTAAAATAAATTTTGGTTTCCTTACGAAGGAGCTACGACAGTGCATCAACTACTACAAATAGATCTTAGAAAACATGTGCAGCTCTCGATACCACAAACGCTAGTGCAAAAATGCTGGTGCTCTTCAAACTCCTGTAAATACTTATACTAGTGCATTGTTATATTGTACAATCACATCGTGAGTGCAAGTGTACCTCTTCCACAGTTTGAGGTCTGCTGCTATAAGCGGGCTGTGGAATTTCTAATGTAGCTGGTTTACGATCATCTTTGCTTTCAGTTGTTTCAGCCTACAGATTAAATTCAATTATTGGCGACCATACGTTGTGTACAAATTTTGCAAGCTTTACAATGATGTATTTCTTAACGAAATAATTGCTATTCGTTAAAGAAATCTATCATTGTCTTTAAAAACCCAAATAGCCAATCAAAGTGCGCAAAATCTTCAAAGAATGTTTTATGGTTGTGCGCGTGTTTGTGATGAAGCGATGATTAAAATTTATTGATGGATTATGTGTATTTGTCTACCTGAGGGGACTTCCCCCTTCGCCAGGGTGCAATTGTTTCCGGTGTTTCGAGAAGTGTCGGTTTGTAATTATCTTCTAATTCTGGCGTTTGCTCAGCCTGATCACAAAAGTCTTAGTTACTATTTATTCAACCCAAATATCCCATAACCTTGTGATAATTACGTAAGTTTATGTACCTGAGGTATTTCAGGGATTACATCCCAAGAGAAAGGAACCACCGGTGGTTCATTTTTGTTTTCTGGTGCAGGTTCTTCAAACATTGGTACCTGATAACGTATTGAATGTTTTATATTGGATAAAGTAAATAAGTATAAATAAATAAATGTATGTAAGTTAGTGTGCAGTATTTTGTAGTTTGCGTGTGAGTATATTTGTACGTGTTACTTGTGGGTGTGGCTTTCTCCATGGATATAATGTTTGTAAGGGTTGTTCTAGTGTATTATCTGCACGGAAGCGCTCCGCTACCACGGAGTGCCAGAGTACCTGAGGCGGCTGGTGGCAGATTATCTTGAGGAGCGAACCGTCATGTACGAGGACCGAAATGGCGTCTTGAGACGCAGGGCCATGTCGTGCGGTGTTCCGCAGGGGTCTGTCCTAGGACCTCTCCTGTGGAGCATCGGGTACGACTGGGCCCTACGAGGGCGTCTCCCCCCCGGGCTGGGTGTAATCTGCTACGCGGATGACACCTTACTCACGGCCCGGGGGGCTAACTTCCAGGAGGCGGCGCGCCTGGCCGCCACGGGAGTTTCCCAGGTGGTCGGGCGCATTGAGGCGTTGGGATTACGGGTGGCCCTGGATAAGACGGAGGCCCTATTATTTCATGGGCCCCGTCGTGGTCCACCCGCCGGCGCCTCAATCGAGGTCGGCTCGGTCCTCGTACCGGTCCGGGCCCAGATGAGGTACCTGGGTCTGGTCCTAGACGGTAGGTGGCTCTTCGACGAGCACTTCCGACAGCTTGGTCCGAAGCTGGTGGACACTGCCTCCGCCCTAGGGCGACTTTTGCCCAATTTGGGCGGGGCCAGTGTTCCCACGAGGCGGCTGTACGCGGGGGTTGTCCGGTCCATGGCGCTTTATGGTGCACCGGTGTGGGTGGCGGCTCTGACCGCCCCGAATAGGGCGCGCCTCTGGCGCCCCCAGAGGATATTGGCGGTCAGAGCCATACGCGGATACCGCACGGTGTCCACCGAGGCGGCTTGCGCCTTGGCCGGAACACCCCCGTGGGATTTGGAGGCGGAAGTGCTCGCCGAAGTTTATCGGCGAGTGGCTGACTTCCGGGCGGAGAGCGGATTTCGCCCTCCGCCCGAGGACGTGCGCGAGTGGCGCGAAGCCGCTCGCCGAGCCACCATGGTCAGATGGTCGTTCCGGCTGGAGACTCCACGCGCTGGCTTCGCCGCCGTGGAGGCTCTCCAGCCGGTCATAGCCGAGTGGGCAGGGCGGCAGCACGGGGCCCTTTCCTTCCGGCTGACGCAGGTGCTTTCCGGGCACGGTTGCTTCGGAAAGTACCTGCACTCGGTCGCTAGGAGGGAACTGAGTCCCGCCTGCCACCACTGCGACTGCAGTGAGGACTCGGCCCAGCACACGCTGGCGGTCTGCCCCGCATGGGCGACGCAGCGCCGGGCCCTCACTGCAGTCATCGGAGCAGATCTCTCGCTACCGGCCGTAATTCGCTCCATGGCCGGTAGCGACAGTTGTTTTACCGCGGTCGCAACCTTCTGCGAGGAGGTAATCTCGCAGAAGGAGGCGGCGGAGAAGGCCCGGGAGGACGACCTCCACTCGGACCTGATCCGCCGCCGGCGAACCGGGCGGCGGAGGCGCGCTTACCTGCGCCTCATGCCGCCCTGAGTGTGGCCGTGGGTGGACGGGGTGGGTTTCCCCTCCACCCGCATTAGTTGGCCAGCCGCGAGGGGGCGGCGTCCGCGTGTGCCGGACGTCGCCTAAAGAGAGGAAAATCTTGAGACGGGGCCCGCAATAGGAGCGGGCCGGCGCTAGGAGGGGTCCAGAAGGCGATAACTACCTGGACCCCTCCTAAACTGGAAGCGCAAAGAGGGCACACCGTGTGGTTTTAGTCGGTTCGAGTCCGACACACCACCCCGCCGCAAACCCCGGTGGGGTGACGGTCCGAGGGGATTTCCACACGTTAAAAAAAAAAAAAAAAAAAAAAAAAAAAAGTGTATTATCTGCACTCGGTTTGTCGTGTACGTTCTAATTAAGTACAGTATTTTTGAATATATCATGTTAATTGAAAAACGAATAGAATACACTAAACAAACACTAAATCTACCTTTGGCTTTTGAAAAATTCTTTGATTGAATCTTTTCGAGGTTCCAAAGAAGGTGTAGACTCATCTTACTAAAATTCATTTTATTATTTATAAATTAATTACTTTAATTAAATAAAAACACACATTTTTTTAATAAATTTATACAATTAAACCGTTTTAAGTTCCGGCAAACTTTTTTCATTTACCTCTGATTTTGGTTCCAAAATTGAGGGTTTCTTTCCTGAAGCCTCAGATTCCTGAGAAATTACATTAATTGATAATATATTTTATATTAAATCTAAATAACTAGTTTTTTAGAAGACATTATTTCGAAACTTCTAAATAAATACCTTTGGAATTTTGGCACTTTGCTCAGATGGTTCCGGCTTCTTTGGTGTTTTCAAAAAGAATGGTGTAGGGTCCTACAGAATTAAGTGTAATATTATATTATGTGTTGCAGCATCATGACATAGACTAAGGTGATTATATTTTTGTATAGCATGTTATGTGTAGTATTTCGTGTAATATGTCTTTGAGAATACTCGTAGTCTGTGAAACACCTACCTCTGTAAACGACTTTTTCCGCATAAAGAATGGTGTTTGTTTGAGTTTCGTTGCTGTATCGTCGGGTTCCTAATAAATAATATAATACTTAAGACATGATTTTGGTTTGCTTTAATTTATCTAGTGAAGTGAGCAAAACTACCTTTGTTTCCTTTGTTGGTTCGGAATTCCAAAGCGAAGGCTCGGTTTCCTGATAAAATATCATTATTTCTTGAGTATTTTTAGAGTACATCAAATAATTTATTACTACTTTTTTTTGTATTTCAACGAAGTAAACCTACCTCCGCAAAAGATTTTTTTCGTACATGGAACGGTGTTTGTGTAGGTGTTTGTGGTATTTCCGGTTTCTAATAAATAAAAAATAATGTTAAAGATTTTCCTCTTTTATATTTACGAGTAATCTTTATATATATATATACAAGAGAAGTCGCTACCTTAGTTTGTTCGGGTTCCCAAGGCGATGGCTCAGGCTACAAAATAATAAGTGTTGTTGTATATTATTGTGCTTTTATTAAATTATAAGACTTTATTTTAACAATTAAACAGTGTATGAAATACCAACCTCTGCAAAAGACCGTTTTCTTACATGGAATGGTGTTTGTTTGGGTATCAGTGGTATTTCAGGTTCCTAACAAACAAATATTGTGTTAGATCCATATCTTTAACAATTTAACTTAATAATATTATTTACTTGATCAGTACCTTTTTAAGATTATTATCTGGTTCAGAATCCCAGAATGTGGGCTCGGGCTCCTAATAAAATAATACGATCCATTAGATGTCTTTAGGTAACATATTATTTTAAGTTCTATTATTCAGAATGTTACATAAAGGTATAGTAAATATTTAGCTGATTGATTTGAAAAAATAACAGAAAATCCTATTTTTTTGTGAAGATTTATCAAATAATTCTAGCGTTCTTTTAAAACCCTGAAAATAATACTCTTAATTATATTTATTTGAAGAATAGTTTTATTTGTATCAGCTCTTTCTTTCTTGATTTGTAAGATTCGGATAAGATTTTGGTATTAAAAGTCACTAACTTTCCTAAAATTTTTCAATGCTAAATTTTTACCGTCCCTTTTTGTAACGTGCATGTGGTATTAATAAACTGGAAACCTACCTCTGCAAAAGACTTTTGCCTCAAATAGAAAGGTGATTGTACCGGTGTCATTGGTGCTTCAGGTTCCTAACAAATGTAAATCGCATATTAAGAATCACCGAAGATTACATGTGCTTATCATTAAGTCGAAGTTGAATGCTAACATCTAGCTTTCTTTTAACTCAATAAATTTTAAGTGGATAAGCTCAAATGGAGGAGATGTTTTTAGAATTCGCATTTGAGAATCACTCGAGAACGGTGAAAGTTTCTTAGTTTAGAATGAGATGATAAATCTGTGCATCAACACCATTCATTAAAAACTCGTGTCCTCGTATACACTCTTCGTATAGATTTTAATAAAAGTGTAGTAAAACTAATGAAACTGCCCGTGTATTAACGTGTACTGTGTAAGACCCATTTTCTCTTTTTTTCAGGTTAGTCTAGTACAATAGTCTAGTTACTATGAGTATCCTCTATTTTTTTATTGACTAACCAATTTACTAAATTGTCCGTAAGATATAATATTATAAAAATATCTACCTCAACAATACTAGGCTTGTGCCAAGGATATGTAGGCTCTGTGGGTCTATCAAAAGATACCCGCCGTTTGGGTTCAGTGCTTCTCCAAAAGTCATCTTCCATATTTTCGTCCTATTCAAAATAATTTTTGCTTTAGACAATTTGAAGTTTTAGATTTATACTGTAGAAGTTAAGTTATACAGAATTTTACTACTTCATTTGGCTGGCTAGGCTGAACCTCGTTTGTCTGCTTATTGATAGAAACTTTCTTTTCAGTATTATCCTGTCGATATCAATAATTATGTAATTAAGGATATTAATTTTATTTTGTATAGAATGTAAAATACTCGTACTAAACTTCAAAGATCTTGTTTTATTTTTATTATACGTATTGCGTATATTATTATGTTTGCAGAATAAAATCAATGAAAGAATAAGTAAAAGCTTTAAATCTACCTTATCATCTTTCTGGGGTTGGCGTTTAGATTGAGGTTCTTTGGGTTTATCAGTAGACAGTTTACGTTTTGTTTTACTTTTTTCTTCAACTTCTTCCACTTCCTCTATATCCTAAGAGACAATGTACTGATTAATTAGTACAATTTTTGTGAAGCCTATCATACTTTTCTATGTATTATAGAGAAATACCTCAGTTTCGCTGTCGCGGCGTCTAGACCCAACAGTCTCCTTGGGTTGATTTGAACTTTCCTTTGGTTTTGGTTCCTCTTTTCGTGTAGGTTCCTATTACGCAATAAATTACTTATTTCATTTTAGTTTTGAACGCTACTTTAGTATACATATGATAAGAGATGTACGGGTATGTGTGTATGTGTGTGGGTATACCTTAGTGTCTGTTTTCGTAGGTCGCCATGGATATGTACTATCTGAAGGCTTATCTGTTGTTACCGTATCTTCTACCTTGTCTTTCACTTCCTATTTACAAACACAAATTGTTTAATATCTAGTCTATGGTTTAAAATCTCAACGTCCTTCTAAACATTGCTTAAAAATAGTTTTTACAGTTATGTTATCACATAGTTATTTACTGCACACAATATTCAAACAAAAGTCTGTATTTTGTTTGAAATTTTAAAGTAGATTTTATATATATACAAAAGAAAAAACAATTACATTTATATTTTGTAGACCTTTATAATTTAAATATATTGTAGAGGCATGCAAGGTTTGCCGTAGGAAACTTACCTTGAGTTTAACCTGTTCTATTTCAGCTGCTTCTGCTGCCTTTATCGATGTCTAAAATAACAAGTTAATGGGAATATAAATAAGCGTGAACGGGGAGCTTCTACAGAATTCAGTAGGTTTAAAAAGTTTAGAGGCTAGTCCTAACTGTGGTTTCTTAACATATTAGATTTTTTTTTTAAATTCAACTGATAATATGTTGAATTTAGTAATAAATGTCATGTCCGAAATTTTTGGAAAATGTACGACTAAGATCTAAGGACTATTTATTAAACAATCAAATAATCTAACTACTTATGCTTTAAGCTTCAGTTTGTTGTGTGGTGTGCTTCTATATATCTAAAAGCATTGGATTTACAGCCTCAAAACTCATGGTTCTAAGAAATTCGGAGCCTATGGTGTCATCACAAACTCAATAGTATATTGCTTGGCGAATTCGCTTCGGGATATGCCTTTACCTAGCTAAATATTAAACAGTAAATACTGAAGCTGTGAAAATAATTCTTCTTTATTGGTCACGAACAAAGTGATCGTAAATTTTGATTCAAATTAATTTAAGATTTATTCTCACAGTCCTTGAAATATTTTTCAAAAGTTACTTACCCTTTGTGCAGTCTTTTTCACAGCACCAACTTCTTGTTGCTCGGCAACTGACGCAACAGAGGACTTTCTGCTTTCAGCAGTTTCCTTGGTCATCTATAAAGAATTGCAGTCTCATTGTTATTGTCTTTACTAGAACGCAAGGTAAGGTACGTTATTGGCCATTTCATCATGGATCACTTAATTGTTCGTTTGTCTATCCTTCGAGACACACTGGTACCAGTCACCAGTGTAGCAATTTTTTGCATCAACCACTAATGTATATGGTAAAAAAAATTCAAGCTTAAGTCAATGCAAAAGTCAACTTTTAGCTTTATATTTTCTTTTGTCTTAGAATCATGAAATTTGGTGTGAAGTGGAATCGTATGATAAAAATTAAGGAAAAGATGTGGAAATTATATCTCCTATCCCATCTATTTTTGCGAAAACAAACTTTTACGTATATCTTCAGTGCGGTAGTCAGTCTCGCACTTTTTAGATTATTTATTATATTTGCTGTTTTGAATTTGATTTGGTTTTAAATATACATATGTTTTGACAGTATTACCTTTACAGCTTTGTTTTCAATGATGGAGCTTCTTCGACTCTCAGTCTTAGTTTCTTCTTTGGTCTATAAATAGAGATAACGTTATAGAATTTGTAGATAATTTTAAATATCTAACTATATTTTCAGTTTCCAAAAGTTGTATCGTGTTTTTTTAAATAGTTATACTTTTAAGGCTAACTTTTTATAGTATGATCAACAAACAAACCTCATTCTGGATCGATGTTCGTCGGCTTTCGGTCTAGCGGAAACAAAAACATACTTGATTTTAGCACAAAGGTAGTGGAAGGTATTGAAAAAGAATTTTGGAGTATATACAAATGGTAAAAAAACAAAAATACACCATGAAATTTGTACTATAATTGACACTTTATTATTGCATCTAATACCGAATTCTTAAAGAGGAATCTAATGTGATAGTTATAGTGATAGCCAATATTCGGCACATTACTAACGTTTAGTCATTAAATATGGGCGTATAATACAGTAATATCATGACCTAAACTAAACGTCGCAGTAACATGGATCACGGATAACCTTAGGCTGTTGACGGACACGAGCAGGCGAATCATCTTATGGTGGAAAGTGACTACCACTGCCCGTCGCCCGTCACACAGAATGTTTGGAGGTCGCATCATCTGGAAATCCCACAGTCGGCAATTCATTCCACAGATTGGTTGTGCAAGTAAGTTTATTAAAAAGCGCACAGTGGTGGAGTGCCAATAATAATATTGAAGTCATGGGGATGGAGGCTTTGCCTTTGATGGTAGAAATTTAAATATAAATACATATATCGTACAGTGCTATCTTAGAATGACACCCTTATAAGATGAAACCTATGATGATGATACAATAAAGAAATATTAACAGTCGCTTCGTACGATAATTAATGTTGCACGATGAACATGTATAGGTACAGGACAAAACATATTTACAAAGAGTCACGATATGGAATAATGACCCTAATATTAAGGTCACAAAGACATATGTTTCACAAGGTATTCAATGATTATAGCAAGTATATGTTTTGTTTAATGTAATAGCACACTTTTTTAATCACAATAGGAAAGGGAAACGCCAATGGATTTCTTTTATACCTTTACTTGAAGATGTTGGGCTTGTTGCGCAATGGTAACCTGTTTTGTTAGAATATAATTATCATTACTCACTGTACCTTTAGTTGTACTGTACATTTAGGTAATTATTCTACTCTTTAGAATCCCAAAACTTATCCATAATCGATATAGAGGTTTCAGATAGATCAGGAAAGCCAGAATGATACAGGTAGAGTACTACGTTACAAGTTGAGATAATATCATATACGAGTAGTTTAATAATTTTAAGAGGAGTAAAATCTCTTACCTTTGTTGTTTCTTTTTCTTTCTTCTCCCGAACAGTCGGAGTGGGAGAGATCTTTTCATATTTTTCAAGAACTGGCCGTTCATAATCGTCGACAAAGTCTAGTTCCAGCTGCAATTATAATAGTTATGTATTATTTTCATATATGTATATGTTACATTTTCTATTTCATCTATCATATTTTGGTCTTATGAACGAAATGAATTCAAACGAATTGATATCACTTCTTATTGTAATAATAACACTTACTCTTTTGAAATCTGTAATAATCAAACATTATAAAATGTAGATATTGAAAAAGAAGAAAAAGCAAGCACAGAGAGTTATGCCACGGCATTATTTTTTAATCAATAGTGCTTTTTTCGACTAAAAATAATAGTGCGTTAAAATCTTTACTGTACTGTAAATTTTGTAGTCTAAATAAACTATAAGGCATAACCATGCTAGATTAACTGCAAAATTTGGTGTCGATTACGTTAACCTGTGGAAAAAATGCCAATATAAAGCACAAAAAGCAGCATGCGACTTTCAACCAATCACCTGTACAACGAGCGACGCCTAACACCAAAAAAATTTGGTATCTTCAAAAGGTGTAAGTGAGGTATGTGCCAAAAAATCTGTAGAGTTGTGTTTTAACGTGGGCTCGTCGTGATAAAAGTTGTGCTTTGAAATCGGACAGAACATAAAGTGTATAGTAAATAGATCAAGAGAAAGAGATAGGTATAGGTGGACAGCACTAAGAGTAACGTTTGAAACAGTTTTTACCCCATCATAATTCACTTTGTTTTCAACTCCAGCTTTTTTAGACTGTTCTGTTGTCTTCTTAACAGTTTTCTTGAGCTGGGGTTTTTCAAATCTACCACCTTTTACTATGATTGGGTCCTAGAGAATCAGTCAAGGTTATAAATAAGTCCCATAAGAGAGGCTTAGGTTTAAGTGCAGGTACTATTTTATTAGTGCTTTGTTGATAATTGTGGGTTATTTAACATGCTACAGTGAACATCACCTTAACGAATCCACTAAAATCAATTTCATGACCAGCATGAGTTCTAATTATTGCATGTCATGAAGTCAATTTTAACAAAGTTTAAAATTCAACAACAATTTTTGTCAGTTAAAGACAAGTTTTACAGTATATTTATAAGTGTCATATATTTAGTTACGTAAGTTTTGTTTTAAAATGTACGTGGATATGTTAAAAGTATGCACAAAGTATTAGATTAACTACAACTCGTTTTTATGTAAAAAAAAAATACGGTCTCAGAATTTGTCAATATCTAACTACAATATCAGTAATACTACAACAACAGTTCCAGTAGTCTAACTACACGAGAGCATTTAAGCATTTTTTAGCGTTTTTTAAACTACCTCATCATCGTTTTCCTTGTCCTTTTTAACAACTGCTGGTTTTTTGACCTTGAGTTGTGCTGCTTCCGAACCCTCCTATAAATTTGGATTAAATTTGATTTAATATTTAAATTATGCCAATTCCACCATGCTATAATTTTACTCGTAGCTAGTTGTGGTTGTGTCTGCACGGAATGGTTATATTCAGACATTTTTAAATTGTTTTTTGTAAACTATTGCACACACATAGAAGCAAATATCTGTGTGCCTGCAGTTGATGCACTTGACATCTGCATACGTTCTAAAAAACCTCTGTAAGATGCCAACTACAGTTTATGATAGTCTGTGTTCTATTAAATTATCATTACACAGTTACTTAAAATGTATTATATAAACAATATTTGAATTAGCTGAGATATTTAGAAATAATAGGAAATGACAGTACCGTCGGTTTTTTCTTAGCGGGTGTCTTTTGTGTAAGTTTGGCCTCTTCAGGAGCAGTTGTGCTTGTTTTAGTACGAGGCTTAGTAAGGCTGACAGCCTCCTCAGTGTCCTCTCCCTAGCCCCAAACATATACATATTATATTATACTACGTAAGGAAAGAGCAAGCCAGAAAAATGTAACCAATTTTATCACTCCTGCAGCGTAATGTCCGAGTGATAAATTTGGTGTAGTCGAGATAAACATGTTCACAATGTTTCTCAAAAATGTTAATAGAAGTCTTAAACGTGATTCGTGTGGGTGCTTCAAAATTTTGCTAAAACTAATCGTGTTTTAATTAAATTGTGATACATTTCTATCTCTACATCATATTCTATAGAGGTACCTTGTCAAGAATTAGTATTCGCTTAAAAACCTGTTCTGAAAATTGTGTATTGTTAGCGATTGGCTTCAATCTAGCCTGTAATTTACGTTCAATTTAGTAATATTTAACCATTGTATATATTTTTAAAATTTATGGCCATAGACAGCTATTACAAAGTAATATATAATATAATTATAAAGTAACTTTTAATGCGATACGGTTTTGAATACTTTAGTTAAGCATACCTTCTTATCCTGATCTTTGGGTGAAGGTCTTTTAATCGTTTTCTCTTCGACTACCTCTGGTTTTTTAATATTAAGCTTAGCTTCAGCCTCGTCCTCCTAAAGGGTATGAGTATCAGTTAAATTTTTTGCTTTAAAATAACTAATATATTTATAAAATAAGCAATTCAGCTGTCGGTTACGCATTAAAGCATTGACGTGTTGGTTAACTATTTACTATTGATTATAAATCTACAAACCGTAGGCTCAATAGCAGCCGGTGTCTTGTGTGTAAGTGAAACTTGTTCGGGTTCTTGTCCAGGCTTAGCTGGTGTCTTTGGTTTAGATAAACTAAAGTTTTCATCAACATCCATGGGCTAAATAAAATGATAACATTTTAATATTTTGTTTTTCTAAAGAAAATAAAACAGATAATTTGTTTTATAAATACTACCTCCGGCTTATCTTTGTCTTTAACTGATCGTCGCCTTGCAGTTGCTGTAGCTGAAGGGACTTCCTCTTCTGGTTCAGGTTTTTTATCGTCCTAAATAATTAATTGATTTTATGGTATACGTTAATGAAGACAATGTTTAAAATCAAAGTATATTTGGAATAGTGTAAATGAGTAACAGTGTACCTTTTTCTTTTTCTCGAGTGGTGTAGGTGTAATTCTTTCATATTTCTCGAGGACAGGTCTTTCGTAATCGTCGATGAATTCTTCTTCCACAACCTTGAATTTTTGAAGAGTATGAGAGAAACGGATGCAAACATTAGTCATAATTATTGTCAATATCAGTTTAGATATGTGCATGTGAATTTTCAGATTATTAAGGAATTCACTTTATGAAAGCACTGACTTTCTAATTCTAATTTTGTACGAGAGTACAAAAAGTGTTATCAGGAACGCTGTAAATAATCTTGAAAAGCCAAAGACATAGAGAAGCAATGCATAATAAATACAGTTTATGCCATGCTTGCAGCTAAGCGTACTTACCTTCTTTTTTTATTTAATTTAAGGGCTGAAAATGCTGGAAATATTTTGTCGCGATAGAGGATTATAGCGTGAATTTGAAAATAACTCTGCAGTGTATTTTGAAATTTAGTAGTGCTGTTATGTAATATAGATTCGCATGTTTCAATCGTGTTATCGTGGTCTACCAAACTGTTATGTTTTAAATATCTGTCAAGTACAGTGTACGTGTAAAAGTATACCTCTTTCTTTTTGAGAGAGGGTCGTTTTTTGGCTTCGGGCTCATCTGTTTTCTTAGCTTTAGTTTTTGGTTTCTCATCTACCTTTTTCTCCTCCTCCTAATTAAAAATAGTTTATTAATAATAATTGGTAATTTTTAAATTATTTGAAATAGTATTGTTTTATATTAGCAAATTGAATACCTTATCTTTAGCAACAGGACGTTTCCGAAGCGTAGGCATTTCAGGTTCGCCTTCTTTTTCTTTCGGTTTAATTTTACCTTTCATCATGTCAACGTCATCCTATTAAAGTATAGAAAATGATTTACTTTTCGTATTGAAAAAAGATAAAGTTATCTATATGTTATGCAAGTATGTTTTTGATACCTGATCCTCGACAGGACGTTTTTTGTCCTTTGGTGTCGGTGTAACTTTTTCATATTTTTCTAGTTCAGGTTTCTCATAATCGTCAACAAATCCGCGATCCGCCTATAATAATTATTTACTCAGTTAATTTTTATTTAACTACTCATACTGAGTATTTAAGTTAGATTTAAAAGTAATTGTACCTCATCCACTCCATTTTGTTTTTTAGTCCTATCGGAAGGAGTTGGCGTCATTTTATCATATTTCTCTAGATCAGGCCTTTCGTAGTCATCCACGAATTCTGCTTGTTCTTCTGGCTTTAAATTGAATTTTTTTTAAGATATTGTTACAACTTTCACACTACGAAAAAATGATATTATACTGTAGCAATAGGCTTAAATTTACCTTTTTGATTGGTTTTTTAGTTTTTGCAACCTGTGGTTCTTCAAGTTTAGTCTCTTCGGGTTTCTGTGGAATCTTTGATAGTTTAACTTTAGATAATTCGTCCACAGGTTCTTCCGGTTGCGGAAGACCCTTTTTAGTAATACTAAGTCTTTTTGGTTCGGCCTTTTGTTCTTCCACCTAAGTAAAAATCGCGAAATATTTTAAGATTTTGCAGCATCATAAATTTGACAATTAAGTTCCGTTTAAAATATTTTCAGTTGGTTTTGTGTTAATTATGAAAATAATGAAATATGTTACCTTTTCAGGTTCAACTTTAGACTTTTTCTCTGGTGTAGGTGCAGCTATTGAGGATTCGTCCTCACTGTCTTTTTCACTTTTAACACTTTCTGCGATAGACGCGCGTTTAGCCTATGGTAAATTTAATTATTATAGTTATACTTTCAAAGCAATATAACATTTTGATAGTAGATGTGTGTAAGTGTAGTGTTTTATGTTTACCTTTGTTAAATGATCCTCTTTCGCTTTTTTATCTAGTGGCGTTGGTGTAATTCTTTCGTATTTCTCCAATACAGGTCTCTCGTAATCATCAACGAACTCGATTTCGTCCTATATTCAAATAACATTTAGCACATCTAGTTAACACAACAACAAACAACAAAAAGTGAGTTATCACAATCTAGAGAACTCTATTACTTACATTTTTATTTAGTCATTATATACTACAATTTGCACTAAACGCTAATCACTTGAAAGCATATACGAAAAGAAGTTGAAAGAATAAATGCACCATTTAAATTATACCTTGATAGTGGTCCTTGACTGTTTTGTATTTTGAACTATATAATTGATGCAATGAAAAATATTCCTAAAACTATTGTGGATTTTGTAGAGTTACTCTAATAGATTTTGAGTATTTAATAACATTATCTAATACATCGTATAAAAAATTAAATAATTCAATAACTAATGTAACTGCATCAATTTTAGACTTTCAAATGATATTATTATTTAAATTTAACTACGCCAAAATGATACTGTTCTTTAAGTATTCTTGAACATAATAACCAGATAATACATTCTCTCATGATAAGCTTTTTACAGCGAAAGAAAAAAAAAAATACTTACCTCATCTTTCTTAGTCACGACCTTCTTTTTCACCACCTTTTTCTTTTCTTCTACTTTCTTTTTTGTTTCATCTTTCTTTTCTTCCACTGCTTCTTCTTTAGGTTTGACAGACCTAAGTTTTGGAATGCCTTCAATCTTCTTTTCAGGCTCCGGTTCTGGCTTCTTCTTTTCAAGTTTTTCAAGAAGCGCCTTTTTCTCTTCTTCTGATTTTGATGCTCTCTTTTCTAATATTTTTTTAGTTTCTTCCGCTTCAATTTCAGCTTTCTTAACTTCTTCTTTCTTAGATTCAATCTTTTTAGTCTTAGACTCGGTTTTCTTGGCTTCCACCTTGACATCTTCATTTTTCTCAATGTTAACTTCTTCTTTCTTCGATACCTTTCGGACTGACTTGCTTTCTTCGGAAACTTTTTCTTCTTCTTCTTTCTCGAAAACTTCCTCCTTGTTTAATTATATTTATTAAATTTGTGTTAGAATAATAGATTGACTATCTTAAAAATCTTAATATCCTATCATTTTAAACACCCAATGTTGAATTTATATAGTATCATAAAGTAATGCATCATGTTATTACTTAGTGTTTGCAAAATAGTTAAGTTTCATTCGTAATTCGAAAGTTATGTCAGACAGATGAGTTAAAAATATACACTAATAAGATTGTTTATAAAAATAGTTTTACCTTCTTCTTCTTCTTCTCATCAACGTGGTTCTCCTCAATCACGGATTTTTCTTCAACAATTGACATCTCCTCCTCTGACTCCTCAATAACCGTCTCTTCTTCTTCTTCTTCCTCTTTTTTCTTTTTCTTTATAAATAAAAACAATAATATAGAAAAGGGTAATGGAAAAAAATAGGCAGATGTGCTGAAGTTTTAGACTTAAACTTGGGCCATTATACAAACGTATAATAATGTACAAAAATGAAGAGGGGAAAATACATACCTTTTCTTCAACGATAGTAAGATCAGCGCTAGACTCATCTTCGCCAAATTCGTTCTTAATTACGACCCTGTAGTTGGCAATATGTTTAGAGGTAACTTTTCTGATAATTATCCTAGCATTAGTGCCGTCAAACAACGTATTAATATCAGAGGAGTCTCTGATGACTGATGTGTTCTTGTACCATGTACATCTACACGACTGGTCTGAAGTCTTGAGAACAGCCACAAATTCGGCTTCCTCATTTTCCTTTTTAGCCTGAAAAAAAAGGATGGTTTTGATTATACTGGAATATTAAAAGAAGAATAGAAATATACATTTCTTGACGAGTATATATAGATGCTTGTAAAACGCTACTTTACAACGATGCAACAACGAAGTAAAAACGTAAAGATTATTGAACTTGATTATTGAATTGGTGCAGCTACATTGGGTCGCAAGTTCTTTGAACAATGTAGCTGCACCTATAATTTCTCGCAGGAGAAATCCGGAAGATGGTCATGCGTCAGGGTTTCAAAAATTTTATATGTATTAGGCTTTTATGGTGTGAACACCTTTTTATCGCTTTATCGAATTTTACATGGGGCCAAGGTCTACTATGTCAGCATTACAGAATTTCAAAAGTCAAAAGAATATATTTTGTTCTTTGAGTCAGTTAACTTCAATCTTCACTAATAGGTACTATGGTTTTTCTTTAATAGTTTTGATAACACGATATATTTCTTTGATAACATTTGCTACAAACAGATTGAAAAAACTTTTATAATTATTTAAAGTGGTTTAAAGAAACTGACAATAGTTGGTTTATACAAAGCGAAGTAACTTACAAAATCTTTAATTAAATTGAATACTTACCAAACTTCTGAAGTGTTTGATAATCTGTGGTTTTTCACCCTTTTCTTCAGGTATATCTGTGATTTCGACTTCTTGTGATGAAGCTTCGCCCTTCTCGTTTTTGGCGACTAGCTTGTAAAAACCTTTGTCGGTTTGTGACACGTTCGAGATTTCTAATTTGACTGTGAATTCGCCCTGGAATTACCATTTATATATATTTAAAACTTTAGTAATGGCTGGTATGTCTATTCTTGACAATAACGTTTTGATAAAGTCGTGATACACACTTCAGATGGTTAAAAAATATATGTTAAAATAAGTGTAAGTACTTACTTCTCTAAGTGGTTCAATAAGAACAGTATGCCTCGAGTCCTCTCTAACAGCACTAGCTTCCTTGAACCACGTACATGAAGGAGCGAATTTACTTAATACCTTACATTCAACAATAACAGTCTTCTTTTTAACTATCTTAATGATCCTTGGTTTTTCTTTGATAACTGGAATGACTGTAAATAGGGCAAATTATCATTAGTGTTGAAATTTTAATAAATATGATGTAATTGTCCTCTTTTCACTTTAAAATATAAACTACTCACTTTCAATATTGAGCGTAAGATTCGCATTGAGCTCTCCAAGTTCATTTTTAATGTTACATTTGTACAATCCGGAATCTTCAATGCCAGGATCGATAAGTTCTAATATGATTGTGTAAATATCTTCTTTGACTTCGATCCTGGTCTTAATTTTCGACGAGTCGCTGATTTCTTTGCCCTCGTGGTACCATACAATCGTTGGTCGTGGGCTAGCTTTTACTTTACAACCCATAATAACTAATTTACCATTATCCTTGGATTGAATTGTGGGTTTTTCGACAAACGTGGGTCCTTCACCTTCAGGCTCCGGTTCGGCTTCGATATTCAAGTTGAGGTTAGCGTTGCTTTCACCGAATTCGTTCTGCACATGACAACGGTAAGCACCACCATCCGCTGCCGAAGGGTTAGATAAAAGCAACAGTAACTCATAAACGTCCTCGCTCATTTGAGATGATTTAATTTCAATTTTACTGCTAGCCTTGATGGCGGTCGTGCCTCTGTACCACGTCACTTCTGCCGCCGGTTTTGCTTTGCAGACACAACGCATAGTAATGAGTGTGCCATCTTCATTGGGAATGATTCGGGGTTTCTCCACAAATGATGGTGCGAAACCATTTTCGTCATCCCCACCTGTAAATTGAAAACATTTTGTAGTAATATGAATTGCAATTATACGTTCATGCTGTTCTAAAGCTTAAAGCCTTGCATGCCTTGGCTACTGTATGCGTACATTATTAATATTAACTTTTTAGTTTATTCGTATTTTACCTTGAAAATTGAGAGCAATGTTAGCATTGCTTTCACCAAACAAGTTGAAGGCGTTACACCTATAATTTCCACCGTCTTCCCTCGTGGGGCCTAAAATTTCTAACGTCAAATTAAAAGTATCTTTGCCGGTGGCTTTTCTGGACATCTTCATTTTAGCGCCATCTTTGATTTCCTTATCCCCATGGAACCACGTGATGTCGGGTACTGGATATGCTTCTAATATACATTCCATAATAAGTAATTCGCCTTCCTGTCTAATGGTTGGCTTTTTAGGAAATCTTGGTGGTTTACCGTCGGGTATTCTGTTCAAAAGATAAAATATTTAAGTACCCCAACTATGAATGTTGTTATTGCAAAATTAATTATTTAGATGTATTGTCTTACTTAGGTTTGCCGCCACCTTCAAAGTTTAAATTTATTTTCGCTACGCCTTCACCATGTTTATTTTTCGCTACAGCCCTGTATTCTCCTCTGTCCGAATTCTCAACGCCTATAATTTCTAGTCGCGCCATGTGATACAATGTTTGGTCCTCTTCTAACGTTATTTTATATCTACTACTTTCTTTTACCATCTTTTTGCCATGGTACCTATATTATTATATAAAAGTTTGTAAAAATATATTTCATATTTTAAATAATACCAAATACGAGTTGTTGAATTGTGTCTTACCATGTGATGGTTGGTTTCGGTTTGCCAACACATCGACATTCGAATGTGATTTTAGTACCATCATCCGATTGCCTGATGACTGGTCTCTCCGTAAATGTCGGTTTGATATAGTCTTCAGGCACGGGCGCTTCGTCGCCTATTTCAATGTTCATACGATTAAAATGAGTTTAACTTAATTTGTAGCTGTAGTAATATTATCAGACTTAAGATGTTTTCTTTTCTAGTATATTAAGATACGCAATCAGGTTCATTCCGAGTTAATCGAGGGATGTATAAGAAAGTAGATAAATTATATAGAGTATAAATATATATATATATATATATATATAGATATATATATAAAAATTTAGAATACGTTCATAATATTTTGTTTATTCTACTCTCATTCTTTCCAACAGTACGCATGACAGTTGCTTCAGTTATTGTGTTATTTGTGCATTGCTAAAGCGAAGAATTTGCAAAATTATTACTAACTACAAAATTATAATCGCTAGTGTGTTCAGGGTTAATTAAAGCATACTTGCATAAATAAGTGATATAATAAGAGTAATGAGGTAAAGATGATACATATATTATTATAAATTTAAGAAATTAATAATCAATTTCCTGTAAGTGTAATTTGTGAAGTGTTTAGTTTTACGTTTGGTGTTAGTAAAATTAGTGTAAAATTTTGAGAGAGTGTGCAAAGAATATTTGTATTAAATTTTTGATCAAATTAAGAAAACATCTTAATTCTATTGTATAATTATAATAACCAATTACATATAATAATATTTTCTTGTTGTGTTATGTAGATTAACTGAAATTCTGAAGGAATTAGTTAATGACTGATATAAGCTTTGGTTCAATATCTACGTTTATAGTGAGACATCATTATAACATCTAACACATTTACAGGATTAGAGACACACAATAAAACAGCCTTGACACAATAACACAGCAGTTAAAACAATAATAAGCATAATTTTCGAAACTCCTTCTTGGAATAATTTCAGAAAAAAAACATATCTTTTTGGTAAAAATATGGTAATATTTTCAACGATTCGTTGAATCTACAGACAAGTTAAATTAAATAAGACTTACTGTCGAAGTTTAAGCTGATAGTGGCGTTACTCTCGCCGAGTTCGTTCTTAGCTGTCACCCTATACTTGCCAGCGTCTTCTACGGTAACATTGTTGATCTCCAGGGATGCATAGTACGATTTACCTTCTTTGCTTACTGTAAGCTGTTTAAAGAAAAAAAACCTATATATGCTTATAATGCTTATACAGTTCAGGTGGCAAACTCATAGTTAAGTCATCACTTGAACTCGAACACTTCAATTGGACAATTGAACTTTTAGTTGGAGGAGTCGATAAGAATCAATACATGTAATTAACTCACGGTGGGACGAATGATTAAGCATGTATATTTTAATTAAGTAACTGAATCAATTTAAATAAATACATGTTTCTTTTAAAACTATCACGGTTAGAGTTTATAATTTCGGAAACAAAGATCATATTCCTAAACAACACCTCAATGCCAGTCAAGTGCTGCGAGTTGACGGGACGGGTTTTTCCCTCCACCCGTCATAAGAGCCAGCCGTGAGGAGGCGACGTTTGCGTGTGCCGGACATTGCCTAAATAGAGAATGTATCCGAAGGTAGTGCCCGCGCCGTTGTGGGCAGGCGCTAGGAGGGGTCCGGATGTCTTAATAACAGCAGTTCCCGGATCCCTCCTATTATAGGCGCAGAGTGGCACACCGTGTGGTTTTAGTCGGTCCGATTCCGACACACCACCCGCAAACCCTGGTGGGATGACGGCCAGAGCGGGTTTCCATACGTAACAAAAAGGTATGACAAAGTACCAGGAGAACTTTTTAAGAATCAGCATCGGGAATATAAATATTTGGTAAAGGATTACTAGTTATTGATGTTGGACTTTTACCTTTCAGGATAAAATTATAGATATGCAGAAGGCTAAATGATGAATTAATTAAGGTCAGTTATCCTTTTTCTAAAGGATTTTGTTCGAACAGAAATGAAGCTTTTTTAAATAATATTTGCTGATATTCACTTTATAATAATAAAACCGTCATTTAAAAAAGGAAGGCTTTATCAGACAGATGTTACTAATGCAATTTTAAAATGAAGAAGGTCATCGCACGAGCAAGCAAGACACCTGGTATCGTCACCAGCCAACTAGAACGAGGTCAAGGCCATTTCTGAGTACTATTAATACTCGAACATTCATGATTACCACCTTTATATCAATTTTCTTTGCAACAGATTGCTTTGCATAGATTTGATGTATATGTACTAAGCTAGTTCCTTTAACACATACGTCTGCTTGACGGTCATATTAGGTATAAACCTTTAAGCCTCTACTTCAGCCTTTTTGCTAAACCATTAATTTACTTTTTGCTTAACTTTAAATGAAGACATATTAACTATATATTTAAAATAGCAGATACTATTCAATAAAGCAATGTTCATTGGACATGCATTGGGCGTCGCTTTGCGGCGCAGCGTGCCTCTGGGAGAATATTTTGACGCGCAGCGCAGCGCAAATGCGGCACGACCTTTAAACCATCCGTGCAGTCAGTCCCTGTGTGTGCAATCGCGTCCTTGATCTATAAAACCCCAGTTGCTAGTGAACAGCAACCATCACTCTTATTTCTTACCACTATTTATTATTTCAAGATTATGTATATTTTATACCCATGGGAGAGATATGCTTCAGCACACATAGGCCGGCTCGACCGGAGTATATCACGGCCTCACAGAAAACCACTGTAAACCAATTCTTTCGTAGCTTTACACCGGGTGAGCAAGAATACCTTAAACTCAGCTCCCCCATTATGATTGAAGAGGTCACTCAAGAGCAGCCATGTACATGTTTCTTGAGTTACGTGTGTCCGTTGGCGGCTGTACTCACTCACCACAAAAGAGACCCATCCGTATATACACCATCAACATCATCAACATTAACAGCCTTTACTAGTTTACTTCTGGACATAGGCCTCTCCTTACAAAGGAGGTTTGAGCCTACTATACCAAGCTAGGTTGGTTTAGTGATTGTATCAAGTTTTCCTTCTCTTTGCAGTCCTCTTGCCTTGCGTAGTTTGCTTCCTTAGTCGGCTTTTACGATATCCATAGTATGAATGGAGGTGGTGATACTCCGCATTCTTAATCCGCCACATCACGGATAGCCATGTGAGTATAAAGCACTCCTAAGGGTCAGAACATAACGTCACACACCCTGTACTCTTACTCAATTAATGCTCTATTCAAAACAAAAACAATATGAATCTAAGTCTAGCTGATACTTCTAGACATTTGCGCGCTTGTACATTCAATCAAACAAAACAATATTTAGCTTTACATATTATTTTATATTATAGCTGTAATGTTGTATGTTAGAACCCACCTTATGTCTAGATCCCTGTTTGACCTCCACACCACTGTGGAACCAGGAGACTTGGGGCAAGGGTTCAGCCTCTATGCGGCATTCGAATATTAGCCGTTTGCCATCGTCTTCTTGCCGGATGGCTGGCTTGCGCGCGAACGTTGGCGCTTTACCGTCTACTTGTCTGAAATTAATTATACCATACTTTTATTAAAATCTGTTTAAAGAGAAGAGGGCCTAGTCATTTGAGTTGCTGACAAAAACGAGCACTCCTCGATGCATGATGAATCTGCACAAAGGTTAAATCCTTCACTTATAATGTTCATAAAATTGACCAAAGAATTAACCGAAACTATTAAAATGGTTAAAAATAGTTTTTTCCCTTTATGTATATATTTTATACATTATCTTAATAATTATTATCTAATTTGATCTTTGGCAGTAATTTTAAAACTAAATCATTTCTGACTCGCATCTTAATCTTTTTTTCATACGTCCAAGGAAAAATAATAAGAAAAATATAAGCATACTTACTTCTGTTTTTCTTCGTCAGCGGCTGAAAAGAGAATAATTAATTATAAGTAATCTATTACATTTTTAGGAAATTATATTAATATGATAAGACACAAAAAGGAGAAAAAGTTGTAAGCAACGTTACAATACTTTTAAGTTGTTCCAGATATAAACAGTAAGAATAATATGTTACTATACATGTTAACAGAACAGGCAGGATCAAGACATTAACATTATAGAGAAAAGTCTCCTTAAAATTCAAAGAATGCACCATATATTTTGAAACTCGTGCAGTGTAAATGCATCCCAAATAAAATGTTGTTAACAAATTCTTGGAAATACAGCCGTTGTGCCAAGCTGCCATCATACAATATCCAACATTTCGTCAATCGATTCGTCGTCACACCTTCAGCACTTTCTGACAAAGTTGTTGCCAACGCGTATGCGCAAGCTTGGCTCACCACCCGCGAGCGTGGGTTAACGCTCAACAGTACATTTTTCTCGTAGACATTTATTTATGTCTATGACTAATAATGTTATTTGTGAAGGTATTTTTATTGGCCCAGTATTGAGTTACGGACCTATATTGTGACATGTCTGTGTCATATTTTGTTATTTGTATGTACTATTGTGAAAATAACTTGTGGTAGACTATTTTTACGAAATTTGAACAAAAGCTGTTGGATGGCGATCATCTGGCTTAAACGACTTACATAAATACTGTGCCTCACCATGGCCAGTTAATTACCCTATTCATTTTGCGTTTCCAATAAGTTGACGGATACATAGGTTAACAAACTGGTTTCTTAGAGCTACTACAATCGCAGTCCTATCCAAAATTTGCGGTTTCTTTTACCCTAGTTACAGTACCCTATTTATTTTCATTACCTTTATCTTTGTGAAAAAGAACTCATTTTAAAACGATTACATTCTCAGGGAGAGTCGCGTATGGCCGCCTAGATAAGAGAAACTAACCTAAACCTTTTTCAATGTTTTACATAACACTGACCTCTAGTAAAATTCGGCTAAGGACCAGAAAATGACGATATTCATAACTGACCTTGGTTTATTACAGGTGACCTAGTGTAATTTATTTTTCGCATTCGGCGTTGTAATTAGTGAAGAGTTAAGTTCGGGCTAATCATTACGCCAAGGTCTTTCTAAGGAGAGGCCTATGTCCAGCAGTGGACTCGTAAAGACTGTTGATGTGTGATGATTACGCCAAATGCGGCCAAATGCGGACTATCGAGTAGAAGTGAAATAATCTTACACTAGGCCCTTACATCTTGGTAAATCGAAAAAAGAATCATGATATATTTTGTCATCGATTTCTTCACTTTCCTCAGCCATTTTCCTATTTATCCAAAGACACGAAAATAACAAAATAAATGACAGATTATATTATTGCTAGAATACTCACGGCTGAAGTTAAGATTGATGGAAGCGGCCACCTCGCCCATCTTATTCTTAGCTTTAACTTTATATAGCCCCGCATCGGTCTCGATCACGTCATCTAGTTCGAGCACCACCAGGAACTTACTGTTGGCGATGCTCTGGATCCTGTTAACAATGTAGAATAACATTATAGAGTTTAAATCACAATGTATCATCAAATTAATGATATGCTCTTGACTTTTTATATTGTTTATGCCGTGAGTTTGTTTGCCCTTTCTCATAAGGAACCCCTTGAAAACGTGCGGCTGCAGATCGGCACAGGCATATAATACGTAATTTTCGATACGTATACAATTTATTTTGCTAAATATTTGATAAAACAAATAATGTTGCTATTGTGCGTTTTGATCTATGATTTAAGAGTCTACCTAAGAGACGAATTCAAACAATGTTAAAAGTTTTATGAAATAAAGTATATTTGAGTTTTTATACAATATATATTTAATGTAAGTTACAGAGAAACAGTTCCTAACATAGAGAACAAGACATTAAAGAAAAAGTAAAATTATAAATAGATTCGGTCCATACACTATTCAGACTCTATTTCTTGAATTCTATATTTTCGTTAAATATTCTATTATTCTGAAATATATCTAAATAACTGTAAATTTTTACATACATACAATATTCATATTTAAACTCTATCCATATCATTGGTGAGTTAAAAACTGTCTGAAAACTTAATTAAAATCGTTTCAAACCAAATATTAAAATTTAAAAAATTTACAGATAAGGCTGTCAGTTGAAAAAGCTAACTTGCTATATCAGTAAAACAAACGACTAAACGATTTCCCAGAAACTGCCAAAATTAAATCCGAAAATAAAGCACCCACAGCTGCTTTAGACTGGATTATAATAACTCTCGTTTAATGTTGGCGCTCAGATTAAACTGGATTATATGAAGTGTATTATTTAAAGAATTTGAAAAACAACCTTATATATTAAAAAATGAAAATTTTAATGAAAATTATCAGTCATCGGCTAGTCTGTCCTTTTTTTAACTGTTCTGCTCCTAAAAAAATTAAGGATATAAAAATAACGGAACAATTAAATTTGTGGTGATCTTCGCCTTTCTTGACTTGGAGTTACGAAACAGGTTAATGTAAAAATATTTTTTGAGATCTGGTATCTCAAAAATTTTTTTTTGAGTTACCAAATACCGCAAGATAGCTAGGAAATCTTAAAATGGACACTCTTTTTTAACACTTTTGAAAAAAGTTATTTCTTACTTGATTATAAACGCAAATTGAAGGCGAGAATACTGTTCTGACACAAAACAATCTTAAAAACAACAACAATTTAATTCAGTAAACATACCAACTTATTTCTGTCTGATGATAACTTTATGAATAGCTCTGCTTGGAAACAATTTTTACACACTATTGTTTTTAGGATAATTCGTGCAGTAAAATAAAGTAAAAGCAGTTTAGACATGACAAATGACACTCGTTCCCGAGCATGACGCTAACCTATTTATTTCTTAGACTTGTGCTCATTGCAAAATATTATATTAAGAAAATAAAAAGTTAAATAAAGCGAAAGTAATGAAAGTTATGGTTTTAACCTATTTGTTTACGTGTTTCTGTTAATTTGTGGATGTGGTAAATAGGTCCTATACGTTCTAGGTTCTACGTTCATCATCTGCTATGTTGTATAGGCACAACTGCAATAACTCTATTGCAAAACAAAAATTTAAAGTAAAGTTTATTATCGTATGTACATTAACATCATTTGTTTATTGTATCGCCGTGGAATTCACAGAATCAAGGTCAATACATACTTATTCTGCTATCCAATCGGAACTATTTCAAACCTAAATAAATTCGGTTGCTTCAGAATTCAGTTTAGTTTAATTACTGATATAATACAACTCCCGCATTAGGAATATATCCTGTGTCGCGTTGGACTTTACAAACATTCATAAAACGGACACAAAGGACACCAAGACTCACAACCCAGACACAGAATAACAATTTGTGAATCACACGAAGTGCTGTACCATGTGGGGATCGAACCCACAACACTCAGTTGTATGAAGTGGCATGGCGACCACTTAAACCACTACGCCATCCGTGCAGTCACTAAGTTAGGTTAATTAATAACTGTAATAATAACCTTACACGTCTGACACCCGGCCGTCTTAGACAAATTAGACGAGCCTGTACTATGGTAACCAGACCGCTGATAAACTTAAACTTAGCCAAACTTTCATGTAATAACACTTATATATTTCTAAATACATAAATATAGATAATGTACATCCAGACACAGAATAAATGATCGTACTCGTCGCACAATTATTTATCCTCGTGGAAATCGAACCCATGATCTATGGCTTAGCAGTCAGGATCAGGTACCACTAGACCTCGGGGAGGAGACAGGTTCGGATCACCGATATATTCGGTTTGACGTCTCCGCCCCTACAGATGGCGCGCCGGTCAGACCGGCACCACCTGAACCACGTTGGGCGCTCAAGCGCTTAGATCGCGACCTCCTCCTGGAAGCCGCCATCGTACAGGCCTGGGCTCCTGCGCCGGACAGGCCTGTCGACGTCGATGATGAGGCACAGTGGTTCCGGGAGGTCATGACCCGCGTCTGCGATGCGGCGATGCCTAGGGCTCAGCCCAATACTGCGAGGCGCCAGGTCTACTGGTGGTCGCCGGAGATCGCACGGCTGCGTCAAGCCTGCGTGACCGCGCGCCGCCAGTGGTCCAGGTTCCGCAGGAGGCGTCGCCGCCCCGAAGATGCGGCAGCGAGAGAGGCGGAGCTGTTAGCGGGTTACAGGGTTGCCAAGAGGACCCTTCAGGCAGCGATAAAGCGGGCCAAGAGCGAGGCCCGCCGCGAGATGCTGGAGACACTGGAGCGGGATCCGTGGGGACGCCCCTACCGTATGGTTAGGGGCAAGATGCGCCCATGGGCCCCGCCGCTCACACGGTGTCTTCAGCCAGAGCTGCTTGAGAGGGTCGTTGGCTCCCTGTTCCCAACGCGAGTGGTGGAGCATACTCCGCCACAGATGGCTCCGCCTCCGGCGCTTGAGGCGCCTAACGTGGATGACGACGACGTACCTGAGGTCACTGGGGTGGAACTAAGGGTGGCGGTGTTACGGCTTAAAGCCAAAAACACCGCCCCGGGACCCGATGGCATTCCTGGCCGAGCGTGGGTCCTGGCCTTAGTCGACGAGGCTCTCGAGCCCCGACTGCGAGGGTTCTTCAGCGCATGCCTCGAGCGGGGCCAGTTTCCGAAATTGTGGAGGACGGGGAAACTGGTCCTCATCCGAAAGGAGGGGCGCCCGGCGGACTCACCGTCCGCCTACCGGCCCATAGTGTTGCTTGACGAGGTGTGCAAGCTCTTTGAAAGAGTGATTGCAAGGCGCCTCGTCAAGCATCTCGTGATGGTTGGGCCGGATCTGGCGGACAACCAGTACGGTTTCCGTCAGGGGCGCTCCACCGTGGATGCGATCATGCGCGTGAAGGCTCTGGCGGAGGAAGCAGTCTCCCGGGGTGAAGTGGTGTTGGCGGTGTCCTTGGATATCGCCAACGCGTTCAACACTATGCCCTGGAGCTGCATCAGGGAGGCGCTCGTGTATCACGAAGTGCCTCTCTACCTCCGCCGCATAGTCGGGGCATATTTGTCGGAGAGAGCCGTCGTCTACCCCAGTAGGACCGGTCTCGGTAGGCGTGAAATGTCGTGCGGTGTTCCGCAGGGGTCGGTGTTAGGGCCACTCTTGTGGAACATCGGCTACGACTGGGTGCTTCGTGGTGCCTTCTTGGATGGTGTCGCCGTCGTGTGCTACGCGGACGACACACTCGTGACGGCGCGCGGCAAGACGCACCACGAGGCAACCCTGAGGGCCACGGCCGGGGTTGCCCAAGTCGTTGAGCGTATCCGGCGGCTGGGTCTCGAGGTGGCTCTGCACAAGTCCGAGGCCCTGTTCTTCCACGGGCTTCGGAGGAAGCCGCCTGAGGGATCTAGCCTCACGGTAGGAGGCACTCGCATCGGCATCGAGCCCTCGATCAAGTATCTGGGGCTCGTACTCGATGGCCGATGGGACTTCGGATATCATTTCCGAGGTCTGGTCCCCAAGTTGGTTGGGGCAGCGCGTGCGTTGGCGCGGCTGCTGCCCAACATGAAGGGACCCGATGACTCCTGCCGGAGACTCTACTCGGGGGTTGTGCGGTCCATGGCCCTTTACGGGTGCCCAGTATGGGCGGGGGCCCTGAAGGCCAGCAACGTCGCGATACTGCGGCGACCGCAGCGAATGCTGGCCATCAGGATCATAAGGGGGTACCGCACGATCTCCTTTGAGGCGGCGAGTCTCCTGGCCGGAACTCCACCGTGGGACCTGGAGGCGAGAGCCCTTGCAGCACTGTATCAGTGGCGCAAGGAGGCGCAGGAGTTGGGTCGATGCCCCGAGATTCGAGAAATCGATGACCGGAAATCCCAACTCCGCCAGGTCATCATAGGGGAGTGGAGGGAACGACTCGGGCAACCGAGCGCCGGGCACGCCGTCATTGCGGCGGTAAGACCCGTTATGGAGGATTGGCTCGAGAGGCGTCACGGGACCCTCTCATACCGATTGACGCAGGTGATCACTGGGAAGGGATGTTTCGGAGATCACCTGTGTCTGATCCGCAAGGAGCCAACGCCTGAGTGCCACCACTGCGATGGCCAGACCGTGGACACGGCTCTCCACACGCTGGCAGAGTGCCCGGCGTGGGTTGAGCAGAGGCGAGACCTCGTGGCGGCCATCGGAGTGGGAGTTCTCTCGCTCGATAGCCTGATTGCGGCTATCGTGCGGAGCGAGAGTGCGTGGAACTCTGCCGTCTCCTTCTGCGAGCAAGTTATGCTCGCGAAGGAGACGGCGGAGCGGGACCGGGAGAGGTTTAGAACTCTCCCGGCCCGCCAGGCCCGGGCACGGGCCAGGCAGCGCAGGCGACTCGGGCGCCGGAGGTCGCAGAACGACCTCCGTCCTCCATAAGCGCAGGCCTGGGGGTGACAGGTGAGGCCATCTGTCACCCTAGCAGAAGCAGGCCGGGGAGGCGGCGAGCGCGTTGCGAAGCGCGCTCGCTTCCAGGGAGCACAGGGAACATGGGGTTCCCACACGG